GGGCATAGCTCAAATGGTAGTAGAGTACCTGTGTAGCAAGTGCGAGGCCCTGAGTTCTGACCCCAGTACCTACCCCCCTACACACTTAAAGTAAAAAGGCCCTTTCTTTCAGCTCCCACTGTTCTATTCCCTTTCCCAAACCATTTTTCATGTATCCTAGTCTTTATATACTTGTAGACATTCTTCAACATGTGTTACCTTTAAAAACAAACCCAGTACTAATGCATACTGTTCTTTCACTTGTGTTGTTCCCTTACCAAGTTATCCAGAAGTAGACTGGACTCTGTGGGAACCTTTGGTGAACCTGGTTGGAGCTGGCTCCTGAGAAGCTTGGGTGAGAAGTGGGGTAGGGGGAGGGAAGTTGTTGAGATGGGGGTCTTAGTACATAGCCTAGGCTGGCCTTGAACTCTCAGTCCTCCTACCTCAACCTCCAGAATTCTGGGATTGCAAGTGTGGCTACCATACCCAGTGCTATGCTATCTTTTGAAAGCAAACCAGATCAGCTATTGTGTTTGGTGTTCTTGTGGGTGAGGGTTGTGAAGGTTGCCTGTCAGTAGCCAGGCTTTCTCACTAGGGTAGGAAGGAGGTCAAAGCCTTTAGGAAGAATTGTCATCTCTCTTCTAGATCATTGTTCTTCTCCACAATCAGCCCTTGACCTCTTTGAGCTCTGGGCAGTAGTCAGAGCAATATGGAAAGCCCTGTTGAGTGGGCAATTGGGGAGTCTATTGGCTTTCATGATTCTTATCCTTAGGCTTGAGAGAAAGGTGGACCCTGTGGGCCAACCATGGTGATTATTCCTTCCCTTTTGCCCAAGCATCACCAAGTCTGCAGACTTTCCTGTGATGCAGATATGTGTGTGGTAGCTTTTCTATCTTGCTGCCCTAGGAAGCATATCTGTGAGACTCCTTTGCTGTGGCTGCCTTTGCTTTACAGTATCTAAGCTGAAATGTATCACTTCCCTCAGGATGCTTCTGGAGGCTTCAGGAAGGAGTTGCTGCTGCTCCCTGGCTTGCTCTGGTGGAAAGATTAGCCATCATGAGCATTGCTTATTTGGAGAGGGTGGAGTAGCCCCTGTTGGTGGCTGCAGAGCTTGGCTACAGCTTTCAACCTTGCTTGCTCTGTGGGTTCCTCTGAGGCTGGCTCCTGGGAAGTACCATACCCTGGCCCTTTGAGAAACTGAAAGGTGGCAGTGTGCCCCTCTTCCCTTGACTGGCCCAGCTGTGGTTCATGTCACACATTGGCTCATTGTATTGTGCTTTCTGATGCAGCTCTTGTCATAGCCTCTGATTCCCCAGCTGGTGTCTTGCAGCCCCTTTCCTCCAAGCCTGTGGGAGGTGGTGGGATGCACTGTGTGGACACAGGCACGGGACAGGTGGCAGCTGCAGCCATGGGGGGGGCTTTGTTTATACAACCCAGCATTCAGATCCTTGGTGCCGCCTGGCAGCATTGTTTGGGACATAGGGAGGTGGAAACTGAGCCCTCTTCCACAATAGCTGTCCCTTCTTTGTCTTGACCAGCCAGAGGGCCTTGTTGTCTAAACCAACTGGACTCACGAGTTGGCAGTTGGAGTGTTCCAATTTGCCTGGCATACTTTCTGGGTGGCAAGAAGCCCCTGAGGGTCTGATGGTGAGTTGGAGATGCCTCCTTCAGCAGGAGAGTGCAGTGTGTACCTGCGGGCACCCTGCAGCTTGGCCTTCCTCTGCTCTCTCTTTGCAGCTCCGGAGTTGGGTTGCTCACAAGCCAAGCTGTCTGTTTATATGGAGTGCCTGGAGGGTATCTATCATCAGTCTGTCGCTAACCACACTAACCAAGAGAGCTGGCTGGTTGGGGAGAAGACACTAACCCTGTGAGTCTGACCTTGGCCAGCTAACCAGCCCTCAGATGTCACCAGCAGTGTCTCCTCCACTCCTCCCCCAGCCTGGCTGCCTCCTCCCCTCAACTTAATTTTGTGCCATCTCTGCTCTTGTCATTAATATGGTGTTCCCTCCCTTTCCCACTCTCCCTGCTGTGGGTGGGGATGTATCCCCTTCAGGAGAAGATGTCCTGTGTATGCCAGCTGCTGCTGGACTTTGCCCCTCCCCATGCATTCTCCTTCAGCACTGGGCTCCTCAGTTTCCCTCAAAACAGAATTGTTTGGAGTTTTTTTCAGTCTGTGCTTTTAGCATCACAGAGTTTGAGAATCTCTCTCAGTTATTATGCTATTTGTACTTTTCACACCTCAAAGACAGATGGCACTTGGGTGGGAAGGGACTTTTCTTCTGGACCAGATTGATTCCTCCTTTATCAAGAGGGGAAGGTTGGGGAGTGTCCCCATTGCTCTCACCCAGATTGGAAGTTAGGATTTCTGCCAAAATCTTTTTAGGGTTCAGGTAGTTGAGGCACATACTGGCCTACTCTGGAGACATTCCTGGGCAGAAGAGAGAAGCAAACTGGAAGCCAGAACCAGGAACCCACTTGACAAGTAGCTTCCACTGGTGACCATTGCCCTGGGAGGTGGAGGGGGTGGAGTTGGGGCTTCTACCCACTTCCATGCCTGGAGTGGCAGGTGGACTTTAGCCGAGAAGAGCTGGGAGGGGTGCTTCAGCTACAGACAGTCAGGACCTGGCTTTGGACTCGTCAGACTCAGGAAAGGTCCTAACTTCAGTGGACACTGGTGAGTGCCACTTGGCATGGAGAAGCTCCCACCCAAAGTCCTTTTTCCTCCAGGTTTGGGATGAAGAAGGGAGGTCTGGACATCCCAGGAATGCTGGTTGCCTTGTGCTCCTGGGTGGTCCACACAGTAGTTCTTTATACAGGCTCTCTGTGTCTCCAAACTCTGGAGGTGGTACAGTCCTGGGCAGTCTGACCAGGGCACTTGAGATGTGCAGGCTGTCCAGCTGGATTCTGTTTCTGTTGGCCTGGGAGGGAGAAGGGAGAGGCCTGATTAAAGGCAAGAGGTGGGTGGATGTGAATGTGCTGGTGGGTGTAGGTGCTGCTGGATCCCAGGGTGCCTGAATAGGGAGTTAGCTAGCTAGAGTGGTTTGGGGCTTGACCTTGACTAGAAAAGCAAAAGGGGTCTAGAGTTGAGGCATGGTTTAGGACCATTCTTAGAAGGCAATGGGTGGTTTTGTTTTGTTTTGTTTTTTTTAATGTGTGGTACTGGAGTTTGAACTTAGGGCTTCACACTTGTTAGGCAGGTGCTCTGCCTCTTGAGGGCAATGGGGTCTTAAGTCAAGCATTGTCTATGAACCTGGGACGTTTTGGGCCCTCCCTTTATTGAGGTAGGGTGGGTTTGCTTGGATTACTATCAGTAGTCTCATTCCCTTTGTTTCTGTCAAGTATTTTCTTGGATGGGAGGCCAGGTGGATAGATGTGGTATTTGCTCAGGTGTGGAGCCAGGTGAGCTCTCTCAGATCACCAGCACTAGCTCTGGGTCCTTGGGATTACTCTGGTTGGAATGATCCTTTTTTGGCTTTCAAAGCCCTGTCAGTCTGTTCAGTTAAGAGTAGGCAGGGGGCCAGGTCAGGGCTGCCTGCAGCTTGTCCTAAGAGGGTGAGGTTGTACTTGCCCAGAGGGGTGCCAGGCATAGCTGTTGGAGGGGTAACAGGGCTGGTCTGGGCACAGACTGGCATCTTCCAGCCTAGTCATCAGCCCAGAGCAGAACCTCTGCCCAGGCCCCACCCCATGAGCTGTTGGCTGCCTGCCTGCCACGCGCCCAGGATTGCTGAGGGCTTTGCTCATGTACCTCCAGAACAGCTGCATGCCGGAAACTGGGGGCTGATGGCAAGTGGGAGGGACACCCAGGAGGGATGGTGGGGGAAGCTGAAGGAAGCTTTGGTATGATCAGCTTGCTATGCTGGGGTCGGTTCCTCTCTTCACAGGCTGGCAGGCTGGAAAGGGCTGTAATGTGGTGCAGGGAGGAAGGATCTTCACAGGCAATCACCAGGGCCACACTGGGTCACCTGGTCTCGGGGATGGGCACTGGCAGGATAGTGGTTTGTATTTCTTGGGCTTCAGTTGGAGGCAGAACCTGGAGTTCAGAGGCTCCAGAAACAGCCCACTTGTGTGGCTGGGGCATAGCCTACCTCTGGTGGTGCACAGCTTCCCCAGGTTCTAGAGTTCAGAGAGCTTATATCCGGGGTGTGGGGCTCGGGACACTTCCCCAGGGGAAGGCCTTATTCCATGTGACCAGACTGTTGTGTTTTAGTGGTTGATGAGGGGCTTTCAGAGGGCTGGTATTTCTTTTTATTATTTATTTATATCCTGCTAGGTTCTCAGGGAAATTAAGGCAGCACATAGCACAGCTGGTGTATTCTGAAACAGCTGGGCTTTCCTTTCATTTTGAAAGCAGGAGTGATTGCTAACTTTCATCAGACTTTGCTTGGGTGCATTACAGAGAAGTGTTTTAATGATTTCCCTGGTGATGTCTAGGCCTTCCGTGATTCAGAAGATTTGGATTCATTAACACCATCCCCCAAAAATGTCCCTCACCTGCTTGATTCATTGACAACTGAGAGCAGAAAGGCTTATTAGTAGGTTTGGAGATAATATGAGCCCAGATAAACTGTTGAGTTTTTTTGTTTTGCTTTAAAACAGGGTCTGGCCCTGTAGCCCAGACTGGCCTGGAAACCAATTATGTATGCCAGGCTGGCTTCAGACTCACAATCTTCATGCCTCAGCTTTCTGAGTGCTAGGATTACAGGTGTGCACCACCACACCCTAGAGCTATGCCCCCAACTCTTTTTTGTTTTCAAGATAGGGTCTCATTACTCTTGCCTGGGCTGGCCTCAAACTTGTTATCTTCCTGCCTCTACCTCCCGAGTAGCTGGGATTATAGGTGTGTACCACCATGCCTGGCAGGAGATATATATCCATATATCTATAGATCTATAGATATATCTATAGATCTATAGATATATATATAGATATATCTATAGATATATATATATAGATCTATAGATATATATATATATATACAGGGTCTCATGTACTATTTGCCTGGGGTTGGCTTTGAACCACAATCCTTCTGATCTCTGTCTCCTGAGTAGCTAGGATTACAAGCGTGAGTCAGCACTTAGCAGGACATAATTTCTCAAAGGGGATATTGGTGATATGGGGAATAGGGAGGTGGCTCATGTAGGGCAAGCAACTGATCTGGGTCTGTGAGGTTGTGCAGTGTGGTGGTAGTATAGAACTTGGGAAGATGGGGATGTCTGGTTGAAGTGGGAAAAGCCAAAGACTGATATCCATTTTGGATTCAGCCCTGTTCTCTCTCCTGGGCTGGTATTAGGGGTGTGTGGAGGGGATTGGGGGGCAGGGTGGTCTCTGAGTCTTCAGCAGGCAAAATGCTGGAAATTTGGACCTTCCTTCCTCTCCTGCCCCTTGGACTTTGCTGAGCTTGGGCAGACCCCAGCAGGACTGCAGAAGGAAGTGGGAGGCATCTGAGGCTCTTGGCTTGAATCTTTTTGCTGTTGCCTCCGGTGAGTGTGTGCTGGGAGGTGGCTTGAATCTTTTTGCTGTTGCCTCCGGTGAGTGTGTGCTGGGAGGAGGTGTAAGGATTTGGAGAGTTAGGATTCTGGAAAGGTCTCTCTTATCCCACCTGTCTTCAGTAGCAGCGTTCTTGACCATTGTGAAAGTCCCTGGTCACATGCACATACCTATGAAAGGGGCAGTCCCATCTCTTGCTTAGAGTGTTGCTCAGCACACTTGCATGACTTGAGTAAAGGACACTGCTAGCCGGCTTCTGGTGCAGGTTGCGCCTTGCGTCGATCGCAGTCTACACTCTGCTCAGCTGTTCAGTGGGTTCATGGTGCAGGTTCTTTTGCATGCTGAATACCATTTTAATGAAAGTAGACTTTGTTCTCTGAAGGCAGCTAATCGTGCCCCATGGGCTGTAATCAGGGAGAAGGTATTTAATACAGGGCAGGCGGCAACAGGCGGCCTGAGCCGACTGGCAGATTGCAACATGGCAATTAGGAAGCTGTCAACCCCCCTCCCCCACAGCAGATATGAGATAGTCTGTCTTCTGAACTGATTTGGAGTACGAAAGAATGAATGGTATGTAGCAGAGGAAGGAGGTGGGGTAGCTGGGGTGGGGTGGAGTGGGGGTGGTGAGGGGTGAGGAGAGCCCCTTTCCCTTCTCACTCCACTTCCAGAGATCCGGAGGGTGGCTGCTGCTCTGAGTGTCTCCCGCACAGTGCTGGCAGGTCCAGCTCTAGGAGCCTGCAAGCCATGCTGGGTCAGCCAGCGGTTCCTCCAGGCCCTCAGCCCTTCTCCGAGGGCATAGCTTTCGTATAGCACTGACCCAGCATATCCTGAGTCATCTACCCCAGGTCCCTGAGGCTCAGGTAATCTAGGGTGGGACAGGGTAGGGCTCTTCCCTGATCATCACTGGGCCTCCTCTAGAAGAACATTTTCTTGATGTCCGGAGCCTGCTCAGCAGCCAAAGGCCCCATGGGCTGACCTGGGCTGTGGCTTACTCATGGCCCATGCCCCATTCTGCACAGAATTGGGAGACCTCCTTGGGCTGCAACACAAGACAACCTGGGAAACCTGTGGGTGAAGGAGATGTAGGCAGTGGAGGCTGCACTTGCTAGCTGAGTCTTTCTGGCAAGACTGCTCTGATGCCAGTCAACTCACCCCTTTTATTTTCTCCCAGGTTGGGGAGAATAAGCTGAACCTAGTTGCTTCTTACCTTTCCTGTACTCCAGTCCAGGATGTAGCTGCCAGGCCCATTGTGTTCCTGTTCATTGCTGGAATTGTGGACCCCTCACGGGCTGGATCTGGGGTACTTAGATTGGAAGTTTGAGTTGTAGGACCTGGGTGTCCTGACACACCCTGGTATTTATGGACCTGGGGCAGGGAGTGGCACAGATCTCTGTGGTGGACTTGGGTTGGGACACACTGAGGCTCCCTGGTGGATTGTCTTCCATGGGTGTTATCTCTCATTGCCCTCCCTGTAACTGACATGTCAAAGATTCTGACTGGAAGAGAACAACCTTCCACTCCTTCCCAAATCCCTGTCTGCATTTACTACCATCTCATTGCCAGGTTCCCCCTCCCCATTCTCCTTCCCCAGCAGGCCAAGGAAACACTGGGAATAAATGTGTGTGCTTGCTCAGGCAGGGGAAGTGGGGAGGTAACTCATAGTCAGGGCAAGGCAAGGTAAGCTGTAGGATTTTGGGACTTTAGTGAGGTAGCTTTGCTTACAGGTAGAATTACCAGATAACTGAACATGTTGCTGTCCTCCATGTCTGCTCACTGCTCACCCAAGTGCTTTGGTATCTGGAGGACAGTGTGGGCTTTGACAGGAACAGGGTTAGGAGAGTAAAGAAGAGGCTGAAGACGAAGAAGGTGCACACAGAGAGACCTGCAGAGAGCAAAGGCTCCCTCCGCTGACAGGGGAGGAAACAGGGTGGGAGTAGGGACCTGGTTTCTCTGTAGAGAAGGGAGAAAGTAGAGACCAACTCCCTGGGGCTTCCCCTTGATTTTCTATAAGCTCTCAACTGCCTGTCTCCCTTAGTCCTGCGTCTCTGGCCTGTTTTCCAATCACACACACCCACTCCCAACCCCACACACTGCTGAGTATCAGAACCTGGATACCCAGGTGGTTTAGGACTTTCCTGGGCTTCTCCCTTAGGCCATAGGAGTGAGCACCCACCGGAGGACCCTCTGGAGGGGCAGCCACTGGGGACCTGTGACTGTGTCTTGTTTACTCCCCCACACCCCCAAGAATGTGCTGTCCTGTCAGGCCTGCCCAGATTCCTGTGCAGGGAGTCAGCCCAACACAGCATGTTGCTTATGCCCTGTGGGGACACGCTCTGCAAAGAGGCGGGTGCTGGCGGCTCGTGCCTGTGCTACCTCAAAACCTCAGGCCAAGCACCAGACAGAGGGAGACCACTCCTTCCCCCTGCCCCCACCCCGTTCCTGCCCCAGGCCCTGTTGGAGTCATGATCAGGACATGTCCCAACAGTAGGAACACATGCTTCAGCCCGCAAGGCTTCCATCAGCCCCCAGCTCTGTTTAGGTTGGTGGGGGTGGGAAGAGATTGTTTTTGATGCCCAGAAGGCCACCTGAGGTTGCTGCCTCCACTGATCACTGTGGTGGCTGCTGCCACCACGCTGTGGTTGGGTTTATTACAGGTAGGGGCCTGGGAGGGATGTGGGTGTATCTCAGGGCCCCAAGAACATGGAGGGGACTTCACAGGTCATTTGGCCTGGCCATATCTGTGTAGGTCAGAGCAGGCTTGTGCAGTGAGGAGAGGGGGTTACCCAGGGGTCTTACTCCTTAGAGTTGGGTTTTTCATAATAGTGTTTCTCAACCTCAACATTCTTGACCCTTTTTTTTTTGGCTTGGGGGAGGCACTACTAGAGTGTGAACTCAGGGTCTCATGCTTGCTAGGCAGGTACTCTACCACACTTGATCCACTCTGCCAGACTGCTGTTGACCTTTTGCATGGATAATTCCTTATCTTGGCAGTTGTCCTGTGCGTTGCAGGATGATTTACAGCATCCACACACTAGTGCATCTCTTACTCTGGGTTTTGACACTAAAAATGTCTCCAGACACTTGCCAAATGTCCCAGGAGAAGGTGATTGAACCATTGATTTGAATTGCTACCTTTCACATTTTCTATGTTGGACTGATCTTATCTCATTGCTAAGTCTGTTGACGACCGTGTACACAAAACGTGGAACCATCGCTAGGAGCACTTTCCAGTATCTTCTTTCTGCCCATCTTTTTTTTGGTGCAGGGTGAGGGGCAGTACTGGAGTTTGAACTCAGGGCTTGCTAGGCAGGCATTCTACCACTTGAGCCACTGCACCAGCTCTGCCCATCTTCTTGGAGCTCTACTAGCTTTTTTTCCCTTTGTGTTGTCATTTGCAACACATATTCCCCAAATCTTCCACTTGTTTCTAGACTCAGAGGCCTGGGAGATGAACAGGATGAATATGGTGTAGGGATAAGGACCAACATGTGGTGAGTTGAGACCATGAACTGTGACACAGACACATATTTCGTCTGGAGAAAGGGAGGAACCTGTCACCACTGTTGTCTCCTGCCTCTACTGCTTTCCCCTTAAATCCTCTATCCCATGACCTCCATGGAGGGCCTTTCAGATTCCAGACTGAGCAGGCAGGCCTGTGGCACTAACAGACAGGCAGCTGACACCTGGTTTCCACTTTCTTCCCTTCTCTTGTTTCAGGAGCTATTGGCTAGAGGAAGTGGAGGGGCTGTGGGATGCAGAGAGCCGAGGGCTAACTTCCGGACAGTGGGACAAAGAAAGCTGCTGACGAACAGACGGTATGTCTTTGACGAGGCCTGTGTTTCCCTACTTGGCTCTCTTCTGGGAGGCTGCTGGCAGGTGAGGGGGCAAGCAGGTGTCCTGATTGGTGGGGGCTAGTAAAAAAGAGTGGTGCAGGCTAGAGGGGTTCAGCCTTCAGCAACAGTGGTCAGGGGGCTCTCAAGCTTGGAGAGTCTCGTCCAGGGGGCTCTCAAGCTTGGAGAGTCTCGTCCAGGGGTCTGGGTTGGGTGAGCTTCCTCAGTCCCTCAGAATTTGCTTGGTTTTGTGAAGGGGAAATGTTACTGAACATTCTCCTGAGTGCTGGTTGAGCGAGCTTTCTTGCTCCTGTTACTACTGAACCTAACTGGGCTAACTGGGGCAATGGGAGATGCAGAAAGGACAAAGGATAGACAGACAGACATGCAGAAAGTTGGATCAGGTGTGCTGGGCACTCAGATGGAGACACCCAGCAGCCTCATTGCTTCTTTTCTTTGTCTTTATTCTTTAAGGGCTTACTCCTTTACAATTCTTTAAAACCTTGCTTCTAAAGTCTTTCTTCTTTTTATTCTTTAAAACCTCATTTCTAAAGTCTTTTTCTGTTCTTTAATGTCTCTTTCCTTAGACTTGCTCTATCCCATGTTTTTGTTTAGCTTTTCTTTAGCTTAGCTTTTCTAAAGCCTATGTGTAAAGTTCTTGGTGCAGACTTGGACTGTCCCATGTTCTCTCTTTAGCTTTCTTAAAATCTCAGCCCTTAGACTTGCAGACAAACAACAGCGGCAGTCCCCTCACAAGCTGCCAACCAATTCTATTAACCCCTCTATAACAATTCCCCTTTAGTTATTCTCCTTCGGCAATTCTTTTCCCTTCAGCCATCCTCCCTCCAGCAAAAAGCCCCCACCAAAGAGCCTCCCCCATCCAAAAGCCTCATGTCCTCCTTCAGCAAGTCTTTTATACCCAGTGGTAAATAAAGAGGTGGAATACAGTTCTCTGGGCGGCGCATGACATTTTAACAGGAGAAACCTGTGTTAAACAACTTAGGAAAAGCAGCTGAGCTGCATCTCTCTGGTTCTCTTCTGCAGCTGGGGCTGTGCCAAATCTCAGCCTATAGATTATTTGACATAAACATCTTAGGAAAAGCAGCTACTCTGCATCTTACTCTTGCCCTATTCTGTGGCTGGGGCTGTGGTGAACTCAGCCTGCAGAATATTGAGTACAACTGTGCTTATGTCCTCATGAGCTTCTTCTGCTCTGCTCCCCACATGTTAGGCACTGTTCTTTTTGTTTTGATGCCTGGCCTGTCCTCAAACTTGTGCTCTTCCTGCCTCTGCTTTTGAGTGCTGGGATTACTGGCATGCGCACCAGCTATGCTTGGCTTCAGGCACTGTTCTTAATGCTTCACATAATCTTCACAGCAGCCCTGTGAAATTGGTACTACTCTTACCCCCAGTTTAGAGCTGAGGAGATAGATGTGCAGGGAATAGTTTTCCTTCTGCAGCCCTTAGAGCCACAAGGAAGAGTGAAGGGCTGCTCTTGAGGCTCCCTGCCCCACTCCAAGAACAGGAACCACTCATCCTGGGGCCCAGACCAGGGGCCCTGCTTTTCCCACCTGTCTGTCCCCATTGGACTGATGCCCTACTCTCCAGCACTCCCCTGACCTGTGGACTGACGCACCAAGTCCAACCCTCTAATGACCCCACATGCCACTCTGCCTGTGCATGCCTCCTTGCATGTTTTCCTTTGGTCATACTTTTTCTTCTCCAGTCAAAGGCCTCTTAACCACATCTTTGAGCTTCTTCCTTCTTGGTATCCCCTCAACAGGTGGAGGAGCCTACACCTCCCAGAATGACCAGTGTAGCCCCTGCTAAGAAACCCTACCGTAAGGCACCACCAGAGCATCGGGAGCTGAGGCTGGAAATTCCTGCATCCCGGCTTGAGCAGGAGGTCAGCAAGATTGGTATTCTATCCCTGACTGGCCAAAGCAAGTCCCTGAGGCTAGCTATCCAGTTGACTTCTCCCACCTGAGCTGTTGGTCCCCTGAGTTGGGGGTGAAAGGATGGTATTGTTGATACAGACCTGGAGTCCCTAGCTGCAGCAGTGCTGGTGGAGGCAGCCTAGGCTCTCAGAGCCCCATCTGTAAGTGTATTTCTACATGTCAGGGAACCCCAGAGTTCTCACAGCTCGGCAGAAATGAGCCCATTTGGTATTATTCCCTCTCCATGAGGCAGCCTGTGAGACTGAAGGGTCCTGCTGGAGGCTAGGACTCTGGTTCTCCATAGTGAGGAGAGTCATTTGGCCTGTGGCCCCTTTGGGGTTATTAGGAGCGGTGCTCCAGCTGCTTCCCACCAGAGCAGCCGTCCTCAGGAAGCTCAGCCCTTCCTCCAGCCTTCCTCCATTCAGAAGCGTGTAGAATATGTATTCCCTGCCAGAGACTGTGTTATGTCCACGCTCTGCTCTTAGGTGGCCTCCAGTCAGCTGCAAGCACGCTCTCCTATTGAAGAAGGAGAGTAAGGCAGTGGTGCATGCACCTTGTTGCTGTGCCTCCACCCTCCTGTGTGCAGAGTTAGGGCAGAAACGCCAGAGTGCAGGGAGCATTAGATAAAAATTGCAGCTATTATGCTATGTGCTACCCAGTGAGCAGTCCCCTGGTTTTAGAGGTGAGGGAACTGAGGCTCATTGAGGTAAAGGTCATGTAACCTGTGTGGGGTGGGACAGGGTCAAATCCAATTGTCAGTGGCTCCAAAGTTCATGATCTGGGCTGCCCACTTCATTTTCCTGCCCGTGCCTATAGTTCTGAAGTGGCCAGCTCCATTTGCCTCCTGCCACAGCAGGTGCCTATTCTGCTTTGTGGCTTTCTTGGGCCATGACCGCCAGAAGGGTTTGGGGAAGGTGGGGCAGGAGGTTCAAAGCAAGATAGCACCTTGCTCCTCTCAATCAGGATTAGCTTCGAGGCTCACCTTTACCCATATACTTGTTCCTCCTTGTCCTCCAGGGTTCTGATTCTGCTTATCTTCCTCCGAGGGGGCAAGAGGGCTCTGTCAAGACTCAGAACTTTTTTTTTTTTGGGTAGGACTGGGCTTTGAACTCAAGACTTCATGCTTCCAAAGCAGGTGGTGCTCTACTGCTTGAGCCACACCTCCAGTCTATTTTTTTTGCTATTGTTACTTAGTTCTCATGAACTATTTGCCCAGGCTGGTCTTCCCAATCTCAGCCTCCGAAATAGCTAGGATTACAGGTGTGAGCTACCATGCCTGGTAAGAACTCTTACAGCTTGACCTGACCTTTTTACTTTTCTGGAAGGTCTCTGTCATGCTGGTATGGAGACAGGGCCTATGAATAACTCAGTGGTCAACTGAGAGACTCTCTGTCCCCAGGGAGAAGTGGCATGGGTACTAGGACCCACTTGAAAATGGCTTTAGGATTAAGGTTAATGTTGGAAAGTGTACTGGAATCTTTTGGTTAGCATGGGAGAGAGTAATCTAAGCTTGTCCAGGATTTCATCCATCTCTAAGAGGGTCCTGCTGCCCTTTTCTGCTCTGAGAGTCTGGGGCTTCAGACATGGCCCTTTCTGGGACCATTTGGAGGGTGGGCCAACTAGAAGGTCAGTGGTCCGGAGCTAAGTCTCAAGCTTCTGTTCTTTTTTGCCTAGGAGTCTCTGACTGATGCGGAGAGGATGAAGTGAGTATCTGCTGCCTGTGACACTGCCCTGCTTTGACTGTCCCATTCACTCCATGCTAGGCTGTTGGGTACTGTAGGATTTTTCCTTGGATTAAGTAGGGTAAAGGTTGTGGTGCTTGTCTGATGCTGTAGATATTCTTTCTGGGAAGGGCTTTGTTTTGTTCCATGGGCTGAGGGCCTGCTGTTTGCGAGGAACCCTTCTCCTCCTCCTGGCTTGAGAGAACAGAGTGACTCTCTTGTCCAGTTGCTTCCCTGAAGCCTGTCTGTCAGCCGTGCAAGGCCTCTCAAGATGAGGGCAGTGCTGGCTGGATTTCCAAGAGATTAATAATGGAGAAGCCTGACTGTGCAGTAGGAAATTGGAACAGTGGGGCTTGGTGGCTGGCTGGCTTGGGCTGTAACCAGAGACACGTTGGGAGCTGTACCCCTCTTATTCCATCCTGTTATTCATTTGCAGTGGTGAGGAGAGCCTGGACTGTCCCCTAGCTTCTCCTTTGTCTCCACTACCCTCCAACCCAGGCTGTGTTTTCAGGGCAAGTAGGCCAGTAGAATGTGCCACCTAGACTCAGGCTGAACTTGCAGGAATCCCCGGCCCTCAGTTGCCTGTCCTCATGTCATTCCTCTTCTTCCTTCCCCATCTCAGCTCCAGGGCTGGCCTTCCCTCTCTGATGCCTGTCATGTCTCCCCCACCCCTCCCAGGCTGTTGCAGAAGGAGAATGAAGAGCTTCGCCGGCGCCTGGCCTCAGCCACCAGACGCACTGAGGCTCTGGAGCGGGAGCTGGAAATTGGACAAGACTGCCTGGAGCTGGAGCTAGGCCAGAGCCGTGAGGAGCTGGACAAGTTTAAGGACAAGTTCCGCAGGTTGTAGGAATGAGGAGCTAGACACACACGCCTCTCTCCACTCATAGGCAGCCTCAGATTCTACCTGATTCTGATTAGAAAAATTGAAGTTCTAGCTGGGTGTTGGTGGCTCACACCTGTAATCCTAGCTACTTGGGAGGCTGAGATCAGGAGGATTGTGGTTTGAGGCCAGCCCGGGCAAAGAGCTCATGAAATCCAATCCTCCAAAATAACTAGAGCAAAATGGACTGGAGGAGTGACTCAAGCAGTAGAGTACCTGCTTTGCAAGCACAAAGTCCTGAGTTCAAACCCCCTTCCTACAAAAAATAAAATAAAAACTGAAGTTCATGGAAGAGAAGGACTTGCCCAAGATTCCATGTGGAAAGCCACTGGGCATCGGTGTCTCACTCATAATCCTAGTGAGTCAGGAGGCAGATCAGGAGGATTGCAGTTCAAAGCCAGCTCCGGGTAAATAGTTCATGAGACCCTATCTCAAAAAAACCCAACACAAAATAGGGCTGGTGTAGTGACTGAAGTAGAGTGTCTGCCTAGCAAGTGTGAGGCCCTAAATTCAAACCCCAGTACCACCGCCAGAAAACAAAAAAATTCCAGATCATCCCCTTTGAGGAGGGCTGAGCAGGGTTGAAGAACAGGATCTTGACAGGGTCCTCTCTTGTGTCCTCCTTCAGGCTGCAGAACAGCTACACGGCTTCCCAGAGGACCAACCAGGAGCTGGAGGACAAGCTGCACACACTGGTAATGTGTCTGGGATGGCAGTCTGGCTGGCACTCTGCTCACATCATAGCAGGGGTCTAGGACTTACTAGGGGAGTGCCATTTGCCCTGGGGCTTGGGGAACGGGGGCGGGGGGGGGGTAGTGGTGGGGAGGGGACCGCAGTGTGCTGTGCAAGTCGGGACTGTCTCAATGCTCACACTCTTTCTCTTCTCTCCTCGTCTCCCCCTCATGCTGCCACCGTTGCTGCCGCACTCTCCTCTCAGGCCTCTCTTAGCCACAGCTGGATTTTTGCAGTTGCGTCTGAGTTCGTGTGTGTTCCTCCCTTGCCCTGGCCTCCTCAGCCCAAATCTGGGGTTTGGGGGCCCTGACTGTTTCCCTGCCTGTTGAGCACACCCACTCCTCTCTTTCCCAAGAGGCCTGCTCAGTAGGCAGCGCCTCCCTCCCAGGAGAGGGCTGGACTCATGCTCTTGGCTCTGACAGAGACAATGATCGATGCCACCACTGAGCACTCACAACAGCAACAAGCCCAGGCTGTAGATCCAGTTCATAAACTGAAGAGGCTACTTTTGAGCCCACAGCTCTGTCCCTACCCAAGCAGATAATCCTACAGGCGCCCTACTCCTTCCTCCCTCCTCCTTGCCTGATCCTGGAAACAGCTGCACACACAGGCACAGCTCCTGGTTGCAGTTACTGCCTCTGAGGTGCCAGCTGCCTTGCCTGGTGCCTCAAGCCCCTGAGCCTGAAAGGATGGATAGCTCTTAGATTACCTACATGGCAGTAGGTCATGCTCAGAGAACCTCCCGACAGGCAGCCTAAAGAGCAGGAGAGGGACCCAGTCTCCTTCTGTCTGTCCATCATTTGTCTCTTCTGTCTGCCTTGGCTGCCTTAGCACCTGTGGCCTCCATGTCTCAGGGTTGGAGGGAGGTAGAGGGGAAGAAGGGCCGGCAGGGGTCTGGGCTGGGTTTACCACAAATCTGTGCCTCAGATCAAGAAGGCTGAGATGGATAGGAAGACGCTGGACTGGGAGATTGTGGAGCTGACCAACAAGCTACTGGATGCCAAGAACACTATCAACAAGCTGGAGGAGCTCAATGTATGTGTGCTTCCCCTGCTCAGCGGCCTTTCCAGCCACAGCTGGCTGTGTGTCTGGCTCAGCCCTGCTTCCTTGGGCAGGGCAGGTCTGGCTGGGCTCTGAAGCAGGTCTGTCTGTCTGTAGGAGCGGTACCGACTGGACTGCAACCTGGCTGTGCAGCTCCTCAAGTGCAACAAGTCCCACTTCCGCAACCACAAGTTTGCCGACGTGAGTAGAAAACACTTCCATTTCTCCACCCCGTTCCAGTCTTTTCAGGACATCTCAGACCCGTTTCTCCTGCCTTAACTCCCTTTCACTTTGCCTTCCTCTGGCTTCCCCGTTGTCCCTCAAGATGGTCATCCCATTTGATAGTATCATGTGTGCTGTCAGGGCCCATCACTAGTGCCTGGGGCTAGCGTGTTGGCATTTCTGTAATAGAGATAGGGCTCTGTTTGAGGAGTCCATGCAGGAAGGAGGAGTGGTCAGAGCTGCTGGCCTGAGTATCGAGGATTAGGCCCATCTGATACCATCACCACAGGGGGGAACTCCAGACCCTAGAGCCTCAAGCCCAACTTTGAACAGAAATAGAGGTATTTCTGTTCTTTTTCTAGGGTGGCTGGTCAGTACAGGCTCTCCCAATAGTCTGCTTTGGGCAGAAGTTACTACTGAGGTTGGGGAGGGAGAAGTTTGAGAGGCCTCAAATCTGGGTTCAGATCCGGCTGTGTTAATTAGAAGCTTCAAGTTATCCCTCTTGAGCTCATTTATCTGTGAAATGAGGTTATACAGGAGAAACCGTAAGTGCTGAGCACACAGTGATACTTGTGTATCATAGCCATTGTTTTTGTCATGAGTCAAGCTATCTTCAGCTGGGATCATTCATGTCTCCCTTCCTTCTTCTCCTCATCCAGCTGCCCTGTGAGCTACAGGACATGGTTCGGAAACACCTGCACAGTGGTCAAGAGGTTGCCAGCCCAGACCACACTACCAGCCTGGCCCCAGGGGCTGTGGTGCCTACCTCAGTCATTGCCCGGGTGTTGGAGAAGCCAGAGTCTCTATTGCTCAACTCAGTCCAGTCAGGCAGTGCTGAGCACCCCTTAGCTGAGGATGTCTTTGTGCATGTGGACATGAGTGGGGGGACTCCGGGTGACCCAGCCAGTCCCCTAGCCCCTGGCAGTCCTCAGCCTAATGGAGAGTGCCAATCTCTGGATACTGTGGGGGGCTTCCCAGAGGAGGAGCTATCCCTTCCGGCCTTTGAGAAGCTGAGCCCATATCCTACCCCATCTCCACCCCACCCGCCGTATCCTGGCCGTAAGGTCATAGAGTTCTCTGAGGATAAGGTTCGCATCCCTCGAAACAGCCCCCTGCCCAACTGTACTTATGCCACCCGCCAGGCCATCTCCCTGAGCCTGGTGGAGGAGGGGAGTGAGCGGGCCCGCCCCAGCCCAGTGCCCAGCAGTCCTGCCTCAGCACAGGCCTCACCCCATCACCAGCCTAGGCCAGCCCCCCCAACACTCAGTGCTCCAGCCAGCTCTGCCAGCTCCGAAGAGGATCTGCTGGCCAGCTGGCAGCGAGCATTTGTGGACCGCACTCCACCTCCTGCTGCTGTGGTCCAACGCACTGCCTTTGGACGTGATGCACTCCCTGAGTTGCAGCGCCATTTTGCCCTTAGCCCCACTGACAGTGATGAGGTGGTTCTGGCACTTTCTTCCCCATCTGATGAGAGTGGACTTCTGTTGCCAAGGGAACCTGACTCTGGCTTTCCTGGAGAGGAGGAAGAGGAAGAGCTGAACCTGCCTGTCAGCCCTGAGGAAGAGCGCCAGAGCCTGCTGCCTGGGGATAGGGGTACAGAGGAGGGGCTGGGTACTTCCCACACTGAGGGTAGGGCCTGGCCACTCCCCAGTTCCAGCCGCCCCCAGCGCAGCCCCAAGAGGATGGGGGTGCACCATCTGCACCGCAAGGACAGCTTGACCCAGGCCCAGGAGCAGGGAACCCTGCTCAGCTAGGCCCACTTGCCTTCCTGCTTCTGTGCACTGGCCTGCATAAGGTCTGGGCTTTGAACTCCTTCCTTCCAGACCAGCACAGCTCTGATCCCTGTGTGAGTGAGAGGCCACACCAGGCCTTTCAGCTGCATTGACACTGGCACCAGCTTGCCTCATTCTTCCCTTTTCTTCTTGGGATATTTATTCTCCAAAGGTAACATGCAGTTGGGTTTCAAGTTGCTTCTTCCTGTCAGCCCAGCCCATTTGGGGCTGTTGTGTGGAGCTGTGGGGCTCATCAGTGTTCATCCTCCATCCTCCTTGCATATTCACGAGCTTTGGTTGTCTTGGGGGAGGGTGTCATTGGGGTTAAATTAACCTCTCATTTCTCTTTTCACCCATTTTCTCTGTATGAGCTGCTGGCCTCAGGGAAGAGGGAACAACTGTCTCAGGGCTCCCCTCAGCTGCTTCTGCCCTCCCTCTGGAAGGGAGGATGGGCGGAGGATGGGCTTCAGGGGCCTCAAGCTGGGCTCTGGGTGAGGCCTGGCCCTCTTAACCTTGGCTCTAGACTGTTACTCCCAGCTTTGGGAAATTTTCACATTGAGGACTATTTTAAAATTAAATAAAACTATTTTATTGCTATGGCCTAATTTGCTTTAATGCCCTTCCCTCTTCTGCTCTTATCCCCCACTCCCTTTTGTTTTGGTGGCACTGGGGTTTGAATTCAGGGCCTCAAGCTTGCAGACACTCTCCCACTTGAGCCACTCTGCCAGCCTCTTTTTGTGTCGGATATTTTTGAGAGAGGGTTGCTGGGGCTGGCTTTGAACTATGATCCTTCTGATCACTCCTGAGTAGCTAGGATTACAGGCATGAACCACTAGCTTCTGGCTCTTATCCCCATTCTTGAGTATTCCCTGTCCTACTTTTTCCTAGTCTTTGCCAGTGACCTCTCCCTTCCTCCCATTCTGCCTCTGGCTTCCCTGGACACAGCATAAGGCAGTGGGAGAGGGGGCACCTCAAATAACCTGCCAAGTCTCCCCTCAGAGGTAGTCTGGTCCAGCCCAGCTCTGGAAGTAGGTTCTTTACTGCAGTTGCCATGTCTATGGGGCTTGAGCATGTCACCCCAGAATCCAGGTTGTAGACCTGGGCCAGGCTTGGTGGAGGGATTTGGAATGGGTGCGCTGCCTGCAGCTTGGGTTGTGGGAGGATACTGCTCCCTGGTGGTGCTTAGTGGTATCCCGGTTCGTCCCCTTGGCCAGCCCCCAGTGACCACAGCCACACGCCAGGTTGTGGAGTTCATAAAATCTCTTCCGAGCCAGCGGGTTGCAGACAGAGCTGCTAACAAGTCCAGAGGTAATGCCCTGGGCTCAAGTGTCCCCAAGGCTGTTGCCCAGTCGCAGCTTCCAGAGTCTCCCAGCACACTGCCAGGAGCTGCCAGAGCCCCAGGTATCCCCTCTCCCCCCAAACCCCAGGGCCTCTCCCTGACATCTAGGAGAAGGTGCTGGGAACACAGACAAATGTAATGATGCCCAGAAGCCCAACTGGAGAGTCACATCTCGGTCTCAGCCAACAGACTGTCCCCTAGTCCTGAAGTCATCAGCACCATCTGAGAGCTAGGATCTGTGGAAGGGCAGAGGGGTGTTCAGGTCTCCACTCGTCCCTCACTGGGGGCCACAAATACATGAGGCGGCCTAGTTTTCCCACACCCACTCTCCCTTGTCCTGAATCTTCCAGACCTGGCTCCGGGTAACCCTTTGGGCTCTTACCGCTGGGACACATCCAGGAGCTGCTGTTGCCCCTCTGGTGGGCAGCAGGTTCCTGCCCTCTCTCCCATTCCTGGGTGTCGCCAGCTCCTCCTGCCACCTCCTCCTCCTCCTCCCCCTCGGAGAGGAGGTCACAGATCTGCTGCTGCAGCTCTGGACTAATGCTGTTCTCAGCCAACACCAGGCTCCGCAAAGCTGTTGGGTAATTTTCTACCATGTCCAGCAGGGTCTAGGAGGGGTGTGTGAGAAGAGGGGGGAAAAGGATGAACATACCTCAGGCAAGTGCTCGGACCCAACCTGCCACCCCTTAGGTATGTCCCCTGACACACTGACTAACCTCTACTTCATCCTGACCTGTCCCCAAAACATGATGGCTTCTCACCTGAGCTGATTGGTTGGTGAGGCCTGTGCCTTCCAAATCTAGGACTTCTAGAGTACGGCTTGAGGCCACAGCTACAGCCAGCATCCCTGCCACATGATCACCTGCGGAGACAGCACATATACATTCACCTGTGACCCCGCGCAGGTCTGCTGACCCTTGCTCCAAGGCAGCTCCCTCCTTATTCTAACAACCTCAGACCCCGCCCCCTGGCCTGGAGATCCTGACAATTGGTGGGCAGCCAGGAGAGAAGTATTGTGATTGGTGAGTGAATGGACAGTGCAAGCCAGGCCAAGGGGTGCTGCCTGATGCTTGGATCATTTGGAGCTCCATTCAGGGTGGCTCCTCTGCCACATCTAGACCCCTTGTGGCTCTCATTCCTTCCTCCCATTCTGCCCTCCTGTGTTGGGGTTACCATGATGACTGATGGGCAAAAGTTCTTAGAGCATGCAGCAATGAGAAGTGAAGGGGGTGATCCTGAGCTCACCCAGGGGGTTGTAGTCCAGATTGAGGACGCGGACCTGGGAACTGTGGGCCACAGCGATGGCGAGGCGGCTCCAGCCCTTAGGGGTGATGCCGGGATTGGCGCTTAGTGTTAGCTCCTTCAAGCCTGGGCAGCATCACAGTTAGAAGTCAGGATGGGAAAGGTCAGTCCTTCCTCCAGCCCCTTCTCCAGCCCATGTTTCTGGAGTATCCCCAGTGGTTGGGAGCCACCCCACCCCCAACCACAGAGCTCCAGAGCCATTGAGGACTCATGTCTCCCCAGCCTCCCTAGCCTGATCCCAGTCTCCAGTCTCAGTCTCAATCCTTCCTCATCTGTGCCACACCCCCTTCCCTCTGCACTTAGCTTTCATCAAGGCCCCACCAGCCCATTCCCTCAGCAGGGCCCTGCTCACCAGACTTAGCCCCATCTGGGGGTAGCAGGCCACAGATGAGGTTGATGGCTTCATCACCCAGCATGCAGTCCCCTAGGTCGAGAGCCACGAGGGCGGGGTGGAGGGCCAGGGCTGGGTTCAACAAGGCCAGCCCCGCATCTGTTAGCGGGCTCCCATGCAGGCTGGGGGGTGAGGCAAGAGAGCAGTTATTGTAGTCATCAGCCTTATCTATTTGAGAAAGTTACACCTCCCGAGAGGCCTGGGGAGGAAGAATGAACATGCTAGGTTCTAAGGACGACCGGTGAAAGAGGGCTATGTCTTCTTTTCTGGGGTAGGGACTGGGATCCAGGGCACTGCATAGGGAGGAGCAGAGAAGGGGTGTGTGGATACGTGGGCTGGAACTCTAAAGCCCGCAGAACTGTACTGGGGACTGAGGGGTGCTTAGCAAGAGGGATGGGCATCTCACCTCCTGCGGGACTGCACGGGCAAAGTCCCGAGATCAGGCACGTGCTTGGAGGGTGCTGTGCAGGCTTGGGCAGAGGGATGAGGTGTGTGTTAAGGGGGTGGGGTGAGGGGATGGGGGGAGGTAGGTACTGGAAGGCGTGTGGAGGAGCAGGAGGTGGCAGGGGGAGTGTGAGGAGGGGCGCAGTGCCCAGGACCCTCTTTGGAGGGGGTGCACTCACAACAGGGACTGGATGGAGCGGTTGGTTCGCAGGGCTTCCGCCAGCTGCTTGATGCGGCTGGGGCTGGACACGACGCCTAGGTTAAGGTTGAGCTGCGCCAGGGACGTGGCCCCGGCCAGCGCCCGGCAGATGCGGCCGAAGTCGCGGTCGCAGAGGCGGCAGCCGCGCAGTGACAGCAGACGCACCGCGTTGTCGCGCAGGCCGCGGCAGATGTCCCGCACCTCGGCGCCCGACAGCGGCTCCCCGGAAATCTGGATGGAGCTGGGAAGCATCGTACCCACGGTTGGGCCGCCGTGGCCGGGGCGGAGGTTGATGGGGCCGCGGGCGGGGCCGGGGCTGGGGCTGGGGTCGGGGCCCCGGCTGGGGTCGCGGACGGAGCGGAGGTGGAGGCTGAGGCAGAGGCTGCGGCGGAGGCGGAGGCAGTGGCGGCGGCGGAGGCGGCGACGAAGAGCGCCGGGGCCGGGGCCCGGGCCGCAGCCGGAGCTGGCCCGGGCCGCGGAGGCGCCGAGGTCGCGGGCCGGGCTGAGTCCGAGCGGCGCTGTGACGGGGGCGGACCGTGCCGTCCGTGTCTGGCGGCGAGCGGGGGCGCGCGGTCCGGGGTGGGCGTCGCTGCCCGGCGCTGGTCCTCCTCCTCGCGGGTTTCGGCGGCGACAGCTCAGGGGCGTCGGCTTAGGACCGGTCCCGGCTCGCAGGCCGCGCCCGCTCCCTCCCTCCGGCCCGGCTCCTCGGCCGCCCAGGGCCCGGCCGCACGACTCGCGAAGGAGAGCCCAAGCCGGCCGCGGGCTGTAGCTCCGGCTCCGGCTCCGGCTCCACACCGGAGCGGGCGGCGGGTTCCCATAGCAACGGCAGCGTCACCGGCGCTCGCCCCGCCCCCCGCCTGGCCTGGGCCACGCCGGCCCACGAGGCCGGCGCACACCGGTAGCTCGGGGCTCGGGGCGGGGCCAGACGACAGCAGAAAGAAGGTGGAGAGCTGCGGCGGCAGGGGCCGGATGAATAGGCACGTCACGTGCAGACGGCGCTTGACGCTGCTCTTTTGCTCATTCACCCTCAGCTCCCCATTCCTAAAGTCTAGACCCTCGGGACCTTCACCAACGTCCCGCACACGGCATCCCGTTCAGCCGTCCCTAGGCCCTTTAACCCGTGCCTCGCCCCGCCCCCAAGGCCGATGACGCCAGGCGCAGCTTGCGTGGGGATTCCGGTCCGCGAGGACTTCCCCATTAATACGACGGCGACGGTCGGCTCCGATCAGGGCGCCGGAAGGATCTCTAGGCTAAGGCACGTAAACTGCTGGTACATGCAGGGTTCCGGTGCCCACCCCCAGCTGCAGCGGCGCGGGGCGCTGCTGATGCCTTGAATTTGTCTGTCTTGGCGAATAGGGCTGCCAGGATGAGCCAGCCGGAGCAGCGTGGGGCCCCGTAAAGCAGGCTGGGCATGCCTACAATCCATCACTCAGGAAGCTGAGGCAGGATTGCCCATTCAAAGCCAGCTTGGGTTATACAGTCAGTTCAAGGTCAATCAAGCAAAAGCTGAGCAAGGTGTCTAATGCCTGTGATCCGTTATTTGGGAGGTAGAGATCGGGAGTGTAGAGGTTCAAAGTCTGCCACGGCAAAAAGTTAGAGACCCTGTGTCAACAAATAAGCTGGGCAGTGGTGGTTCCTATCTGTAATCCCAACTAAGAGGTCTCAGGTTGGCCTGGACAAAAAGCGAGACCCTACCTTAAAAAAACAAAACAATATATATGTATATAGCAGCTATGCTTCGGTGGTTTAGGCATGCAGTCCTAGCTACTAGAGATCATGAAGCTTGTGGTTCAAGTCCAGCCCAGAGGCCCCATTGGTGTATCATAGGGCAAATGAAGGCACCTGTTAGTTCCTGTTATTGGGGGGGGAAGACACTGACATTCTCTTAAAGCAGTAAGTTGTAGTGAGGTCAAAGCCCCTGTCCCCTCTCCTAACCACCGGAAATAACTTCTTCAATGCAGCAGATTGAAAGGGTGGTGGTGGTTTTTAAGAACGGCAGCACTCTTGAGGGAAGAGGAATAACAGAGAGAACTGAAGAGAGCTGGCCCAAGTAAAACCAGAGCAAAGCCAAGTTTGGCTTCAAATGTGAATTCCATGGGAAAAGTAGCTGCACAATGGCCCAGGTGCAGAAGGACCTTGTAATGATGTGGGGTTTAGTCTGGAAATTTCTCTCCAATTGTCATTGCTCCATTGGCATCTCCAAAGTACACCTGAACCCGGATTCAGGCCTGGTACACACTTCCATCAGGCTTGCAACTCTTGTGCAAAGGACTGCCTGCTGCTCCCTGGGCTGGGTGTCCCCAATGTCAGAGGCAGGTTCTACAAACAATCTCTGCCTTCTAGGTAGTCTGCCTGTCCTACCTTCTTCCTGCCTGGGTGAAGATATAAAGAAGGGACATGTGTCATTACCACTGACAGAACAGGAACATGTATAGGAAGTAGGGTGACAGCTACTGAAACAGTAGCTGCAGTTCCAGACTTCAATCAGTATTTTAATTACCAAGTCTATATTTAGCAAGACAACAGGGGAGAGAGAGGAAGGAAGGGGTAGGTGGTGAGTGCCTCAGAGGAGCTGACCCACTTTCTGCACTGGCTGCAGAGCCCTGTAGTCCTGGCCAGGAGTTCCTGGCCTTGTGCCCTTCAGAAGCCCTGACAGGTGTCGAGGAGGTGCTTAAGCAACTACAGCTCAGTGGCAGCTGCAGACCCCATCAACAAGGCATGTCACCAGTACTGTCTTTTAATCCTCCTCCATTCGAGGCTGAGGGTGACAGGGCTGGCCAAGAATTTCAGGGGTCAGAGTGACTGCAGGGTCACTGCTATAGCCTTGGCTGTGGCATTGAGCAGAGTGGCAGGAAGCCGGGCGGCAGGGAGCACGGCAGGGACATCCCTGGGGACTCTCTGCATGGGTGGGATGTTGGGGCCCTCCAGTGTGTCCAGGATCCCTGAAAGGAGGAGATGGAAGTAAGCAAGAGCTGCCGGGGCCCAGGCCTCAGGCCCCAGACTGGGTCATCCAGCCCCCTGCCCTAGGCAGGTGGTCTGCCCCTCCCCCATGCAGGTTTTCCTGCCACTTACCCTCTACCACCTTGTGGTAGGCAAAATGCAGATAGAGCAGGAAGAGCATGTGCAGGGCAGCCAGTGTGCCACAGAGGAGCAGCCGCTGGGTGGGGCCTACAGTCCGTGAAACCAACACTGCCACCTAGGGCCACAGGAATACATCTCAGAGTGCCTAGTTTCAAAGTGGGTGGAGGAAGGAATCCCCAACCGAGGGCAGACCATCAGTGGGTCTTTCTAGAGCCCTCGGTGGGGTGCACAGCTCTGGCTGTCTTCCTCTTCTCCCTAGGACAGCCCACCCAGGGGAACCTCCTGTTCAGCTTACCATACGGAGGGTGGACAGTCCACCCACCAGCAGCCAGAAGAGGTAGAAGAGGGCATGAAGGTGGATGTTATAGGTGATGAACAGGACAATGCAGTGCCCAAAAAGGCCATAGCCCTGGGGAGAAGGATGGTGGAGAGGAAAATCACTCAGGCTCAGCTGGTTCTGGCCTTCTGCCCCTCTTGCCCCTCCACACCCCTGCATCGGGAGACCCTAGGCAATAAATGATCCTTTGGCCTGCTCCTCCCATTCGAGCCCCAGCACCCCCCCCCACCCCACCGCTGTCCCCCACCCCTGGACAGAAGCAGACCAAGGCCTAGCTACTCTTTTTCTCTCCTTTGTTTTATTGGTGGTCCTGGGGGCTGAACTCAAGGCCTTGCGCATACCAGGCAGGTGCTCTATCAAGTGAGCTACACCACAAGCTCTTAGCTACTCTTTTTAAGACCACGCTTGCCCACCACCATGCCAGGCTCCTTACCAGCAGTGCCAACATCTGGAGCATGGTGATCTGGGCATTGCACAGATAAGCGAGGAAGTAAATGAAGGACGAGACGCCTAACCAGTAGCCGAAGCAGGTGCCAATGGCTGTGCCCATCAGGGTGCCCTCCCGCTGTGGGGTGAAGACTCTACTTAGTACTATAGGCCTCTGAGCTCAGCCTTCTGCAGAGGCTGCTCTTGCCTCACTCCACTATCGTGTCCTCAGGCAGCTTTCAACTCCCCCACCCCCGACAAGCCCTGTGTCCAACTTACGATAATGGTGTCAGATGTCTTCATCCCATGGAGAAGGATGGCAACCAGCGTAAAGACCAGCATAAGAGGTCCATAGAGTTCACCTGCGATTTTCTGTCAATACAGCAACTCATTCAGGCTGGAGGGTACAATGCCTTATGTCCTTAAACCTTCCCAGGCTTGGCCTCGTGGCCCCACCCTCTGCCCTAGTTCACCAGACATGCTACTCTTTATTCACCTGAGGGAAACTGACCATCTTGATAGGGATCATGGACTCCAGGAGCCTGGGGAAGGAGAGATGGGCGTGAAGGCAGCAGTAAGCTAGGAGGTTCTGGAAGGCAAGGTCTGAATCTTACTCATTTCTCTAATGCTGGGAAATGGGACCTGGCCCAGAGGACATGGTGGATGACAAGGGAAGAAAAGGGTAGTAAAAAACAGATAGGAAAGGGAGAAAAGGGATGCAGAATGATGGAGGAGGGAGCTCTAAGTAAGATACATTATAAACACATCTGGAAATGTCACAATGAACCGCTCCTGTAAACTAATACATACTAATAAAAATTTAAAAAACAGACACAATGAGGAAATCATTTCCTAGCCTCTCAAATAGTGAGAAGCTATTTGGAGAACTCAGCCTTGCCATATACCTATTTGACCTCCTCCCTTATAAAAGACAGGCAAACCACAGCAGAAGGTGGCCAGAGATCAGGACTGTGATGGAGAAATCCCGGGCAAGGTTTTAGCCAGGTGTTACTATTGAGAGAACCAGTGTGCCTCCTGCCTCTTCCTGCTTACTATTCCTCCAGGCACTGTTGAGCATTTTCTTGAAAAATGTACCTGAAGTGGCATGAAAATTCCACACAGGAGTAGAAGTACAGTCACTCTTCATTCTCTTGTGGCTAGCTTCTAATGATACCCTGGATTTTTAGCGAGGTATTACTTGCCCCGGGAAGACTGCCCTGTCGCAGCCTGTTGAGGTTCAGATGTCTCTATGTGTCACATCACAGCACACTAGTCCTCTATTGTAACTACATCCAACAGTCGCCATCAGGACAGTGCCCCGCACAGCGCAAAAGATTAGTAAGTACTTGCTGAGTGGTCTTGAGTATTTCATAAGCACTAAAGGATGAACGGAGAAACAGTTCTTGAAAAGTCATTCAACAACTATGCCCTGAATTCTGGTTTAGAAACTGTTTTGGTGCCAGAATAAAAAGATAAAGAAGACAAAGCCTGTTTTGGGGGACTTGATGATCTCTGAGGACACAGACCCAGGAATGAGAAAGTACTTCAGTCTGAAGGGCCATCTATCAGAGGAAAGTAGGATTCTATAGGAGCCCCAGGTGAGAACAAACTGGGGGAGGGGGAGTTAAGGAAAGCAGAATGAAGGAAGTGGCATTTGAGCTAGGTTTTTTTGTTCTGTTTTAGTTTTGGCAGCACTGGGGTTTGAACTCACTCTTGCTAAGCAAGCACTCTACCACTTGAGCCACTCCACCAGTCTCTGAGCTACATTTTGAGAGAGTAGATGGAAGAGAGGAGGAATGTGCTATCACCATGGCATGTTCAGTGACAGGGGCAGTGATGAGGGGTGATGGGGTCATGAAGGGGGGAGCCCACCAGAATTCAGGGCTTGGTGTCTGGTTGCAGTTTGGATGAAGGACTAGGCGTGAGAAGGGAAGCTTCTTTCAAAAGCATTCATACCTGCTTCGCACCTGGGCAGGCTCCACATCAAAGTAGGGTCTCAGGATGTCGATGTTAGCATACAAGCTGAAGGCCCTGGAGGCTTGTCTCTTTCCTGCCTGCCACATCTGAAAGGGAGATAGGGTGGATATTATGAGATTCTTTGCTTAGACCTTGTTGCTTGTTTTCTGTGGATTGCTACATGGTTCTCTCACTGGATAGCCTGGAGTGGACATCAACCAGCACCAACTCAAGAACATGGGATATGCTGGGGTATACTTTCCCACCTGCCAGAGATTCAGGTGTTGCTTACCTGATCAGCCACCTGCCGGCTCAGCTGTCCCTTAAAGCCTTTCATGCCTAGGAACTCTCCATCCTCCTCTTCTGCAGCAGCTGCATCGGCATCTACTTCTTCCTCGCGTAGGCGCTGATGCAGCTCGCCCATATCCTCGAAGCTGGAGCCTGAGGTGTCATCCATGTTCTCCATGTCAATCACAGCAGAACCCCCACCCTGTGAAGACAACAGCTTCTAGAGTGCAGGACTGTTCTGTTCCATCAGTTAAATCCTCTGATCATCCCAGGGGTTGGGATTTTCTTCCTCCACTGTTGAGGACATGACTTGGAATCACTACAGACCATGCCATACTCTTCCCTCTCATTGCTCTCAGAACCCTTGGTTGCCAGCTTTGGCACTCTTTTCTAGCCTGAAAAACCTATTACTTGTTTTTAATTCAAGTCCTCCTCCTATGTTCCCTCTAAAAGCCTCAAAGGGCTGCAGAAGTGCTCGTTTCTTTTGTCTTTCCCAAGCTCCAAAGAAGACTGTGCACACGGTATATTTTTAAGCAGGTGCCAGTGATCCCCGTTCCCCGTCCCATGCCAAGTCTAACCCCGGCCGATCTCCTAACTTACGCGGAAAACCAAGAGTACGCCTTCACTAACGCCTCGGGCAGGCCCAGAGACCCGAGGCCCGGCCGGAGCACAGCACAAGTTCCACCGATTTTCGTGTGCAGCAAGACCCAAAGGAGACACAGGTGCTGTAAGTGGAGCAGGCTACCAGACTCCGAGGGAGAATCCCCGCGACACTTCGGGACCGCCGCCAGCCCTGGAGTTGCTGGGAACGTAGCTTTGGGACCATTACCTGGATGTTTTCTTCGAACCCTCCCCATTCCGGGCCAGCTCCGTTTCGGGCGCCGCCGGCCGGCGCCGCTGTAGTTGCCATGTCCCTCGAGCGCTCCCGTCGCTGAAGCCCGCGCCAGCCTCGCGCGCGTCGGAAGAGTGGGCGAGACGCGGGCCTGAGCAAGAGAGACGGCCAGGAGACAGAAGAGGGACCATCGGCCGGAACACAAACAGGAGAAACCCGGATGTTTGGCTCAAACTGACTTCCGGAAGCTGAGGACGTGGACGGAGGCGGGGCAAAGTATCGCGATATAGTTAGGAGTCTAGGAGGCGGGGCGTTGCCACGGAGACGGAGGAGGGCTGGAAGAACGCACGCGCCAATGTGAGGTTCGCCTCTCGTGGAGAGTTGGAAGATGGCGACCGCTCAGGCGGTGGAGGAAATGCGGAGTCGCGTGGTTTTAGGGGAATTTGGGGTTCGCAATGTAAGTCTTATGGCTTTAAGTTCAGGGGGAGGAATGAGAACGGAACAAGGGTGGGGTGGGGATCGGCGTGAGGACGGACTTGGCCTCACTGCCCCTTTCGTGGACGGAGTTTTCTTTTTTGCTCTAGGTTCATACCACTGACTTTCCCGGTAACTACGCCGGGTATGATGATGCCTGGGACCAGGACCGCTTCGAGAAGGTGAGTGGGACTGGAGGTGTCCCGAGAGGTCGTGAGGGCTGAGCGTTTCTGCAGCAGCCCAGCGTAAGGCTGGCCTTCCTCCGCTGTTTTGTGCTGTGTAAGCACTGTGAGTAGCAGTAGCAAGGGAGAAGCAGTCTTGTCATTTGGAAATGTTAGGATGCCTCGGAAGCTGCTTTTTTTTTGGGGGGGTCACTCCGTTGGAAAACGTGTAGAGCCATCGGTGCTATGCGCTCGCTCACGTGTCGGCCGACTCAGTCGGGCTTCGTGCGTCCTGCTGAGGTGGGGTTGTCCTGCTGAACAGCGCACACAAGCGATGATGCAGAATAACGTGGTAAAGGCGGTCGGCGTGAGAAGGGGAGAGCGCGAGAGCTCACGAAAGGTGACATCTGAATGGAGCTTTGGACGAGGAGTGAAGTTGAGCAGCACAGGGTGAGGAGGGACGAGAACAGGAGCGCAGTTACAAAGACTTGTGAAAGGTGTAGTTTGAGAAGGTCCCAGGAGTTCAGGACTAATTGCCAGAAAGCTAAATAGGTCTGATGAATGTAAGCAAGATTGAGCGCATTTTAGGCACGGTAGGCGAGAGGGAGCTTTTGAATTCTTAGCGACTATCAGATTCACACCGTTGATGGGAGGGAGCGAATTTGAGGACGACTATACCCAACGCAGAGAATCTGCTAGGTTGAGTATGGGAGCTGACATTGAGAGCAGGAGCTAGGACTGCTGGGATGATGGGTTCAGGGTTAGCAGGAAAAGTAGTTTGCTTTGGTAAGGGTGGAGGATAAAATGGCCTGGCTTGGGGGACTGTTTTGATGGATGGTGGTGTTAACTGAAAAAGAGAAATGGCTTGGGTAACAGGAGTGATAATGCATTCAGTTTCTGTTTGTGAAGTCTACTAAGCTTGTAGGTTACTGTGTTTGAGCTTGTAGGTTACATGTTTGAGATCAGGTGGGGTGTAGTGATGCATGCATGTAATCCCAAAATTTAGGAGGCAGAGACAGGAGGATCTGGAGTTCAAGGCTAGTGTGGGCTATAAGCGAGTTTCATGCCAGCCTGGGCTGCCTAGGGAGACACTGTGTCAAAAAGCAAAATATAAAATTACAAGGAGCTCTTTCCTCCCTTGTACTATTAATGTATGCTAATAAAAACAAAGAAAATCAGAAATGAGACAAGATTTTGGGAGTTGTCTGTAGAATACTTGCTAAAACTGTAAGTGTGGTTGAGGTCACTTGGGGGACAAGAGTTTGAGAGAAAAGTAACATTTGGTGTTACTTTTGGTGGAGAACAAGATTGGTGCTCAGAAACCAAGGAAATTAAAAAAAAGAAAAACAGCCTGGTACAGATGGCTCATGCCTGTAATCCTAGATACTTGTGGGGCAGAGATTAGGAGGTTGGCAGTTCAAAGCCAGCCTAGGCAAATAGTTTGAGTCCCTATCGAAAACACTTACCACAAAAAAAAGTGTGGTGGAGTGGCTCAAGTGGTAGAGTGCCTGCCTAGGAAGCATGAGGCCCTGAGTTTAAGCCCCAGTACTGCAAAAAAAAAAAAAAAAAAAAACCCAAAACAAAGCCAAAACACAAACAAAAAAAACCCAAGGAAATGGAGTTTGAAAAGGGATGGTTTTTTTATCAGCAAAGTCTAATGCAACAGTAGTAGTCTAGTAAGAAAAGGATTGCATGGTATCAAATGCACTAAGCAATCTGGAAATTTTTGTTATTTGATAGAGCTGTGTATGGTTTGGTTGGAAGCTATATTGTATAGGGTTTTCAATTAATGGAGGACAAAACCAAGGAGACTTCAAGAAACTAAAGGATTAGGGGAGGAAGAACAGGTAGTGAGGGTCATCTGTGCACAGGGAGGTTTTGAATGAGAGGATATCAAAACATTGAGGATAGTATCCACGGAGCAGTCATAGTGGGTTTTGGATTGTACAGAGAAGCAGCTTCACTTAGCATTTCTCCTCCTAGAATTTCCGTGTGGATGTGGTACATATGGATGAAAACTCACTGGAGTTTGACATGGTGGGGATCGATGCAGCCATTGCAAATGCTTTTCGAAGAATTCTGCTAGCTGAGGTATTAGCAGACATGGTGGCGAAGTTGTGGGGGAAGCTATACCATCTCCTTCCTTGTAGAGTCAAGTGCCTCAACATCTGTCCTCCTCACTTTCCTGGGATTTTGCTGAGCTTTTCTCCCCTTTGTGAACTCGTTAGGAAGCATCCTAGGGAGGGATCTGTCTCGGGAGGGGTGTGTGGGGGAGGTGGGTTGGGTCTTTGCAGGTGGGTGATTCTGTTTCCTGGGGCAGGTGCCGACAATGGCTGTGGAAAAGGTGTTGGTGTACAACAACACCTCCATCGTGCAGGATGAGATCCTTGCTCACCGCCTGGGGCTCATTCCCATTCATGCGGATCCTCGTCTTTTTGAATATCGGAACCCAGGTGAGGGTCTGAGGAAGTGGAATGTTGGAAGAGCTGTCCTGAAATACATTCTGGAACCAGACCATCTGGGTCCAGACCCTTGGTTGCCCACTTACGGACCTTGAGCAATTACGTCTTTTGGTAGACTAGTTTTGGTCTGTGAGAACACTTGCCTTTGCCTTCCAAAGTGTCAAAATTAAGTGAGAAGTGTATGTAAACCTTTCAGCGTGGGGCCCCGCACTCCAATATTCCTTAGTCCTTTAAGACTCCTTCACCATGCAGGAGATGAAGAAGGCACAGAGATAGACACCCTGCAGTTTCGGCTGCAGGTCAGGTGTACCCGGAACCCTCATGCTGCTAAAGACTCCTCTGACCCCAATGAACTCTATGTGAACCACAAAGGTGAGCAGTAGTAGACTGAGGAAGAGGATCCGCCTGTGATGGGTGCAAGTTTTAGGGAATGGGATTTTTGACATGCTTTTTTCCAGTATATACCAGGCACATGACATGGGTCCCCCTGGGAAACCAGGCGGACGTCTTCCCAGAGAGCACTATTCGCCCAGTACACGACGACATCCTCATTGCTCAGCTGCGGCCTGGCCAGGAGATTGACCTACTCATGCACTGTGTCAAGGGGATTGGTGAGAATCTTGTGGACCTGTCCTGGGTGGGGATGGAGGTGTTGTTTGATTGCAGTGGTACAGGGGTGACTAGGGAACTCAGAAAGCCGAGAAGTTTATGTTGTCTGTGGCTTAGGACAAAGGGTTTTTGATTTCTCTCTTCCTCTAGGCAAAGATCATGCAAAGTTTTCACCAGTGGCAACAGCCAGTTACAGGCTACTGCCTGATATCACCCTGCTTGAGCCTGTGGAAGGGGAGGCAGCAGAGGAACTTAGCCAGTGCTTCTCACCTGGTGTTATTGAGGTGCAGGAAGTGCAAGGTAGGATGTTTGGGGTGCTCTGGTAGGACCCAAAGTATTTATTTTTTGAAGGTGGCAGGGAGATGTGAAGGCTTTTGGATTCATATAGAGTATGACATGATTTGTTTTCATTAGGTAAAAAAGTGGCCAGAGTTGCCAATCCCCGGTTGGATACCTTCAGCAGGGAAATCTTCCGGAATGAGAAGCTGAAGAAGGCTGTGCGGCTCACGCGTGTTCGGGATCATTACATCTGTAAGTATGAGGGGCATAATGACGACTCTTTAGTGCTGCAGATTCCTCTGCGTTTTGGGGGGCATGGGAGTTTAAGAATGACTTATAACAGGAGCTTTCTAAGGAAGTCCTGCCTGAACGGAAGTGTCTCTTTGGTCCGCAGTTTCCGTTGAGTCAACAGGAGTGTTACCACCAGATGTCCTGGTGAGTGAAGCTATCAAAGTACTGATGGGAAAGTGCCGGAGGTTCCTGGAAGAACTAGATGCAGTTCAGATGGACTGAGGCTTGCGCTGAGGTTTCTGGGGTATCTGGGCATGGGGGCTTCTGGGTTTTGACCTGCCCCACAGACTGCTATACCCAGTGTGACCAGTGGTCCACTTCCAGCTTTACTCTCAATCAATACATTTTGTTAAATGTGCCATGGAATCTTATGCCTTTGTAAGGCCTTTGATGTAAATAAATTCATATTCAAACAAAGATTTTTTCAGAGACTAGATTTTGTTGCATTTTAGTTTTAAAAATATGGGGCCTTCCCCCACGGCAGGCTTGGCATTTAGCAAGACGTGTCCTAAAGCTTCCTAAGAATAGGCCAAATTGAGGTGGTTTCTGGGGGCACAGCCACACCCTAGAAATACACACAAGGAGCCACTTCACCTGTCTCCTGGATTATCAGGAAAATTCCTGATTGGGGTTGGGGTGGGAGATTGTCTTTAGCTGTCTAAGCCCCATTCATGTTGGTACTGACTGCTCCACCAAGAACAGCAGAAATTCTTTTTAAACAGATTGTCACGGCCAGGTCCAATAGCCACAGTGAGACGAGAATGGGATGCACTACCTGTCTAGGTGGATGAGGAGTACACATCTAACTGGCATACCGCTTCAGAACGCTTAAGAGCAGGCCCACAACTTATGGTTCTTCCTGTCTGGTTCTGTTGGCTGGGTGTATGCCACTGGTCTGAAAAAGGCAATTAGGGCCTTTCTGTATGAAATTGACTTTTACTGACATGCAGATGTGCTTTAGAGTTAACATTTCTACAAAAAAGCTCTATAAACAATAGAAAATTTCTAGCATGAAGTCACAGGATGTTAAGAACATTACATAATACATACAACCACACCCTCCACGGCCCCAACCAGATAGGAGTAGGCAGGTATCAAGTTTGGAGGGAAATACTCTTTGAGATCACCTTCACAATCAACAGAACCCCAAGCACCACGCAAGAGGGGGCAGACTTGTGCAGCATAGACGGCAGCATGACTCCCAAGTCCTGTTTCTGCGGCTTTGCCTCGTACCAACCTTGCTGTGTCTGTGGCCTATACCAGCTAAAAGTGGTAGCTTCAGTCCACTACCTCTCACTGAAACCCTTGATGAACTGGTTTGCCTCTTCGTGGAGCACATGGACACACATTCTGGTTTCTGCATGGACCAAGCCTGCCTTCTGTAACCTCAGGGCTAGGTCCCATATCCATGTTCTGCTTCCAGTGACCTCTAGGATGGATACACAGTACAGGTTGTGATGGGAAGGCTTTTTTTTTTTTTTCCTTTTGGAAATGGCCCTTGAAAAAAGTAACCAGGAACCTGAAAGACCATGAGTTTTTTAAAGGCACCTGGACTCAGCTAGTCTAGGAGACCAGTGGCTTTGCTAGTTACTTGATGTGAGCCTTGTTGGTTTGGATTTTATCCTTGGATGACAATGATACTGTGACACTGAGTAGGGTACTGTGGCTCCTATGCCTGAGTAGACTGAGGCTGGGGAACCCTTGAGGGTCACTCATGGAAGGACAAGATGTGTGAACTCTAAAAGGGAAGATGTTAGAGCACTAAATTGCCCAGCCCTGGTCCCTAGAGGTATTATACTTGATACTGTGCCCAGACTTCACCAGTAACCTGTACCATGGATCCCATCAGGTGAACAGATTCTTGCTGAAGACCAAATTGAGAACATTGGCTGATTCAATTCAGCATTTAGCACCTAACCCAGACATGCCCCTGGGGGTGGAGAAGGGTCCCTGCCAGCCTAGCAAGCAAAGGGTTAGGCAGTGGGACTTGCAGTGGTCTAGGAGAAACTCTCTGGCACAGGTGGTCAAGGACTGATCCCTTGCAAGCCTGGGTAGTCACAGCTGTTGAGCACAGCAGCTTATTTCCCATTCTGCCCAGGTGTGTGGCTGCATGGGGGTGGGAGGGTATACTACTTTAGCTTTTCTTGGAAAAGCCAAAACTCCAAGTAGAATGAGAACTACCTGGAATATCTCGTCAGAAAGCCCTGACTCCCTTTCTTGATACTTTAGTAGAGTTACTTGTGGCCCTGCACAGGGCCCACTCTTCTCCATCTCAGACCTGGATCTGTCTCCAGGCTGATCATGGTGGAAAGTGAGGTGGCAGTGCAAGAGGGGCCTAGAAATTAGCTACGAAGGGGAAGAAGAGATGACAATAAAGGCCGAAGGAAGATGCCCAACAGCTTGATTCACGGTTCAAAGATGGTGGCCAGGCCACCCCCTTCATTGCCCAGCACCTCTGTCTCCAGCATTGGTTTTGTCTTTTTGAAAAGTGAGGGAAGATTCTTAATGTGAACTTCTTTTCGGAACTGCTCTCCCAAGGGCTTCTGCAGAAAACAAAGGAAAAAGAACTATGGTAGGTCCTGGGTAGTTGGTTAGAGATCATCCTACCAGAATGGTCAATGCCTGGTTAGAACCTGGTTTACCTGCAGTCACTGTCTAAGAAGACCACAAGCAACTCTGTGGGTCTGGGAACCATAACAGAAGCATGACCTACCCCAATGCAACCGGCAATGAGGCGTTTGAATTGGTCCTTTCGTCGCTTGTCAGCTACTTTCTGCAGGGAGGGGTTCAGAAGCTTGCAGTCAAACTGGTCCAGAGAGTCCTTCTGTATTTCAGGAATTTGCTCCATCACAGCTCTTATCTCCAAGTACCGGGGGCGCTGATAAGTGGGGATAAACTCAATACAGGTCCTGGCCCCTGCCACCTTACCCATTCCCTGCCACACCCACCTTAAGACAGTACTAGCAATTAGGATAAAGCCCAAGATCCTGGCAGCAGGCTGAGCGAAGCAGCCACAGTCACCTTGCCCCCATGCTCTCTCCACTCACCAGTGCCTCGTATATTTGGAAGGCCAAGTTGACCAGGGAAGCCATGCACCCGTCGTGCTGCCCGTGCATCTGTAAACCTTTCAATACACTGGTGAAAAGCCATGTGACAGCATCTGCGAGCAGTGTCCCTGACAGCACCTGGAGAGACAGCTGTGCTCAGGGCCACAGGGGGTCTCTGAAGGCCCCAGCACCTCAACTCTTCCAACTGATTCAGTCAGTTAGCATGACCCAAACCCTCTTTGAGTTCAGGAAGAAGGGTGGATAACCATACTTGTTTGAGGAGAGGCCAGCAGAGCTGTGTGGTGGTCCTCTGGCAAGACAGAGTATCCTTCCAGGCCAGTGAATTGAAGGCTGTAATTAGCAATGCAGTGCAAACATCCTGAACAGGAAAGGAAGGATAACGATGGGAAAATAAGCACAATTCTATTTGTGCGCATGTGTGTGTGTGTGTGTGTGTGTGTGAGATTGGGGTCTGAACTCAGGGCTTTGTGCTTACAAAGCAAGCACTCTACTGCTTGAGCCACACCTCCAGTACATTTTGCTTCAGTTATTTTGGAGATGGGATCTTGCGAATATTTGCCCGGGCTGGCCTTGAACTGCCATCCTCCCAATTTCAGCCCCCCAAGTAGCTAGGATTATATGTGTGAGCTACCAATGCCTAGCTTTTCTGACTGTTCTATATCAAGAACTGGAATTTTAATAGATAAAACAGGAAATAATAAAAGCAGGACACTGAAGCAAGTTTACTTCTTTTTTACTGTATCAGGTGGTTAAAAAGAAGAAGAAGAAGAAAAAAGTATGTAAGAGAAAACCTTGGGCTGAAGGCGTGGCTTAAGTGGTAAGCCCCTGCCTAGCAAGTGAGAAGCAAAAAAAAGAGAAAACCTATACGAAAGCCTACAGCTCAGGCCTGGGGAGGGTGAATAAACACTAGGGATTTGCAGCAAGGTGCCTGTATGTTTTTCTGAGAGCCTTTGCCCAGAGTGAGAAAAGTGGACACTGGTTTCCCAGCTGGGCAAGGAGAAAAGGTGTCATTTGTCTCCTCTTACTCACCTCATGCTTCATCAGACATTTGCCCAGATCTGTAAGCTCTGCCATAGCTGAAGGGGTTACCTCTGTGGCCATCATCTCTTCATCTGTAAGCAAAGAGTGTTAAGCTTCATTCTTTCAGAACAGAAAGATCCTGTTCTGACAGAGGCCTAAAAGTAAAGCAAAGCCATGCTAAGTGTCCTGTGCTGCCTGGCACTGAGCATTACTAGGATAGCCCCTCTCCATGAAAGAGTATTGATGCTCATGCCCATAGATCTCCCAGAGATGCACTGAGCCATGCATGTGGGCAACCTCTTAAGCAGCAGATGCTGAGGATCTTTCATTGCTGAATGAACATGTGAATGTCCATGGTGGGGTATAAAAGGAACAAGTAGAACCCCTTCCCTGATGGGAGTGAGTATACATTCTAGTGAAGGAGTCACTCATTATGTACTCAAACATAAATAAAAACGTACGTAGTGAGAAAAATAAAGGAAGGAAGGAAGATAAAACAGAAGACTATGAATGGCTGGGGCTGCCAGTTTGACTAAGTTGGGCATGGAAGACCTCGGAGATCCACTTGAGCAGAAACCTGAGTGAAGCAAGAGGTCAGGCCACATGTGCAAAGGCTTTGAGGTGGGGTGTGCTGGAGGAAGTACAGCAAGAAGGCCAGCACAAGGTAAAACAGCTAGCTGTACCACATGTCCTCCTCACTGTAGGGCCAGGCAACAGACTCACTCACCATCTCCATCTGCAGGGGGAGCACTACTGTGGTCGGCACTCTTCTTTGATACACAACAAACCGCTAAAGCAAGAAAGCAAGGTTACTGGGTGAAGGGAGGGTGACATTGTAACACCAGACAATAGTCACCTCAGGTTGAATGATCACTGAATTCAATTATTAACTAGGGGGAAATTATTGGCCAGGAGAGGTGACTGAAGCATACATCCCTAGCTACTTTGGATTGCCAATAAATTAAATGATCAAGTACCATTCTTTGAATATTTCCAAAAGTAGAAAATTAGCTTTCATGTCCAAGAATTTAAAGTTTCCGCAATTTTGACAAAGCTAGGAAGTTAACAATCTAAATTCTTCCTATATTAAGAGTACTTCCTCATATTCTGGCCTTGGTACAACTGAATTCACAATTCACTGACTATATTAGGTTGACTTAGGACTACCTAGCTTCTACTTGGTTAATTATTTCTTATCAACCTGACAATTTTGCTGCAAATCTGAATCTTCGCATCAACCTAGCCTTCGTAGGGATGGCTAAGCGAGCAGCTCTTTTTCCAGGAAAATTCTCACTACCCATGGTTCCCACATGCCACTTACTGATCAGGTCCATGACTTCTCGGGTTAACATCCTCACCAGTTGTTCCTCCAGCATCTCTTGAGACTCTGGGTTTTCCTCTGCAGTCTCATCTTCTCCACTGCCAAAAATCAAGGACCAAGTTCCATGGGAACATAAACAAGCAGTGACCCTCTCTAGACCTGTGCCCACTTCCTTCTGGCTTCCTTCAGGTCTGTGTTCCACGCAGATGTTGGGAATGAACATCAATGGTCTGCTGAAGGATGCTATTACCTGTGACTCTTTCTAGTTGGAGAGTGGGCACAAGCTTAAAATTCTGAGTGGGTAAGGTGAAGGCACCCCCAATGAAGGCTTGGTCTTAATGTCTGCCTACTGGTCACAGCTTGTTCAGATAAATCAACTGCCAGTTAAGCTGAAAATGACTATTTTAGCCCTGTGATAGTAGAATCTCTGCCCCCGCCTCTTTCCCCACCTAAACCTGGCTGCCAATTCACCCACCAAGGAGAATGGGTATTCCTTACCACAGCAGGCTCCTCTGGTTGATGACTTGCCATTTCTGGGAAAGCCTCTGGGGAAACAGAAGAAGGAAGCACTCGGACAGGGGAGTGGACTGGAGCACATAATAACTAAGGTCTATTTCTCAATTAACACTAGCCAAGGATGATTCCAGATATCAATGACAGGGTCTTGGTAGAGCCCCACAAGGTTAAAAAAATCAGACATGGTTTCTGTAACTTCCTCCGTCTCTGACAAGGGCAACATGTCAAACATCTCTGCTTAGAAAGGATTAACATCATCCTTAGGACTCTGGATCTCAGGCCACATCTGTTTTCTGCCCAGGTGGTCCTCTTGCTTAATCCCAATTCACAAACACAGACCCAGGGGGAACATTTCCCTGATCACTTCTCAGTAGGCAAGAGTTAGGAGTAGAATCTGCATGGGAAGGTGCCTTGTGGGCAAATGAGTCAGTTTAATTCTCTGTGGGCTGCTCAGTTCATTTACCAACTCTTAAGTCTGCTGGGTGGGAGATTTGTACACCCAGCCTAGCAGGGCAAAGAGACAACGCTTTCAGAAGCTCCTGACTCACAACACTCCGAGTGGCTCTGTGTGCTAAGAGTACTCTGCTTTCCTTTCCTGGCCTATTTCTTACCATGTGGAGGTAGGTGAAAAGAGGTCCGAGGATGGGAGACACCAGGGCTTCGTAATGCTCTGGTGGGCAGAAGAGCACCAGAGGCTTCACAAAGACCCGTGCTGCAGTGAGTTAAGAAGGTTTAGCACATGAGAATAGACCCCTCACCAGCCAGGCAGCCAGTGTACCCCTGGACAGTGAACCCCTAAAAGAGATGTGAGATGGCGAGAACATCCCATGTAATAGGGAGGTCTTCATGCTCTTTTCCTAAATCCTAAACTGCAATAATCCTCAGTTATATTTTTAGTTTAACTGTTCTTTCTACCAGGCTACACATTATGGGTACAAGGTTGCCCAAAAGTAGGGAGAAGAAAAATAGAAGGACGCTTTTGTAATAAACCATAAACCCCTCCTTTACCATTCTCATTGTAACTTTAGGAAAAAGGACAGAGATTCATAGCAACTTTGTAAAGGGTCTGAAAGAGAATGAAATTAATGAGCTGGCAGAGTGGCTCAAGCAGTAAGAGCGCCTGCTTAGTAAGTGTGAAGCCCTGAGTTAATCCCCAGTGCCGCAAATTGGAAAAAAAAAAAAGAATGAAATTAAGAAATTGCTTCTTCAAAAAGGAAGCACCTAGCCAGGTAGCTGTAATTCAAGCTACTTGGGAGGCTGAGGCAGGGGGATCATTTGAGCCCAGGAGTTTGACTAGGAACATGGCATGACCCATCTCATGTTAAAAAAAAAAACTAAAAAAAACTAAAAACCTAAAAAACTAGCTAGCATTTGTTGCCCTTAATGCAGAGAAACGAAAGCAGATACCTTAAAGCAACTGAGGCCAATAGGAAAAGGGGAACAGGTACTAGAGAAAAGGTTAGATCAAAAAGAATTAACCTAGAAGGTAACACCCACGCACAGGAAATCAATGTGAGTCAATGCCCTGTATAGCTATCCTTATCTCAACCAGCAAAAACCCTTGTTCCTTCCTATTATTGCTTATACTCTCTCTACAACAAAATTAGAAATAAGGGCAAAATAGTTTCTCCTGGGTATTGAGAGGGGGGAGAGGGAGGGGGCGGAGTGGGTGGTAAGGGAGGGGGTGGGGGCAGGGGGGAGAAATGAACCAAGCCTTGTATGCACATATGAATAATAAAAGAAAAATGAAAAAAAAAAAAAAGTCAAAAAAGCTGCGCAAGGTGGTGCACACCTGCAATTTTAGCACTAGAAGGGGAAAGGCAGGTGGATTTCAAGTTTAAGGCCAGCCTGAACTATGTAGCAAGACTTTGTATCTTAGACACACAATTCTACCCGTTTCTTGAAGCTCTTCTTCCCTTTAATTCGTCTCTAATTTTCTGACCTTTTGTTATCCTGGGACTTTTGAAAGGATATGAAGCATGGGTCTGAGGCGGTAGTCAGGAATATTGTTTAAGTTGACAAAGGCTGAGCCGAGGAGCTGCGTAGCTAGGTCCTCCACAGTGTAGAAGTCTTGCTGCATGGAAGGGCCTGCCTTCCCTAGGATATGGAAACTGTAAGGCAAGATCATTGGGAATGACAAATCTAGCATCCCTGACTGCGAACCCTAACTGCCCAACAATCTCATTTCTAGTTCACAAAGCTCTTCCGCTGCATAAGCAATTGTGTTTGCTCCTTAAGAGAACTTTAGAGCCAGGCATCAATAGCTCACACCTGTAATTCTAGCTACTTGGGAGGCTGAGGTGGAGAGGATCCCAGCTGGAGGCCAGCCCAGGCAAATAGTTCATGAAACCCCATTTCCAAAATAACCAGAGCAAAATGCACTGGAGGTTTTGCTCAAGAGGTAGAGCTCCTGATTTACAAGTGGGAAGCCCTGAGTTCAAACCCCAGTTCTACTCCTCCTACTCCCCTCCCAAAAGACAGTAACAACTTTAGTTATGAAGATATAAACTTGTACTTTTGTCAGAAGTAAAAATTACCCCCCCCTTCCTGCAAGAAACTCCTTGACAGCAGCTACAGCATCTGTTAAAAGGCACACATTGGTAACCAAGGTCAACAATAGCTTTCATGATGGTGTAATGATGTGGACTCACAAGGGAGGAGCTTATGGGCTAAACCTGGTTTCAACCCTGGGTTAACTGAGGCCAAAGCCCTGGGTGTGTAAGCAATGAGGGGTCTGAGTGAAGGCAGCTCCAGCACTGTTCTACCTGGGTTTAACTATTTTAGGCATGAGAAACAGACACATTGGGTACAAATATCACATCATGACTAGAATTGTGAGGTTCATATGATAAAAAAAAAAAAGTAAACACAGGAAAGCAACCTGTTCACTTTGATTCAACACTAGCATCATTAATCTCCCTTCAAATTCCTGCCCCACCTTACCTGTACAATAGAATTTTAGCTTAAAGTGAACATGTGGCTGTTTCTATATATTCTGTAACATATAGAAAGGTCTGTTCCTATATAGAACATATAGAAACAGGACATGGAAAAGCAGTGCTGGCTCCTTACCAGTTTTCATAGAGGGTGCTGAAGAAACGCTGCATTCTTTCCAAGATTGTTTTGTAGACAGGATAGTCATTGAGTTCCAAGAGAGGCTGAGGTAATCCTATAGAGAAAGACAGGTCAGGAAGATGTGGTCTGGGTGTGTGTTTGTGTGTGTTTATGTGTGTGTCTGTGGAAAGCAGCTGACCATGTCTTCCTGGTGGTGGAGGTGCTAAGAGCTTTCCAAAAGGTGATTTGTTACATTTTTGGCACTAGTCAAGTACCCAGAACTTCAGACTGAGTTTCCCAGATAGGACCTGTACTAAATAAACTACAAAGTAGCAGCGCAAAGGGATCTCTCATAAAGTACTAGGGATACTCCCCAAAAGCCCAAAGTGTATAGCAAATCTAAATGAAATCCACTTACCTCAATGTAACAAATGCCTTAAAAGACCTGTATTTTGAAGTATAATAAGAGGTCACTTTACACGTGTGTGTGTGTGTAGTGAGCAATGCCTTCCTTTTGTATTAATGGCAATACATGTCTTGGAAGTTCTATTTTAACTGGAACACAGGCCTTAAGTGTAGTGATGCCCAAGGAAAAGATCCAGGGCTACACCTAGGCCGAGATGGACAGACATGAGCTCTGAAACGGCAAACTAACATCTTTCTTTTAGTTAACTTCACAGCTCAGGAGTCCTCATTGGATAGCCTGACCACAGTCAGACCCAGGCAGATATTATGACTAAGAACAAAAAGACACTGTAGGGCTGTGACAGTGAGCCAGCCTGAAGATTCTAAGATAAGCAGAAGGTTCCAACTACTCTAATGCCTTTCAGTCTAACTTCCTGCCACATTCCCAGTCTTACTCTTATGTTCTAGTTACAAGTCACCCCTCTCTATTTCCTGCCTAACTTGCGATCTGTACCTGCATTCTGTCTGTCCAGAATGCCCAGCATCTCTTCTTGCCTCTGTCCTGGTTAGCTCCTCCTCATGCTTCAAGACTCCACTGGGAAGCAATTACGGAATTCCCTCCAAAACTGGGCTAGGTATCCAAATAAACAGTGACATAGCCCTGTCACTTTCCTTCACAGCAAATAACACAATTATGACTGTGTGGTTATTTTCATATTTGTCAATGGGAAAGTGGGTTACAGCAATACACTAATCAAGGTAACAACTGGGAAGCATGGCTTAGAATTTATTCCTTTAAACATTCAGATTGTAACCACGTCCATATACGCATGCACACACATGTGCAAAAGGAAAGTATACTAGTATCTTTCAGGTTAAAAGTCATGGTTTATTTATAATCTAAGGGCTCTGACGCCTACCATAACCTACTAGCTTAACTGAAAGAGGGATCAACGGGGAGAAAAACCTGCCAGGGAAGACTGCATGTTAAGATAACAAGGTAAATACAATTGGTCTTGTTGAGCCTGTGTAAACTCCAGAGTGTTTCTGAACAAACAGGTGGTCAAGAGAGTACCAGAAAAATATGAGCACAAGTTGCCTGAGGAGCCCATTAGAGATAAAGTGAGCTTAGGAAATAAAGGTTTGATTTCTTACCCAATATAACAGATTTTTCGGCTTCAAGCATATCCAGAGCCTTAGCGAATGGCTCTGCCATTTTGGCTAGCATTTCCGGTGCATATAAAGTATTGTGGGTTCTGCAAGAAACAAGGATGCTATGTGAACATTTCCTACTCTGTTGAAGAAAAAGCAGGTTTCACCTTATAATACAGTGACACTATACCTCCACACAGAGGTCATCCCCACCCCAACGCCCCCTCCCAAAAAAACAACAGTACTCCCAGCAGGGGTTAAGAAACGAAGGTAAAAACTTTTCAGCATTCCGTAGAGAAGGGTACAGCCCTGATGGTGAGGGGTAATCACATAACATGAAATTAAATGTTGTATATTATTATTATTACTTTATTTTTTTTGGCAGTACTGGGGTTTGAACTCAGGGGCTCATGCTTGGTAGGCAGGTGCTGTACCTCTTGAGCCACACCTCCAGCCCTAAAATTAACCATTTAAAAGTGCACAATTCAGTGGTATTTGCGACATTCATGTTGTGCAACTACCATCTCTCTGATTCCAAAACACTGCCCCCGCAAAAGGAAGCAGCTGACCTCTGTTCCTTTTCCTCAGCCTCTGCCACTACGGTTCCTATAAAGGGACTCATACAGTGGCTTTTTGTGTGTGTGGCTTCTTTCATATAGTACATTTTCAAAGTCTGTCCACACTGCAGCCAATTACCCTGTCCCATAGATCTGCCACCCTTGTGTTACCGGGAGCATCTGAGTGGTTTCCACCATCTTAATATCGTCATGTAGTGCTACTGTACCATTTGATCAAGTATTTGAAAGCCGGCTTGTAATTCTCTTGGTCGTACACCTAGTTATGGAATTGCCAGGTCATTGGTAATTATACATTTTACTTTTGTAGGAAATGCCAAACTGTTTTCCACAGTTTGCACCATTTCACACGCTCATCAACAATGAAACACTTCCAGTTCTCCCACATCCTTGCCAAGGCTTGTTATCTTCTCTATTTTCTTAAAATGACATCTTCCTACTGGGTGTGAGGGGTGTTTGTTACGAGTTATGACGTGCACTTCCCCAACGACTAATGGTGTTGAACATCTTCTCACGTGGTTGTTGACCATTTGTTGGTATTTTCTTTGCAGACATGTCTATTGAAGTCCTTTGATCATTTACAAACTGAGTTGTCTTTTGTTGCTGAATTGTGAGAATTTTTATATGTTGTAGACACTACTCTTACCACACATATGATATGCAAATATTTTCTCTCATTCTGTAGGTTGTCTTTCTACCTTCTTGTTTCCTTTAAAAAGTTAAAAATTTTCAACAGAGCCAGTCAATCTATTTTTTTCCCCTTTCTTTGTGCTTTTTTTTTTTTTTGGTCATGTAACAGCTCATGGCCAAATCTAAGGCTAAGAACATTTACCTTTAGAAGTTTTATAGTTTTAGTCTCTGTAAGCAGGGTTTCATGCTTGCTAGGCAGGCACTCTACTAACTGAGCTACTCTGCCAGCTTTTATTTGTGTTATTTTTGATACAGGGTTTCACTTTATGTCTGAGCCAGCCTGGACTATGATCCTCCTATTGTGCTTCCCTGTGTAGCTGGGATGACAGTTGTGTGCCACCACACCCAGCCACTCATTGGTTGAGATGGGGATCTCGCAAACTTTTTTTTTTGCCTGGGCTGGCCTCAATCCACGATCCATTTGACTTTCAACGCCCAAGTATAGCTGGGTTGATTTTTGTATATGGTGTGAAGTAGGGGTCAGATCTCATTTGTAAGCATGTGAATATCCAGTTATCCCAGCAACATTTATTATTTGTTCAACACTGACTGTCTTAACACTCTTGTGGAAAGTCAATTTGCCACAGATGTATGGGTTTTCCCCTGGACTCTCAATTCTATTCTGTTGGTGTGTATGTCTATCCTTATGCCAAGACAACACTATCCTGACTATTGTAGCTTTGAAATCAAGAAGTTTCATTCCCTCAACTTTATTCTTATTTTTCAGGATTGCTTTCGCTTTTGAGGGCTCCATGTAATTCCTTAAGTATTTGAGGATCAGATTTTCTATTTCTACAAAAGAGGTGCTGGATTTTAATAAGGATTACACTGACTCTGTAGACTGCTTTATGTAGTATACTCTCTTAAAAATATTAAGTCTTCCAATCCATGAATATGGGATGCCTTTCCACTTATCTAGGTCTTCTTTAATTTCAGCAATGCTTTATAGTTTTCAACATGTAAGTCTTTTATACCCTTGGTTAGTAAATTTATTCCTAGCTATTTCATTCTATTGAATGCTGTTGTAAGTGAAATTGTTTTCTGAGTTTCTTTTTTGGGCAGTTCACTGCTATGAACATACACAAAACTGATTTCTGTGCATCAAACTTACACCCAGCAACTTTGCTGAATTCATTTCTTAGCTTTAGTTATTTTTGTGGGGTTTTTCTACATCTAGAGCCACATTAATTGTGAGTATAATTTTACTTGTTTTTCAATTTGGGTGCCTTTTATTTTCTTTTTTGCCTAATTGCTTTGTCTGAAACTTCTAGTGTACAATATTAATTAAGTAGCACAATGTGATTAAGTGTTGAAATTGGCATTCTTGTCTTGCTCTGGATTTTGGGGGAGAATGTTCCACCTTTCACCACTGAGTATGACGTAAACCATGGACATTTCATAAAAATTATTTTTCTGGCTGGGGATAGAGCACTTGCCTAGAATGCCCTGGTTTGATCTCTAGCACCACAAAAAACAAAAACCAGCCAACCAAAGGGTATAATTGGATTTTCACATGCTTTTCTGTGCTGAGATGATTTTATGGTTGAGATTTCCTGTTTTTATGAATGTGGTATATTACATGAATTGATTTTTGTATGCTGAACAGCACTCTTGCATCCCTAGGATAAAGTTTACTTGGTCATGGTGTATAATTGTTTTAGCATGCTGTTAGATTTAGCTTGCTAGTATTTTGCTAAAGTCACCTCAACTCTACCTTAGCCTTCACCTCCTAACTGTGTGGAATACAACAGTTGATAAGAGGTGCAACTTATTATTTAAAATTGCAATTTGTAGCCAGGCACAGTGGTACACACCTGTAATCTCAGCACTCAGGAGTCTGAGGCACAAGGATCCAGAGTTCAAGGCCAGGCTACATAGTGAGACAAAATATTGTAGTTTACTTATTTATTTTTTTTGTTTCTGCATTAAGACAGGACGTGGTGGCACAAGCCTATATTCTCATCACTGGGAAGGCTGAGGCAGGAGGATTGCCAGTTCAAGGCCAGCCTAGGCTTCACAGTGAGACGCTTTAAAAAAAAAAAAAAGTTTTGTTTTCTAAATTTTCTCTTGGTTGAGAAAATGTGAACACTATGAAATGATCTCTGATGATGATGAAAGTAGTTGGTTTTTTTTTTTTTTTTTTTTGTGATAGTGGAGTTTGAACTGAGGGCTTATACCTTTGGCCACTCTATCAGCCCTTTTTTGTGCAGGTTTTTTTTGATAGTCTCAAAAACTATTTACCTAGGCTGGCTTCAAACTGTGATCCTCCTGATCTCTGCCTGCTGAGTAGCTAGGTTTATAGGTGTGAGCCACCAGCACCCAGCAAAAGTAGTTCTTCCTGAGAAGTAAATAATTTTGACTGTGAACAGTACAGCCATCTTTTTTTTTTTTTTTTTTTTGAGACAGGGTCTTGCTCTGTAGCCAAGACTGGCTTCGAACTTTACTGATTACAAGCATGTGATACTACACCTGACCACCATCTGTTTTTATTCTTTAATTGAATGTGATTGTGATCCCAAGATATAATAATATATCAAATGTCCCTGACACTATATAAAAAAATCTGGTATTCCTTATAGTCTCCTTTCCTCTTCTTCTTCAAGGAGATAACAACATGTTGGCTACACCTCCATTCACAATTAAAAAATTAGTCATCTAAATCTCACCTGGCATCGTGGCACAGGTCTCTCATCTTAGCACTCAGGAGGCTAAGACAGGAGGATCTCAAGTTCAAGGCCAGATTGGACTACATAGTAAGACCCTGTCTCCAACAAAACAATCCCCCCACGGCCTTCATAGCTCCTGTACATAAACAGTGCAAGTATAAATTGCTATAAATACTTCAGAGAAGGGGTTTTAGCCATGAACACTGAAAATATACATAGCTTACCTGGAAATTCCACTCTTCTGTCTACATCCAAAGAAATTTATGTATGTATGTTTACCAAGACACTGGCAAGAATTTAAAAGAACTATTTGTAATATTGAAATACTGCCCAAAAGTCCATCAAGGCTGAATAAGGCAGTATATTCACACATAAGACAGTATATCACAGAAGCAATGAGAATGAATAAACCAGAAGTGAATGCAGTAACATGGCTATATCTCATAAACAGAATACTGAGCAAAAGAAACCAACAAGGGCATATGCTGATTTCAGTTATGTAAGGCTAAAAATATTCCAGGCAAACAGTTAAAAAATAAAAAAGTGCTGGCCAGGCGCTGGTGGCTCACACCTGTAATCCCAGCCACTTGGCAGACAGAGATCAGGAGGAAGGCAGCTCAAAGCCAAGCATGACAAATAGTTTGAGAGACCCCCATCCTGAAAATACACAACACAAAAAAGGGCTGCCAGAGTGGCTCAAGTGGTACAGTGCCTGCCTAGCAGTTGTGAGGCCGAGTTCAAAATTGAAGTACCGCCAAAAATAAATACAGTAAATAAATAAATGGTTTATTCTTAAGAATAAGTAATGACTGACAAGAGGTATTGGATTAGTTTTTTTTTTTTTTGTGGTAGAACTGGGGTTTGAATCAGAGCTTTGTGTTTGCAAAGCAGGCGCTCTACCACTTGAGCCACACCTCCATTCCATTTTGCTCTGGTTATTTTAGAGATGTGGTCCCTCAAACTATCTGCCCAGACTGGCCACAAACCTTGATCCTCCCGATCTCAGCCTCCCAAGTAGACAGGGTTACTGATATAGCCACTGGCACCTGGCAGGTTAGGTTGGTTTTTGACATTTGACATGAATGCTGACTACATTTCTAGCTCTACTTTGTAAAAATTCATCTATGCACACTGATAATTTGTACTGTTTTCTTTAGATATACTGTAATACAAAATTTATAAAACAAAACAAAACAAACTATTAATTCCAGCTACACATTACTCAAGCAATCTAACCACTCAATTAACTACTGTCAACATTTTTCAAAATATATTTGATTGATTTTAAAATTTTCTAAAAGCACTGTACTCTTAGAAAAACATCAGGATGATAACCATACTGTTGTCTGATGCATCCCTCGCCCAAGCAAGAGGAATGAGCACTGTTTGCAGGTCTGAGCTTTCAGCGCATTGATTTTTGGCCACAGGCCTGGTCAATCAGTCTCTTGATGTGACTCCATCATTCCCTTATTTCTCTAAGCTGCAGAAGCACCTTTTGGTTTTAAAAACACCAACATGGAAATAAGTCTTTCCTTGACTATTTTTATTGCCTTTAACACACAAGTCATATTACTTTATTGAAACCTCTTTCCTCCTTTTGAAATCAGAACACTGTCTATTTGAATACTGTCTACTTCCACAGACACGTCCACGATGGCAACTCTATCAAGCACTCAGCCTCTCCAGTTCCACCAACCATTAATTTAAAACTTTTGATTCTGGGCTGGAGGCATGGCTCAAGTGGTAAAGTGCCTGCCTAGCAAGTGCAAGGCCTGAGTTCAAACCCCAGAAACACCATAAACAACAAGAAAAAACTCCTTTGATTCTTTGGCGTTGGTCTTGGGCATCTGTTGCTAGGAAAGCCTTCCTGAGACATTTCCTGAGTAATTTGGTTTGCCCACTTGAGATTCTGCCTTATACTCCCTGGTAAGAGGCCTAAAAGCACTGCAGCAGAGCTCTAGCTAATAGGAGCTAAATTCTATCAAAAACCTATGTTTTTCTGTAGTGAGCCTCCCTGAATCACAAATCATTCTAGTAGCCAACAAGGTTATACTGACCAGTTTCCATTTGAATGTATCAACTCACAACCTAGAACAGTGACTCTGAGCCTTTTATGTATACACGAAGCTCCTGGAGACCTTGATAAAATGTAGATTCTGATTTTACATGTTGGGAGTGGTCCCAGTTCTGCTTTCAAACAGTGCTCAGGTGATTGCTGATGCTGCTGGTTTAGGCTCTCAGCTTTGAGACCTAGCAAACTGAGGTAAAGAATGCATCATGCTTTTCTTTAGCAGGCTCAGACAATGACTGTTTGGCCCATCTGAGTTTAGTCATAACTTGTAAATTCAGATGAACTCACATGGATATCACACAGGGAAACACCACTACAGAAAGCAACTGTCCTGCTCCTAATGAACAATTCCTTTACCAGCAAAAATCTAGCCTGAATAAATTTAAAAGCAGAAGTAGGGATGAAGTATAAAGAAGTAGATGATAGAGGAGGCTAAAAATGAAAAAAGCCATTTAGGGATTAGCCCCCATAGCAAACATGGAATGCAAGTTGTAAGAGAGAACTGTTATTCTTAAAAAGAATGGACCCCCTCTCTAGAAAGAATCAAGACCTAATCCTTCATTACTGCTACCATGATAAGACGTATGAACAGATAAAACTTTTAAGATTCTAAAGGTTAAAAAAAATAAATAACAGAAAACAAAACAAAACAACCCAACATTATTCTGACTCACCTTATAAGGGCAAGCAAATTGTCAAGAAGTTTTAGAATCTGCTCTGTGCAGGGGTTACGGAAGATTGGATTGCCACTGGGAGTATAACCCACCACAAATCCCCCAGCTTTCGCCTCTTCTAGGTCAGCAGGCCAGCAAGTTCGTTTCATAACACCCAGAATGCTATACACACAAAAACTCATCTACCAAAAAGCAAGAATGAAACATAAAGACAAAAGCAAAGCACTGTTAAAGTAACACAGAAGCCATAGAGAAGGGAAGAACCCTCTGTCATCTCCCCCCACCTCCACCCCGTCCCTTCCTTTAAGATCAAGTCCAAGAGGGGTCCTTCACTACCATGAAAGGACAATGGTAGGTCTCTGCAAGTTTCCCTTTTGTTAGGATGTCTTCCAGGGGTTTGGTGACCCTCCCACAGGATCCTGATTAGAAAGTGGTTTAGAAGTGCTCCAAGACAAAGTATTGAAACTGCCATCATTTCACTTTGTTTCCCTCCAGCTTGGATTTTGGCAGCTTCTTCCCTAATCCCACCTCAACCAATCTACCGCCTGCCAGGTTATTTAATGTGTCTCTTGCCATAATGGATTGAGGAACAACACTTACAACAAAGCACTGCAAAACCTCAGGTGTGCAAGTCTGACCATCACTTAGGACTTTACATGCCAGAGAGCAATGGCAGGGAGGCTCACCCTGGTGACCAGTGTCTGACCTACTTCCTCATTACACCTGGCTTCAGAGCTATGCAGAGATTCTTAAAATCAAAATAATGAGTTCATAGAAAAGATGATTTGCTCTACTGTGGGAACTAACTCAAGAATTCAAGACTAAAGCAGAAAAGGAGTTTAGGGCAGTGGAGACTCCAGGTTTCTCACCACTGACAAGGCAAATCTATGAGAAATCTGACAAACGGCAACATCCCATTCCTACTCGTGGTCAGATCAACTTCCCATTCCCAGCACAATCTTACTCGTGCACGGTTCAAGCCACAGGGATCCTCCAGGGCCGGGTCGCAGCTTTTCAGATCTGCACCCACATAGGCAATGAAAGCAGGGACATCTGACAGCACTCTGAAGGGAGGGGGGAAGAGAAGTTGTATCATGACTTTAAGTAATGGCAGTTTCTTCTGTAAGAACTAACAGGCCCATGATTTGGTCCAAAAGGGCAGGTTTATAAAAGTGGGAGGAGTTTAATTATATCACTCATAAGCTTTCATTGGAAGGCTTGAACTTCCCTTCCCACTCCGTTTCCTTAGCAACACTTCACTTTCTCTACTCATGGGTAGAGGCGTGCCTGTGTGGCTCCTACTTTGGTCCTCACTGGCTGTTCTCCATTTCTCCAGAGGTGCTGATCACTGCAGACCCCACAGCAGCCTTGCTCTGTGCCCTCATGACCATGCTAACCAGCTTCAATCCCCTCCCTCCTGCTATGCCTCCGTACGGCAAGGTGGTACTTTCAAATTACAAAGGGCCACTCTGAGAACTTCAGGTATCACTGATAGTGCCACCACACCTAGTATCCCCACAGCTCTTGAAACAGAATGGGAACTTGACTGCAGTGAGAGTCGGGGGTCTCCAAGGATGTCTACCTGCGCATCTCTTCAGAAAGCCAGATACTGGCCACTGGTGCCATCAGCTCCTCTAGGAACAACTTCTGCCGCTCGTAGTTCTTGAATTGGTTGCTGATGAGAACCAGGGCTTCCAGGAGGGCACATTTCTCCATTTGGGTCAGGAGTACCTCATTGGAGAGGAGTTGTTTCACATGGGTATAGAGCATGTCAAAATTAGGCTGCAGATCACAAAGAAAAAGGCCTGATTTTCCTGGGAGAGGTAAGTCACCCAAGGAAAAAACAAAACCAAGACAGTCAGGCCTATAAAACTATCATTTAGCAATTTTGTTATGTATTCCTTTTGCCTGAACAGCAAGGCCATTAGGCAGAAGATAGTTTTTGAGTATTTGGATAACTGTACTTTCCCATATCACAACTATGGAAACGTCTTTTTTTCTACATAAGTTAACAGCTTTATAAAGATAAGTTTAGTATCTAAATAGAGAGAAAACTGTTATATATCCAGAGAAGAAATTTTGCTTACTTTGTTCTCTATAGTGCTGCTAAATTTTTAAAAGAAACCTCCCAAGAAGGGTTAGGATTACACCTGGCTTCTCTCAAAATTAGGCATATCAAAGCTAGAGGAGTGACTCAACTGGTAGAGTGCCTGCCTAGCAAGCATGAAGCCCTGATTTCAAACCTCAGTGCTGTCCCCCTTCCCCCAAAACGGGCACATCACATGGCAGTAGTAATTTAGAACATCATATAGTAAAGACTTGGGCATTTATAGGAGTAAAACTTAGTTGCCCACATAGAAGAGAACCATTTTTCTTTTCCTGCGGTGCTAGAAATGGAACCCACAGCCTTGCACATGCTAAGGAAATGCTCTCCCCACTGAATGGCATCTCCAGCCAGACCATTCATTTTGAGAAAAGATTATTTGCATTTTTTTTACTACTAGACAGAGGAAGAACACACTAACTCAAGAAGGCTTATTCTATGCAAAGCTATGTTCTAGTTTTTCCTCTTATGTGAGGTCTAATGAAGGCTGGATTGACAGAGAACTTGTCAGGTCTCAATGGCAACTCAGCTGGGATCCAGCAGCTTACCAGTACAAGGTCTGGGTAGTCACGACACATCTTAATGATGGAGGAACATGCATGTCTCCTCACATTCCTCACTGCCCGGGTTCTGGGTGCCTGGAAAGAGATACTCAAACTCAGCCACTTTTAATATGATTCACTGATACTGTGTTAAATCATGTGAGTCTATCAGCCAGAGACAAATTCACAATGAATTCTTATCATTGCTAAGTGTAAGTTACATTTATAGTGTTCATATTTGCCCTACAATATACCCATATGGTATTTTCCTGTCTACAGCAAAATACCATATGACAATAAGGGGTTACTAACTCAGGGTCCCCTTATACAAAAATCAAGACTAAGCACTAGATATTCATATTTCTGCTTCTCAGAACTAGAATCTGTTGTTTTAATTAATAGTGTTAGCCAGCCATGGAAGTATACAACTGTAATCCCAGCACTCGGGAGGCTGAGGCAAGAGAATCATGAGTTCCAGACCATTCTGGAATATATAGTGAGACCCTACCTCAAAACAAAACAATCAATGGACTTACCTTGCTTTCTTCAATAGTTTCAAAAGTGACAGATGAAAATAGCTAAGAGGAAAAGGGAAAAAAAAGTCATTTCAAGTGGTTTTAAACAGTAGTTACTACAAACAAAATCCAGTAAGTGTATTAGCAGCTACAATCCCTGTTGTAAAAAAGCTTTCCAGTGGTGCTAAAAAACTCCAGAAGTCAATCTTCTCAGTTATTTCTGTAAGAGGCCTGACATTCACAATTTTACCATTGAACATTTTACAAAGTCAAAGGTCATGGAGTCAAAGAACAATTTATGCCATCACCCAAACAACTCAGCTATGGTGATCTTTTCTTCTCTACTTTTTATTGAAAGTTGAGTAATCTACTCTTCCTGAGTCCATATTATAACTCCAATTTATTCCAGGACCCCAGGCAATATGGCTGTTTCCTTAGTCTCTATGATGGAATTACACTGGGATGAACAAACTTCTAATCAAGAAACCCACCGGACATTCTCCAATAATTATGAGAATTTCTGTTGCAATAAATAAGTCTACTTTTTTGAAGTTCCATGGTTATCTTTTTTTATTTCTTCTTTGAGGCTTCTCATCCTTTGTGCTCCTCCAATGATGGCAAACCAACCTCTAGGGTTCCCTATCTGACCCACATGTCAAATTCTAACTCTATATACATTCTATTCACTTCTAGTCTTAGGACTTCTATGATGATGATGCCTTAATTTTAGCTCATCACTTTCCAGAGTCTAGACTTTCAAACTCAAGTAGAAAGTTCAATGAGACATGTCTCCACTTAGATGCTCTATGTTTTCTTCAAAGTATTCCAAAATAGCTTTTTCTTCCTTACTTTGCTATCCCTTCCTGATCTAACAGGATACTCTGATTCCCTCCCTTAAGCTTCTTTTGTTTCCTAATTTTTTAAAATGTTGTGCTACGTTTGAGTACATTGTAGCATTTATAACAGTTCTTACAATGTATCAAATACATTATAATTGAATTCCCCCCCTCCACTTGTCTCCCTTCCTCTCCTCCCCTCAATTCCTAAAACCGTTTCAACAGGTATCATGTTTGCACTTATGTATGTGTATACATTGTTTTTACCATATTCATCCTCCTACCCCTTTAACCACCACCTCCTCCCTCCCACCGGTGCCAGTTATCCTCCTCCCCCAATTTCCTAATATTTAAATCTACTGATTGCAATGTCACACAGGTCTAATATCTGTTCATGTACCTTTCTTCCCACAGTGCCCCTCAAGGGCACAGGGCCCAATCTGCAGCAACTATTGGGTAAACAATGACTGGCTTTTTATTAGTTTGCCTCACATACTTTAAAAAGTTTAAAAAGTTATTAAAAACTAGAGCTAGCTGTGGTGGCATATGCCTCTGTCATTTGGTAGACTAAGACAGAATGATCTCAAGTTTGAGACCAGACTGGGCTATACAGTGAGACTGTTTCAAAAAAAAAAAAAAAAATACAAAAACATAATGAGCATAGAATGTTGAAATACAGTTTAAAAAGGAGATGGACTTTACCTTAGAGAAGACTCGGGGTAGGAACTCTGGCTTGTAGGTTACAAATGGAAAGAGTGCGGAGACATTAGTGAGGACGCAAGACAAGATGAGCGGATCCTTCACGTCAAAGTCCAGGACCATGTGCAACAGCTCGATCCCATCACTCACCGGGATTCCCTAGAGCGCAGGATGCAGAGACATGGCTAACATGGCTACTCCACTCATGGATAACCATTTTGCTAAATTCCCCTTGCCCTCTAGTTTACTGGTGCTTATTATGCTTACTACTGGTCGGTCAACTCTTATTTAAAGTTCTAAGCATCACCCAAAGATACTAAAATTTTTCATAAATGGCACTACCATATGCCATATCAGGGATGTAGCATTTCCTACAACTAGAAGTTGAGACTGTTTCCAGTCTTCACTACTGCAAGGAACGCTAGTGCATAGCTTTACAAAAAACTTTTGTTTTCATTTTCAATTATTTAATTTTGGGGTGGCTGGAATAATTGGGTCAAAGGTTATGAATATTTCAAAGTTGAATTGCTTTTCTTTATAAGCTTTATCAAATGAGTCTTTATTCAATGTGCCCTTCTACTATTTCCTAAGTATTTCTTAAAACCTTTACTTATTAATCAAAGTTCAAAGTTGTTTTTGGCTTTAGTAGGGGTCAAACTCCAGGCCTTGCACATGCTAGCTACATTTCCAGTTCTGAATTCTTTTTTTCTGTATGAGCTACCTTGATTTCTCCTCTAAACATTATTATCATTTTGGTGGAACTGTGGCTTGAACTCAGGATCTCGTGCTTGCTAGGCAGGTGCTCTATCATTTGATGCACGTCCCCAGCCCTTTTGTCTATTTCTTCATTGGGTTCTAGTGTTTTTTTTCTTATCAATGAATAGAAAAGTTTTATTGTAAAAATTCCAGATACACAAAGAAGTAAAAATAGTAATTTAGTTAACTCCCACATGTTCACTTTAAGAACAATGTTACTGATGGAGTAACAACTACAGTGTATATTGTGTATAGTAATGACACAAGTTGCAAGACATTACAAGTAATGAGATACACACAAGGACACAGTACTGATACAAATCTTAAGAGATGGAGAACTGATGCTCTCATGTCCTTTTCAGCCCTACAGGTGGCCACAATTATGGTGAATAGTGTTCATGATTTCATGGAGCTTTGATTTTCCTTATACTTTTGCCATAAATGTACATATTCCTAATTACATGGTATCATATATTCAATTTTTTAACTTGCTGTTTTGCATCAATATTATGTTTACGAGATGCAGCCCTATTTATTTTATAGCTTATTTTATTTTTCACTGCTCTATAAATACATCACCATCTATTAACCTGTATTTTTGCTAGTTGTTACTGTTTCTTATTCTTGGCTTAACCAAAAGGCTTATATGAATACTGGTGTCTCTATACACATGCAAGTTTTCTGGAAGTATAGACCTAGGAATGAAATTGCTGGACTGTAAGGATGTCTTCAATTAGGTATCATCATTCTTTGAAGCTGTGATGTCAACTGTACTTTGCAAGCAATGTTTAATAGATACATGCTTAATATTTAGGATATGGATCCCATCCACATTTTTTACAAATATTGCTCTGAGCTTGCCTTTTAAATTTTGTTTTATAAATTTAAAAATAAATATATTTAAAGCAATTACTTTTCTTTTTTCCCCTGAACAGGTATTTATTAAATAATCCAATACTTCTTTAGGCTTTTTTCTTGGTACTGGGGATTGAAGCCAGGGTCTCACACATGCCTGGCTAAGTCTACCACTTGAGCTACATCCCCAGCCCTAAATAATGCAGTATTTCTTAATTCCTTGGGATGTTTATACAGGTTCCAGGTTGCTCCTGGCTTATTTTGTCTCAATAAGCTGTATCTAATGCCAGTACTACACTGTTTTAAAATATAGTAGGCTTTATATTTTATTATCTGGGGAGGCAAATCAATCCTCATCTTCAAACTCTAACTTCTTCTTGACACTGATTCATTGCTTAAGTGAGGTTCTACTCAGAGTTCTCTGATATTACTAGAAATACAAGCCCAGAAAATGTCACTATGGATTAGTGAGCAGCTTTTCAACCCCTTTGGCCAAGAGAATCTCTTGGTCCAACTCTTCTATTGAAGGATAAATAAACAAAATAAAAGATGACCTGCTGTACTTTATGATGGGGTAGGGGTTGAAGACAAAAAAAAAGAATATTCTACAAACCACTGAATAAGGCAAAAAATACTCTACACAGGCAGGAGTGATAGCTCCAAGTGGAAAGGGAAGAGGCTGAGATCTGTCATTTGCATGCTACCGGGAACATATAACATTAACAAGTAAGTGAATAACAATTTCATTATATAAATATTTACCAAATACTCATGTCTCTTGATTTGAAATACTTCAATCTGACTCATTCATTTTGATGAAGGAAAAAAGAAGGGGCTTCAGAGTCAAGAAATTTACTTTAGGGCTGGGGATATAGCTTAGTGATAAAGCACTTGCCTAGCATGCCTGAGAACCTGAGTTTGATTTCCAGCACTGCAAAACAAAATAAAACAAGCAAAAAGATTTACTTTAAGTTGCTGATAAGGCCAAACACTATCACCCAGAATTCTCCTGAGGAAAAAAAATTGAGTTCTGGGCTGATAGAGTGGCTCAAGCAGTAAAAGTGCCTGCCTAGCAATCATGAAGCCCTGAGTACAAACCCCAGTGCCGAATAAATAAATTTTAAAAAACCTGAGTTATATTTGTCTTTCTACCACTCGTCTTGCCTCCTACCAAATTTCTAAAATAATTTGTTACCTTGTACTTTCCCCCGGTCCACATCTTTCTCTTCTATATTCCAAACTTTTCACAGTACTTTTTGAACCAAGTAGGTTTATTGTGGGATATGGGCATAGCTAAGTAGTATAGCACTTGCCTAACATGTGAAAGGCCCTGGGCTCAACTGCCAGCAACTCAGAGGGTTATTGTAAAATCTACCCTATAGCAGCTAGGCATGTTCCTTCTCCAAATACTGACAGTATGCTTTCTTTTACTGTTTTTTTTTTTTTTGGTACTGGGGATTTGAACTCAAGGCCTTGAGCTTGCTAGGAAAGTGCTCCTACCACATGACCCTCACACCAAGCCCCCTTTTGTATACTTAAAGAAAATATTTGACAAACCCTGACTATTCCACTGCCTTTCGTTCAAGCAAGATTATATCCTCGTATTTATAGGCACTGAATGTGTCTAACTTAAATACCAGAAAACAGAAGGACCATTTCTCTTGATATTCCCCTCTACTAGGTAACTGCAATCAAACCTGTAAAAGGCCCAACTTAGAAAAAAAAGGAGGAATCCAAGTAGGGTTTCTCACCTTCATCTCCAGTTGAAGTGAATTAATATAAAAGGAGATGAAGTTAATCACCCTGAGATCTAATTTATTAGCATGCCTCTTATGAGGGATCATCTTCAAGGGACTTACAGATCTTCTTCCACAAGTAACAATTACCCCATGGTAATATACAGTGCTCTGTCATCCAATTAATTATAGCTACAGCTAAGATAATGTTCTAAGAGAAAGGTAACAGGTGATATGAATTACAGAAAAACAAGTGTATTGTTCATCATTATTCAGGGGAGAAGGACACTGATCAACCAGCAGGAATTTCTGGGTCACCTGCCATAAGCTGAAAAAAATGCTTTATGGTTAATCTCTCTTAAGACTGTCCAATCAAAATTTCCTTCACTGCTTTCCCTGCAATAGTTATCCTGTGGGTGATTCCTTTGTATTATCAAGTTAAACTTATCTCTTTACAATGGACACTAAATGTTGTAGGACTCAGAGTTAGAGATGTGAGTTTTGGTCTCAGCTCTGCCATTAACTAACTGTTTGAACTTATGTATGTTATCTGACCTCCGAAATCTCAGTTTCCTCTTCTGTAAAATGGACAGCCAAAGATTTTCCTATTCTCCTACCAGTTTACAAAATCAAAATTTTACAGTCAGCACGGGAAATGGTTACTTACTTCTTTCTCTAGTGTTCGAAACATCTGGTTGATCACACTCTCCAAAAAAAAAGTCATGGCTTCCCACTGCACAAATGAAGGTGAAAAGATGGAGCAGAGGCCTCCCTCTCCACTTCCAGCTGTAGAACAGGCTTTTGAAAAACACGAGTACTTGTAAGCATGGCAGGATCACAGAAGACACAGAGACCGTGGGGTCTTAGAGATCACTTGGTAGAGTTGATATAACCCCTCTAAACTTGGGCAAAGAAAAATCACATGTGTTGAAGGGAGAGAAGGATTCTAAACTGCTTCCACCTCTACCAATGAGCTTCCACCTCTACCAATTCACTCTATCAGCCTTATCTTTTGAGAATATGCATGCAAGTATCAACAATAGTGCCTGGCCAATTACTGGCACTTAAAATAATGAACTAATTTCTTCCCCCCTCCTATTTACCATCTGTTCATGAGACCCAAACGATTAAGTTATTTGAGATCATAAAAGAATTCTTTAAACAAGGAAATGGATGTAAAATACAAAATGCTGCTGCACATTCAATAGCCTCATGACAACTGTAAGGATACGTCTAGAGAACTGTGCCATCTTCCAAGTTCACAGATGTCACCAAAGCACATCACTCACAACAGGAAGATATAGGCAGAGAGATTTATGAATGGATTTTCTTGTTTCCACATAGTGCTATCATTTACCGGATATACCAGATCTTGGTGCAAATATTTGAGTCTCCTAAAACTTTTAAGCTACCAGATGTAACAGGCCTTCAAAAGCTGATTGTAAATATAAGTGCTGACAGATGCTGCCAGCTGGACATAATTTTATGCCAATGTAAAAACATTTAAAATGCAGTGTTATCTGTTTCTCTGTGTAACCAGAAGAAAATGTTCACTTCCTAGGAAGAAGGTGGAAGGAGTTAGTGAGCAAAGCTACATTCTAACATATTTTGACATGTGACTCAGGTTTATTTCCTATGTAGTTTTGATACACTAATGTTGAGCAGTGAAAAAAACTCACAATTCATAGATCCAGCATCAACAGATGCTGACAGCTGGTACTTTAGCCACTCCCCAGCCATCTGGAAGCTAGTCTTGGGATCCAAACGACAGGCCAACCTCATCACCTCTCCTTGCTGGGCTCGGGAGGCTGCCAAGGGCAGGACATGAATCAATAACTGGCATGTAATAGATACTTAATGTTGATTTACTTATCCATCCCAGGGGAGAAGTGTTCAAAGAACCTATTTTGCAGACTTGGGTTTTGAATCTAACAATTGCTCAATTCAGCCCCAGTCCTCAACATAGCTTTTTAAGTTAATAAATCCGGAAAATTTCACCTAACTTCTCCCCCCATCCCACTTTCCCAAGGCTGGAGATCAGATCCACAGCCTTGCTTATGCTAGGCAAGCTCTCTACCAGTGAGCTACAAATCCAGGCCTAGAAAATTTCAAAAATAATTATCTCTAGAAGCTATTTTACCAGCTAGATCCTTTATCTAGCAAACTGAAATTAGTCTTCCATTTCTGTCAGAATTAAAAGGAAATCAGGTTGGTAAAACATAGATGGTACAGGTGCTGTGGAAAAATCTGGCAAATATTTCCCCAAAATATTAAACATGTAATTGCCATATTATCTGTCTATTTCAGTAGTAGTTATATATCTGAGAGAAACAAAAAGATACGTCCTTACAAAAATGTACACAATGGTCACAGTGGCATTATTCATAATAGTCAAAAAGAAATAACTCAAAAAAAATGTCCATCAACTGATGAACAGATGAATAAAATGTGGTCTCTTTGTATAATGAAATATTACTAACATTAAAAGAAACAAAATATTTACACATGCTATAACATGGATAAATTTTTAAAAACATCATGCTAAGTGAAAGAAGGCAGGCATAAGGCCACATATGATTCCATTTATATGAAATATTCAGAATAGGCAAAACACAGAGACAGAAAAGAGATTACTTGGGCTTGGGAACATAGCTCAAGTGGCAGAACACTTGCACTTGCCTTAGCAAGCATGAAGCCCTGAGTTCAAACCCCAGCACCCCACTGCAAAAAAGATTACTGGTTACCGGAGGAATGAAGGGTTTTGGGGGGGTGAGGGGGAGAGGCAATGACTTTTGATACAGGATTTTTTGGGGGGTGATGAATATGCTCTAAAATTAATTGTGATAGTGGCCATACAATTGTGAAAATACAAAAAGCAATGAATTATACTATAAATGTATGCGTTATATGGTAAATTAATTTCACAGCAATAAGTTATTTTAAAAAGAAAGGAGAGGCAGGTATTGTGGCTCATGCTGTAATCCCAGCACTCGAGAGGCAGAGGCAGGAGGATTGTGAATTTGAGGCCAGTCTGGGTTACACAGTGAGTTGGATGCCAGCCAGGGAAACACAGGAGGTCTTGTCTCAAAAAAACAAAAAACACTAGCTGGTGGAGTAGCCCAAGTGGTAAATCACTTGCCTTGCAAGTGTAAAGCCCTGAGTGTATGACCAAAGCAAACGAAATAAATCAGACTACAGAAAACCCAGAATGGAATTAGGATATAATGGGTTTTCCCACTTTCTTCTGGGAAGAAAGAACCACATGGTAAGAGGTAACTAAACCAAGAGTGTTCTGAGCATGACTTACTATCCCTAAACAACAATGTTCAGAGATTGTGCACCTGTGTAGGGCGAGGAGAAGGTGGAACAGGGAATGTGTGTCCCAGCACCCTTCTTAATGGGAAATTAAGATCATGAAAAGGCTGCTGTCCGGATTTGGGGATCTTTAATAAGAACCCCAAGCATCATGCACGATGATTCATAACACTAGATGCCTTTCTAAGACTATTAGGAGGAAATGCCAGCCCACATCACTTACAGTTGAAGAAAGCATTGAAGTCCTCGTCACTATCAAAATCAAATCGAGAATATTCACAGCTGGGACTGTCTGTCTTAGAAGGAAAGCCCATCTGGAAAGAGAAAGGGGTAGGAAATGAAAATGGACCTATTGAAGAGTGCATAAGCTTCAGAGCTCAAGCACTTTGTGATTTATCTTAAAAAAAAAAAAAAAAGTTTAAGGTTTATATGAAATGCTGCTCTCTTCTACCCCAAATCCAGTTTGCTCCCCCATGTTCAGTATGCCTGAGATAGTAGAACAGCAGACAAGAGAACACTTCAGTTGATATCCTCTTTTAGGATCCTCAGGAAGAATTCAGTTCTGGACTTTAGGGCCTATGAGTATGAAGATGTTCCAAGACAAAGCAGTAATTCAATATGCAGTAAGGAGGAAAGAACTAAGAACTATTACTCATTACATGCTGAACACTAGAAAGAAATGTGTGAAACTATGAATGTTTCATTTAAAAAAGTACTAAAGACCATGACAGAGAACTGGAACATGTTATGTGCTGGGTAAATTCCTTGAGCAAATAAGGTGACCTTTGAATGAGTCCCATTCTGTGACTTTACAAATCAAAATGAATCTGTCAAGTACAAGAGCTCTTAGCACATTGCAGAGAACTCATGAACAACTCTTAACTACCAAGAAAGTGAGCAATCTTTGCTTCCATGCTCTCTCCCTTTCCGATCGTACTTCACCTTTAGAAACAATTCTTAGATATTACCACCTCTTAGAATCTTCCTGACTCCATCCTCCTATGTACTTCCAAACTGAATACTCTGATAATTCTGCTTTTAACTCCTGAATAGTGATTATTACATTGTATAGTCACTGCTCCTGTCCTAGCACCTCATCCAACACTCAATATTTAAATTCTCCAAAATATAGAAGAATAGTTATAGTTAAGAAATACGGACTGCTTTTTTCCTGAAGAATAAGAGCATATGCCCAGGGGATCTTAGTGACTGAAAAAGAGCTGTCAATGATGCCAATCATGGGGGTGGAGGGGTAAGGAAGAGTGGTGGCAGGGGATGAATTCAAGTTTGATACATTGTAAGAACTTTTTTGTAACTGCCACAATGTACCCCACCCAACCTATGCGCGGACACACACACACACAAAAGATGCCAAAGCCTTATTATGTGTGTTCACCTACAATCCACACACTTAAATTCCCATTACATACCTTGACCAAGTTAGTCATAGATGCACGAAGATATTTTGGTATTATTGCTAACAGCAAAGGATCACGAGATAGGATCTCATGCCTGAAGAGGGCTCCCCAGGTCATTTGAGTTGAAGAGCGTAGAAACTAAAGCAAAGCAAAACAAAACAAAACAAATAAAAGACTCAAGTTTAAGGATTTAGATCTATTTAGCCAAGAGTACTACTTAGCCTAGAGGTCTTCAGCTACATTTTTCCACAGAAATAAATCTCTTTTGAAATTGACTTTACTGACATTTATCAGTCCTACGGAACACGTGTTAACGGGACAGGCTGTGGGGCAGGTGTAAGTCCTGGACTATGGACTGAACTCTACTGCTTTCTCTTCTATTCAGGAAAGGATACTGGCTTCTCAGAGTATAGAAGAGAACTCTTGAATTAGGTGATATTAGTTTTACACTACCACAAGTTATCAAACTTGTATGTTTAAAATCTCTTTAGTTCCAAATCACCCAGGGTATACCTCACATTTCACTGAGCAGTAGTGGATATTACCTAAAGAGAAAAGCTGCTGACTCAGATACTGCAGTGAGAAGCTCAGGAAGAAGACCCAATAGTTCTTTTAATGAAATGATACCTAGAGCTGTTCTCTAGGGCCTGAACACTCACACCTCACATAGGAGCTGCAAATATTACAGGCCAGATTACCTAACTAAAAATTAAGAAGTAATCTATATAAGTTTACCTGACTTGGGTGGGTTGTGAAAGCAAGAAAAGATTCCAGATATTTTCCAAAGTTCACTGGTGTTTCTGCATCAGAATCTACGCCCTGTAAGAGAAAAAGTACACTACATTAATCATGTTGACTAGGTAGGGATTGAGGGGAAAGAGGAAGGAGGAGTAATAAATGCCAGTGCAGGGTGTAGTGACTCATGCCTGAGGTCCTAGCTACTTAGGAGGGAGACCCTGGTTCCAGGCCAGCACAGGCACAAAGTTCACAAGACCCCTATCTCAATCAGCTTTCTATTGAAAGCTGGGTGTGGTAGCACACGTCTGTCATCCCAGATCTGTGGGAAGGGGGATTGTGGTCCAGGCCAACCAGGACATAAACTTAAGAACCTACCTGAAAACTAACTAAAGCAAAAAGGCTGTGGTGTGCACAAGTAGTAGAGTGCCTGCCTAGTAAGTACAGGCCCTGAATTCAATCTCCAGTACCACCAAAAAAAAAAAAAAATTTTTTTTCTTTTTTTTTGAAGGCCAGGTGTGGTGTATGCCTATAATTCCTGTAATTGGGAGACTAAGGCAGGAGGATCACAGATTGTAGGGGCCTGGGCTACATAGTGGTACCCTGTCTGCAAAAACCAAAACAAAACCCAAAGAACAATGAAAAGAAAGGTTTGAGCTGGGAGTGTAACTCAGTGGTACAGTAATTGTCTAACACGCAGCAAAGCTCTTTTAGAACCCCAGCACCACCAAAGAAAAAAGTTTCAGTTCTGATAGTACTATGTACTTCCTTTTATCTGAAGGAAGGTGACATTTCAAGAACTCAAACATAGGAAAACTACTTTATCTCCACAATCATCATTATATCACATTCTGGGGGTTGGAGTGTAGCTCAGTGATAGTATTTGCCTAGAATCTACAAGACCCTGAGCTCAATCACCAGTACCACAAAGAAGAAAACAAAGTAAAACAACTTTTAGCTGGAAGTGGTGGTATGTGCCTATAGCCCCAACTATTTGGAAGCCTGAGATGGGAGGATCACTTGAGCCCACAAGTTTTAGATCAAGCTGTGCAACGTAACCAACAATAAAAACAAAAGCAAAACACCGCATTCTATGCTCTGTGAGTAAAATGAGCTGGAAGCAGTGCCTTACACTTGTAATTCTAGCTATTTAGGAGGCTGAGGTCAGGAGGACTACAGTTCAAGGCCAGATGTGGACTGGAGGTGTAGTTCCAAGTGGCAGGGTGTCTGCTATGCAAGCACAGAGCCCTGAGTTCAAACTCCAGTTCTACCAAAAATTAACAGAAAAAAAAAAACTAAAACAAAAACAATAGGGAGGCCCTCAAGTAGCATAGTACCTGGCTAGCAAGCTTGTTTCCTAAGTTAAAAGTAGTACTGCAAGAAAAAAAAGAATACATGAAGAAATTTAAAAAAAAAAAAAAAAAACCCATTATTATTTCTTCAGACATAGCCTAGCTGCATTTTTGTGACTAACCTATTAAATACCCACTCAATGGTATGTGCCTTACATCTCAAACTACTCTCTAGCCATTTAAATCACCACAAAAAGGCATGGCATCAACTGCAAATGCCTGTAAGACTGTTTTAAATATCCCTCGGAAGACAGGTTTGTCCAGTTCAATCAGAGTAAAGTTTTCTGTTATGATCCAATAATGTATCCTTTAGATTAGAAAACAGTAAGTGCCCTACCACCAAACTAGATCCCCTGGGAAGGGGATATTTTACTCAAGTCTACGTTACATGAGCTAAGAGAACTTAGACAGGTAATGTGCTCAGTAGATTAAAGTCCACTAAGAACAAAAACTCATAAGAATAAAGGCAGGGTGTTGTACATGCCTATAATCCCAGCACTCAGGAGGCTGAGGCAGGAGGATCATGAATTTGAGGCTACATAGACCTTGTCCACCAAAAAAAAAAAAAAAATCACAGCAATGTTGACTTTATCAAATAACAGATATGGCTGTTTGGTGTAACTATTACTGACTTGATAAAAGAAATTTTTATCACTCCAACTATTAAAATAATTTAATATATATAATCATAAGAAATAATCAGTAGGGCAATGCTCCATCAGGTTCTCATCAATGATACCTGCAATCCTTATAAAAAACCCAACTTTCTAAAAGCTCTCCCCAAATGACCCTCTCCAGAAAGCAAGCACTTGCTCACCAGCAATGCGCACAGCTGATTGCCCAGTGCACATAACACCTGACAGAGTCTCTTCAGGAAGACATAGTGTTTTTCTACCAAGCCCCCTCCATCAGCAGTCCTGTACGGTAAGAGAATAGTGTGATTAGCTGCATGTTAAAAGACGCAACAGAGCTGAGCGACAGGGGCTCCCGCCTGTAATCCTAGCTATTCAGGAGGCAGATATCAGGAGGATCGCAGTTCAAAGCCAGCCCAGGCAAACAGCTCATGAGACCCTATCTTTAAAAAAAACCATCATGAAAAAGGGCTGGTGGAGTAGCTCAAGGTGAAGGCCCTGAGTTCAAAACCCCAGTACATTAAAAAAAAGAGAAGAAGCAACAGAGAATCCCCACTGAATGGAAGTGTCTGGTTTGTGCCTCACCATTCAAATCTTTAGCAATTATCAAAGTTTCGAAAAAAAACCAACAAAAATCCAATACTGACATACAGATGTAGAATATGGTTCAGTGCACTCTCCCTCACTGGAGACTTTTAACTATGTGCTGGAGTATTTAGGGATGATAAGGTAAGATAAGGTCTGTGTGTGACTGCATAAAACAATACATCTATGAGGAACTGCACAAAAAAACACTCCACCCAGGGAGGACCTGAAGAGAGTTTTGGGGATGTAATAATTCCTTATCCCACTCACAAATTAAAAAAGACTGTAATGAAAACATGTTGTGTCTCACTTTTCCAAATTATTTAGTTCACATCTCAATCCAGTAGAATCCAAATAGCCTGCTAGGGCTGGGGGCATGGTGCAAGTGGTAAAGCGCCTGCCTAACAAGTGGGAGGCCCTGAGTTCAATCCCAGTGCTGCCAAAAAAATAAAAAAATTTAAAAAGTCCAAATAGCCTGCTAAATAAGTAAAATTATAACTTACTTGGTGACAAAACCTGACCTGAAATGATATAGGACTATTCACACGAACAGCAATGAGTAACCCCTAGCGTGAACAGCAACTGCATCAGTGGACACAGGGAAGCAGTAGTGCATGGCAAAGAGAGCAGGGGCCTCAGAGTAAACAAGACTAGGCTCTCTGGTACTATGGCTTCCAGTGCTCACTGTCCAGCCTGTCTGGACTTGAATTACAGCTTTACTAACCATGGGTGTGGTATAGTATCCTTGAACAGAGATGGGACACCTCTGTGTTATGTCATGGTCTCTACAGAACTAACAGATAGATGTGAGAAGCAGTAACCACAGGGACTATCCAATAAATAACTGGATATTAATAGGATTCCTTACAAACGGAGTTGCAGCTTCCTTAGGAAAATGCTGTATTAGAAAGGAGAATAGGAAGCTCTAAGCAGCACATGCATCTCATACACCTTTTCACGTGTCCTTGGGACCTAACAAGTTAAGTGAGCAGTATCAAAAAGAGGGTGTTACAATAGCTTTAACTATTTGCAATATGCAGTTTAACCTATTCTCTGGTAAAAAACACATTATCAGGAAATGCCTTAATATATTCCAGAGCAACTGGAAGAAAATGAGCAGAAGCTATTATTTCAGTATACAACATGTGATTCATACACCTGTCTCTCAGAGTGTTCCTACTGCTTCCAAGAGCCTCAGTACACTGGGCACTGACTAGCTTAAGGAGAAGAAAAGGGAAGAACACTTGGAGTTCTGCACTTAAGGCAGGCACTAGGACAGATGCTGGCCTAATGAAGAAGTGTATTCTCAGGCCTTGTCATCAAGGCTACTTAGAGGCCCAGGGATCATCAAAGTGGAAGAGAGAATCAAGAAGATGAGGTGTCAGGGTAACTGTGAAAGTGACACTACAATAACCACTACATACCTTTAGCACAAGATCTTCAAAAAGCACGATTAATTCTTATAAGAGTATCTTATTTTCTTATCTATAAACACTGTTAATGACTGCCATCACTTAGGTAGGAATTTAAGACTCATCCAAAGGATATACAAAAATGATGAAGGATGGACTGAAGGTGTGGCTCAAGTGGTAAAGCACCTGCTTTCCAAGTGTGGAGCCCTAAGTTCAAAGTCCAGATCCCCCCCACCAAAAAAAGATGAAGACATCAGAAGACACTAGGAGTAGATGTGCAGCTCAGTGGCTGAGTGAGCTCTTAGCATACATGAGGCCCTGGATTCAACCACTAGTACTAAAGCCACAAATCAAACAAACAAACCAAAGAACTATAACTAAAACCAAAAAACCCCCAAAATAAGCATAACACATTGAAAGGTAAAGATACTCACTGGGCAGCAGAGAGTATACAATGCATGGCAACATCTCCAAATAGGACCATCAAGGGCTTCCGGTCTTCCAGCTTGCCCTACACCCAATTTTAAGGAAACACAATCATTATAAAACCCTCAAAATACGGACAATGTATTGTCTTGATAATTTCTCAAATATTCCAGGGCTTACTGAACACTGGGAAGAAAGCCAAGTCTTTCAAACCAAATCTGGATAAGACTTATATCTTTAATTATATTGGGCAAGAATGCTGATACAAGAGCAAAGTAAATTATATCAACAGGTAACAATCCTAGGGAGAAAAGTCACAGTCCACTTGTGAGTCAGGACAAATAAAAAGCCAATGTAGCCACCTTCTAAGATTCTCTGACCTAGCAGTAAGCTTTAAATGTCAACATTCCTTTTATTTAAGTGTGAAGTCCCAAGAACCTTGGCTGTTTCCAGAACCAAGTAGCCTGACAAATTCCTATACATTCTGCCAATGAATCTCTGCAGTATTGCAAACTTTTGTCCAAAGATTGGAGGGAGTCAATAAATTGGCCTTAAGAAATAAAATCCCAAACCTTTAAATGTCTTTCTGCCACAACATGCAATTTAACCCCACCTACACTCACCCTAACCCAGGGACCCTGATGACAAGTCAGTTTGAAGTGGTCACTTACTTTTCTGCTGACTGCAATGAGTAGACATTCAGCTGCTCCTAACTGAAGTTCCTGTTCATTCAGAAGCAGGCACAGAATCTCCAGGAGTTTACAGTTTTCAGCAGTAATGTGACTCATAGACACCCAGTCAATGTAGCCAGCTAGAGTATTCAGGGCTGCAAGTCCTACTCGACAGTTCGCTTGAGCCTGCACCAAATCACTTTGATTATGAGGTACTAACATATAAGGGAGCTGTGGTTATAACTGAACTTATGCATTCCACTTATAAAAAGAAAATGAGTTTTTTTTTTTTTTTAATGTACTCAATGGCATTCTCAGCATCCATCACGTTGGGCTGGGCATGATTGTACATGCCTGTAATCCCAGCTACAGAGAAGCAGAGGCAAAAGGTGAGAGTTCGAAGCCAGCTGGGTTAAGTTGGTGAGACACTCAAAAACAAAACGGCTAGGGGCATAGTTCAAGTGGTAGAGTGCTTGCCTAGCATGTGGAAGCCCCTAAGGTTCAATCCCCAGCACCAAAACAAATAACAACAACAAACAAAACCTCAAACAAACAAAAATAGGAAACCCATACAGGCACGTGTGGCCCTTTTATTTTTATTTTTTTAAAGAAATCCTAAATATAATTCTCATTTTACCTCCCTTCCACTACAGCTCAGTGGTCAAAAAGATCCCAAGCCTGAGTTCACTAGGTATAGGTATCCTGCACCTGAAGGCTTAAGGAAGCCTTTCAATTCTCCAAAGAGTGCTTACCTTTGACTCCTGAGAAGTATCAGTCTTCTGAAAGAAAAGTATAAAGATCCAATGTTCTTAATGAGCAAAAGGCTTCACAGTAACTTTTCACACCCCCGGTCAAGATCCTTGAATAATTACTATTAAAATACTAATGCAACTTTTAACTTTGGGAAATAATATAATTTTATTAAGAATTCATAAATGATATTGCCCTATTAATAGGTTAAAGCAAGAAACAAAATTAAATGATTACAATTTATGATCACATACGTATAGGCATAACTATGAAAATCATGTACATAAATATTTCACGGTAAAACATCAAAACAATGACTGTCTAATACAAACAGGATTTTTATACTTATATTTCAAATTCCATAAAAATGCAACATAATGCTGGGCACTGGTGGCTCATGCCTGTAATCCTACTACAGGCATCTGAGATCAGGAGGATCAAGGTTTGAGGCCAGTCTGGACAAATAGTTTGTGAAACCCCATCTCCAGAATAAAATGAGCAAAACGGACTGGAGGTGTGGCTCAAGCAGCAGAGCACCTGCTTTGCAAGTGTGAGGCCCTGAGTTCAAACCCCAGTCCTGTCATAAAAACAAAACAACCTACTATATTATAATTCAGATGCTTATAAAAAAGAAAATCAACATTTTGCTAAGCAACTTCTGAAAATAAAAATTAAGAACTCCTGAAGATGATTAGAGGAGAAATAATAGAAGTGGGAGTAATGTCTGCAGTATCTGAAAGCTACCACCACTGGGATCATGAAGTTTCCAAATGACAACAGCCTCTACCCTCCTCTCTAACAAATCCTCCATGACTCCCAGGGCCAGTGCAGGAGCGAGGAGCCCTTTTTTGACACAGGAATAGAGGAAAATAATCTATTCATCTCTTTGTTTATGTTCATTCAATTCCCAGTTGAGAAGGTGAAGGGAAGGGGTAGAAGTAGAGAAAGAACTAAGAAGTGGACTAAGAAATTCCAGTTACAGAACATGCCTCTTGGTACAGATGATGCAGCCTGGTCTAAAGGATGGCGAGAACTAAACCCAAGGCAAAGGAAGATGACAGAGGACAGGCTTCTAGCTTGTGTCAGAGCCATCACCAGCCAGACCTGCTCTAGCACATGCCTTACCTAGGGCATCTAACTTTCTAACTTGAAAGTATTTGAAAACCAATGGACTTCACTAATTACAGCTGAATGACAACATTATTTTTAATGCCATAGTGTTGTGATGCTTCTTAAAACTAAGTGCTTAAAGTGTAGCTCTATAGATCCTATCTTTCCTGGATTAGTAACTTAAAAGAGCAATTTCTCTAGCAGGAAGACCTGAGTTCAAATCCCAGCACTACCAAAAAATAAAATAAAAACTGAAAAAACCAAAACACGTAATTTCTCAAGTCATACAGTTGATTACCCGAGATGCTGCTATTCTGAAGATGTAAAATAACCTTTTCTATGGAATGCTGTCCTTTTTTGTTTGGACAAAAGGATTTTTTCCTAATAAAGAAAGTATATTTGCTGAGAGCCACACTGCTAACCTACTGCTATGTCTAGACTATAATACACTTGGAGCTGGAGGCATGGCTTAAGGGGTAGAGCATTTGCCTAGCAAGCCCAATACCCTGGGTTCAAACCCCAGTACCGCCAAAAACAAAACAAAAAACCCCATCAACATTTGTTTCAGGAAATGTTGTCCTGAGCCCTGGAGTCTAATAACTCAACCGAGGGCTAAAACACCTGAGATCCACATTCCATTTCTCGAAGATGACGACCCACGTTATAAAAGGTATGGGCGTATCTTTATGTGATACTGTTTCTTTTTCCCTGCAGGCTGTTTACTAAGGGAAATGACAAGATTATTTTCTCCTCAGCACACGAGTTTTGTTTGTTGACACAGGGTCTCACACATAGTCCAAACTGCCTCAAACTCAGAACCCTCCCGCCTCCGTGACAGGTGCTACAATTACAGACATGTGGCACCTTGCTCAGCAGAAACAGATCTGTAATGCACACATTTTCTCTTGAAGAATCTCGGGGCAGTATACTGAGGAAAGAGCCCATTATAATAAAAACACTGGGTGTCAATTTTTTTATGTTTCCTGTGTTGCTGGGATACCCAGCTTTTATTGACTGAGATGAGGGTTTCTGGACCTTTTTGTCAGGCTGGCCTTGAGCCTCAAACTTCTCAATCTCTGCCTCTTGAGTAGCTAATACACAGGCGTGAGCCATGGCGTCCAGCTGCACTATTTATTAGAGAAGATCTTCAATAATTACTCTTTGACCCTTTGGAGACAAAGGGTTGTCCCCGAGCTGTGACAACCTCCCAGTAGTGACAAACAAAATGTTTCCATAATGGTCAAACATCATCTGGAGGGCAAAAATCACCACATTGAGAACCACTGTATTAGATTAACTTTTAAGCTGCCTTATTTGGAAAGGTGAACCTTAAAAATTACAATGGTAGGAAGACTGTGTCTGTTTTACTCTTTACTGCACAAGAAAAACCTGCTCAGGAAGAACAAAAACATCACCTATTATACAGTGTAATAAACTTGGCAGGCAGCCTACTTGAAAGGAACCAGGACCAAACAGAACACCATGATTTAATAGGATACTACTCAGACTCATCAGAAATCTGCCATTGCAAATATTAAATATTAACTTTGATTTTATGCTACTTTAAGAATTTTCTTACTTCAAAAGGAGTTACTATTTCTAGTAGACATAAAAACTCAATGAACTGGATTTGAGAAAATTAGTTTTGGCTTCTTCTGTTTTTCCTAGCTTTTTACTTAGAAAAGGGCCTTTTCTTCTGCTGAACTCTAAACAGCCTAACAGTTCTTTTTGCGAACTCTAACAGTTCTTCTTGCGAAAAGAACATTTTAGCTTAAAAAAAAAAATTCATATTAGAAAAGTGCAGTTTTATGGGGTGTAGAATTCTTACCATTTGCCGGTACTTATTTACATTTTCCTGTAGTGTGTTAAGTAGAAAACTGAAGATCCTTTCCATGTTCTGGGTTAATGTTTGCTGAATATCTCTTCTTCTTTGAGGGGGAAGTGTCTGAAAGGTCACTACGTCCTCTGCCAGTCGCAAAAGGATGAACATCACTAATTCTGTCTGTGTTTCCTGCGCCAATAGAAATAAGCTAGTTAAACTAAAAGCACCTTATTCATTGTAGCTATGGCCAAAAGCTATTTTCTGCTGATGAAACAACAAACCCCATCACTATCAGCAAACCCTGAAGTCTATTTTAAGACAAGCACACAGAGGTAACAAACTGCACTGCATACCCCCTGCCTGGAGAGAGCATCCAACTCCATGAGCATGTCAGGCCAGTGCTGTGGCCACTCCCGCTTGGTCATCTCGACCACGATTCGAGAAAGAACATCTTTAATATGGTTCTCCTCTTCCAAAATGCTCAAGGTTCCCTGAAAAAGAACAATGGATATTAAGGTCTGCAAATCTGAATTTTAGGCACAAAAACTGGACTGCAGAAGTGTTAAACACTCAGCAGCAGGTCTGCTTTAAAACTAAACAGAACCAACAAACCTATTCTCCATGTCTGAGTCCCTTGTCTTGCACCTTCACTAATCATTCTCACTTCAAACTTCAGTGAGGTTGTATCAGCTAATAAAATGCCTGTTACAGAACCAGGAAAAACATCACTGTTCTTTACAAACTAAAGAAACTCTCACAGAGCTTCTTTTTTTTTTCTTTTCCTCTTTTTTTGGTGGTACTAGAGATTGAACTCAAGACCTTGTAGTTGCCATGCAGGCACTCTACTGTTTGAGCCAATCCACCAGCCCTTTTGTTTTGTTTTGGTTTTGGTGGTACTGGAGTTTGAACTCAAGGCCTCATACTTGCTAGGCAGGTGCTCAACCACTTGAGCCACTCCACCAGCCCAAATGTTTTACTGGAGGCCAGTGTTTTTTGGTCTGCCAGTCCTTTATATATTGGCTATTTTTGAGATAGGGTCTCCTTTTATGTCCAGGCCAGCCTGTACTGTGATCCTTTTTGTGCTTTCCTGGGTAGCTGGGATGACAGGTGTGCACCACTGTGACCCACCATTGGTTGAGATGGAGTTTCAGGAACTTTTTTTTGCCCAAGCTGGCCTTGAACCACACCCACCAAATCTCGTCTCCCAGGCTTGAGCCTCCCTTGACTCATCTTGCTTCATTTTTTACAGACTGTCAGGGAGAAGGAATACAGAAATAAGGTGTACATGGAGAGGCTGATAAAATGGGATGGAATACAGGAGCAATTGACTAATTTACCATTAATTCTAGTTTTAAAAGATATAGAATAGTTATTAAGTGTCTCTCTTATTGATGTCTGATGTCAAGGCTAATGAATTTTCACTCCTAGTCTTCCTAGAACTAGCAAAACAGAAGTCTTAGCTAGTTAATTTATAATTTTGAAGGGAATTTTTCTTCTCCTAGACTTAGAAGGGGTAAGAATTCCATTTTTTCTGCCCTTTATTATAAAAAAGAGAAGCAAGGCTATAGATTTTAAACATTTTAAAGTCATATTAACATCTGAAATAAAAGCATTAATTCTGAATGCTTTTCCTGGCTAGTATCACATAGTAGTTCAGTTTGATAAAAGGGAACTAAGTAGACAGTGTTTCAATCTAATTTAGATCTAAGAATCTTATTCATTTGCTCAAAGTGCTTAATCTTCTCTGCCCTGTCTTTGTAATAATAAAAACAGAAGTCAACATGTCAGGGTGATTAATTTAACCTAGTAAGAGAAATGTGGTAAATTAAGATTTCTTGAGCATGGTTCTTTTTACATTGAAGATCGTTATTAACACCATACTGTCTGGCCTATATATAGTGAAACAATGAATTTATTTATTTATTTGTGCCATAGTAGGGTTTGAACTCAGGGCCTTGTGCTTGCTAGTCAGATACACTACCACTTGAGCCATGCCCCAGCCATTTTTTGCTTTAGTTATTTTTCTTCATATGGGATCTTACACATTTTCCCAGGCTAACTTGGACTGTGATTTCCTTACCTATGTTTCCTGTGTAGCTGGGATCACAAGCATATGCTACCACACCCAGCTGTTTGTTGATATGTGGTCTAACTTCTTCCCTAGCCTAGCCTCAAGCCAAGATTCTCCTGATCTCTGCCTGCAGAGTAGTTAGGATTATAGGTGTGAGCCACTGTGCCTGGCTGAACCAGTGAATCTTTATACAAATGCTACTTAGAAGAAATCACTTTGTCTAATTTACCTTGGAAACAGTCTCCCAACCACCCCTTTCTTACATTTGCAATCAGCTCCATAACACTATTCTTTAGGTAGACTTTCTCCAGCCGAGACATGCTGTTCCACCGAAACCTGACAACCAGAACACAGCAAATCATCAGAACCATGTTAGAAGTCTCTCTTCACAAAAGAATAGCTTTGATTCCTGCTTTATACTATGTTGGCGATTTCATTAAGAAATTATACTTTTGATTTTGTACCCCTTGAAGAATGGACAAATCACACCACATTCAACTAAAATTCCAACAGAAAAATTCTTGGGAAAAGGTTTGATATGTGCTCTGGTCCATTAACTGGAATCCACACAGGATTTGTGCCACAAATTAGCTTTTCCCCATGATTTTATTGATAGGTCAAAACCAAATATCCATCTATTACAATTCTAACAACCTAGTTGCTCTTCAGAAAATATAATCTTGACAGTACTAATTCTCTTCCTGGGCTGGCTCATTCTTAAAAGGTCACTTTTCTGATAGGCACTGAGTGTAGGAGACTTAAGTTAGGAGGGGGATTTCAGTTATTCTTGTGTAATCCTGCTTTGGCCGAGTCATTTAGAGAAGATACACACTCCAAAAAGAAAAAAAGACACAGTACCTAATCAGAGATTTACCTACTTTTTATTCTAAAAGGCCTTGAGTTCTGCTACATATACTAGGAGCTCAATAAATGCTGGATAAATTGAGTAACACTTATTAGTTAATACCTGTTGAATGCTTAGTATGTGCAATATAGTATATATGGACAAAGAAACAGAAAAAGAAAAAGGTTAAAAGTCCTGAATGAGCACTCCTCTGGTAAAATCTTGGCAATGATTGATTTCTTCTTCTTTTAAAAAAAATTTACACATAATAGTTGTATAGGAGAATACATTTTGATATTTACATGTATGCTTACAATATGTCTTAGATTTACCCCCTCCATCATTCTCCCTCCTATCCCTTATCTTAGAACAATTTCAACAGGTTTCATTCTTCTATTTTCGAATATGAATACAAAATACATCCACCATATTCACCCTCATTCCCCCTTTCCTTATGTCCACTTTCCTCTCTTCCTAAGGAATGTTCTACTCACCTAAAAAGCCCCTCTCTAGGTTAGATAAGAATTAAAGCTTTGCCTCTCAGACTTCAACAGCAATGTCTAAGAACTCCTTACTTGACAACATGTTCCAGAATCTGAAGACCAAAATGTCTGACGATGGCGATTTGGGTTTTCTCAGCCAACCTCAAGCCACAGGGTACACAGATCGGGCACTTTTCTTTAAACTCTTCACAAAACTGAAAGAAAAGTTATTATTCCTTGAAGGAGCAAAGAAAAGGTAGACCCTATAAAACATGAAGAAACCCCAACCTAAGCCATACTTTTAAGTTGCAAAACCTTGATCAATATCTTGTGAATATGAAGTGATAAATAATTCTTCCACTTTGATGGTTCCAGATTTAGCAAGCTGTGGCCACTTGCTTGCTGAAAGCAAACTGAGCCTACAGGAGTAGAAAAAGAAACTGAGCCTGCAGGAGTAGAAAATGATGTTAGAGATAATGGCTATCTGTTCCTCCTTGGATTTGCTTTAAAATCTTTGGTGGGGGCGGGGACGGAGGATAAAGCAAATGTAGCAAAATCCGTGTACCACCTGAACTTAGGTGACAAGCATGCAGGATCACTGTAGCATTCCCTCTACTTTTATGTCTATTTAAAATATTTAATAAAAAACAAATAAAACCCAATCGTTTCTGATTCCAAACCCCATGACATACATCTATCCATGTAAAGTTTCCTCCAAGTGATGCTCACTCTACTTCATGAAGTTAAATCACCTAAAATATGTAGTAATGTCATACGTATGTAGTGTTCGACCATTCTCACCGCCTACAGTAAGCATTGTTTAATGGGTAATAAGCTCTACAGTATTTGCATCCTCATTTGCATTAGCATTCCCAAATTGCTACGCTGAAATTAGTCCCTGAGCAGAGCATCCGGATTCAAAGAAAACTACTTCCAGGAAACCAAAGTGCTTTTTGTAAAAATGCAAAGCAATCGAAGAATATCACACGCTGAAAAACACAGGAGTGTAAGAATTAGCCCAGAAACGCCCAAGACACAGATGAGACAGCAACAATGAGGTTATAAGTAAAGGGGCCCTCTGGGAGTTGGAGGCCGGTTGGGAAGTGTCAGCAGAGTTGGGTCAGCAGGGAAGACCGCAAAGAATGAGACTGGCGTTGGAGGGGTATCTGCACGTGCGCTACTGAAAGGCCAGGGGATGTGGGACTGGGTGTGTGTGAAAATGGGTGCAGCTCGGGGTGGAGGGGATCGCGGTGCGACCAAGAGTGAAAACAAGTGGGGAAAGGGTTGGAACCGGCAGTGCAAAGTGGCGGAGGGAATGAGAAGCAGCCAGGGACAGGAGAGATTCCGGGACGAAAAGCAAGCGCGCGAGAAGCCCTGGGGTGGGAAGAGGCAAGGAGGGCCATGAGGGAAAACCGCCTCCCGCACCAGAGTTGGAAAGGAGGTCCAGGGGCCGCGTGGGCGGGAGGCGACCTAAGTTAGAGCGGCGCTGGGGAGGCCAGGACTGAGCGAAGGTCTCCGGGCCGGCCCAAGGCGCCGGGACCCCAGCTACCTTGAGGGCTTCCAGCCGGTAGCGCTGGGTGGAGCTGGGGTCCATCATAACCGTCACAGCTTTCACCAGCTCCTCGCACAACGCGTTCACTTGATCCATCGCCATAGCTGGAGCCACGCGCCACGAGCACCCACTACGGCCGTCCCAGGAGCGCGAGGAACGGACGGCTTGTTGGCGCGACCACACGTTAGTACCGGGCCGCCGCGGGCTGGGGGGTGGGGAGGTGGGGAGCAGGAGGAGGAGGAGGAGGAGAAGGAGGAGGAGCGTGAGCCCAGAAGCTGGAGCCGGGAAGGACCCGGCGCTGCGCACGCGCCCGACCCGCCACTGCGCAGGCGCACGCGCCTGCGGAAGTGGCGGCGCTCTTGTGACGACTACTCATAGGTGGGCGGAGCAGGAGCCGGAAGGGCTGCGGTGCGCAGGCGCAACGTCGTCCGCCCGGCTAGACGCGCGGGCGCGGCGGGACGGCAGTTTGAAAGGCTTGGTGAGGAGTTCGGAGCTGCTGCTGAGTTTTTCCGGGCCGTTCCTGCAGTTGCTGTGGCGAGATTGGAATCCTTTGCGGTGCCTGCTCCGATTGTTCGCTCTCCGGGAGAGTAAATCTCTCAGTACCCACTGGCCTGCTCTCGGGAAGGCGACAAGATGCTCTAGAGCCCTCAGTTTTCTTTCCAGTGAAAACAGCCCAGAGTCCGAGGCGTCCGCTGTCGGCGGTTTTGCCGGGAGTTTGTTGCTTTGGTAAGAAAATTTAGAATCATTACGTATCGCTGTTTTCAGACTTACAGGAAAACATGCTAACAGAGCTGGCCCTGAGATGGCCTCCCAGATTTTTCTTGTAGAGAAAAAAGTATTTTTTCCAGTCGTTTTTAAGCCCTCTTCACTTGCATTTATTTTCCTGGATACGCTACTACCTGATCGTCTCCAAACTTGTTTTGTGCAGATTGGGATAAGTCAAGCTATTTAAAGAGAATTATTAAATTCTCTTTAAATTACCGAAGATTTTTGCAGTTTAATAATTTGACTGTTATTATACACATGATTTCACAGTAGTGAAATCCTTATCTGAAAGCAGGGTTTTGGCAGAAAGTGTTCATTTTCCCTCTTTATAAAACTCTTGCCTTGGTGTGGGTCATGATTTCTGTTATTCACGGTTGAAGTAACAGGAAAAGTTTAAAAAAAAAAGTGACTGTTATGATATGCTAAAATTTCTTTCTTTCTGTGAAGGTATAGATAGTACATATTTTAGGTTTTGCAGGCTATACAGCCTCTGTCACAACTGTTCAGCTCTGCCACTGTAGTGCATGTAGAAGTAGCCAAAGACAACATGGCTATGTTTAAATAAAATATTAATGAACTCTGAAAAAAAAAAACTTATGTTCTCCAGTAAATAACTGATGTCCTTACCTGTTGTATCTGCATATCTGCTTTTGTGATGTTTACTTAGTCAAATGTTTGCTACTCTTTTATCACTGCTTCCTATTTCACTTCTGACATTTGTACTAGAAACAGTGCTTACCCTGTGTTGTTGTTGTTTGTGACAATATATTGCTATTTTCTGGAATTATCTGTTGTTCCAATACTACAGAAAAGTCACTTAAAGGTAAAGGGATCTCACATGTTATGGTTTAACTTATAAGTGTTTAATGCATCACATTCTATCTGTTTTAGGTGAGTGGTCAATTGGAATTTACAAAGAATTAATGCCTTGAATACTTTGATCTTAATTATTTGTTTTCTTTGCATTAATCTTTCAACTTTGTAGTTGTGTGACACTTTTTTGAAGGTGAACGTTGGTTTTTGAAAAACTCTTTAGAATACAGTTGGGTGCTCACTCAGCTGTATAACCTGTGATTTTCGTATTTAAATCATGAGCTTCTACTGTTTTCTCTAAGTATCTTATTTATGATAGGCCAATTGTTTCCAGACTCTGCTGCACATTGGAATTGCTTGAAGAGCCTTTAAAAATTATGATGCCCTGGTCAAATCTTCAATTAATTTAGGGTGTCTATGGTAGAAGTCAGATATCAATGTTAAGGTTCCCACATTCCAGTATTTAGCAAAGCAAATACTTTATATCCTTTCTTCCGGATTACTAATGGTGTCAAGTAACATTAGTATCTACTCTGGAATATATAAAGTTTGTTCATGTGTGCTTATTCCTGAATAATACATAGTATTATGTATTTCGTTTTGTGTTACAAAATTTTACGTGAATAGAAAATCAAGGTTAGAATACTACAAAGTAAGTGTTACACGGGGTATCCACTGATAGTTGCTCAGTGGTAGGAAGCTGGAAGACAAATGGTATTTAGTAGTCTCAAAGTATCCTCTCTTAAGGTATTAATTAAAAAAGGAAAAATGGTAACTTTATAAGGAGAAATTTGGGAAACACAATCTTACCTAATTGATTGTGGTTAATGCTACCAGTAACGACCACTTGATATTATGACTCCTCCCCCCACATAATGCTGAGAAGAGAGCATCACTTTCATGATATCCTGGCTAAAAATGCTAAATCTCGATCTAATCATGAGAAAATGTCAAACACAAATTAAGAGACATTCAACTGACCAACACTCATAAAAATTGTTGTGGTCATGAAAAACAAGCAAAGATGGATTGGAGAAAACTAAGGAGACATGATGTTCCAGGATCCTAGCTTGGATCCTAGAACAGAAAAAAAATATATTAGTGGGAAAACCAGTGAAATCCAGATGAAATATGTAGTTTTATCAGTCTTCGTTTTTAAATTTTGGTAATTGTGCTGTGTAAAATGTTAATGGGTATAAGCGAACCCTGCTGTTTTTATAATTTTCTGTAAGTCTAGAAGTAGCTCAAAATAAAAAATTTACATGAGTGCTATGATGTTACATAGTTGTGCCTCCAAATCCACAAGAGGATTGGTTCTAGGACATCCTTCCCCTACTCCATGATACCAAGATCTGCAGGTGCTCAAGTCCTATATAAAGACATAGTATTTGCATATAACCAATGTCCATCCTCCCATGTACTTTTTTTTTTGTTTTGTTGTTGTTGTTGTTGCAAGGCTGGGGATTGAACCCAGAACCCTGATAATATTAGGTAAGTACACTAGTGCTGAGTGACACCCCCAGTCCCTCACAAATCAATCACTTTAAATCATCTCTAGATTACTTACAGTATTTAACACTATGTACATAGTTGCTATTCTGTATTGTTTTAAAAAACGACAAGAAAAACATCTGTATGTTCAGTACACATACTTTTTTTCTGAATATTTTCTGAGGTTGGTTGATGTGGAACTCTTGGATACGGAAAGCTGTCTCATTTTCTGGTTTTGTTTTTTCTTTTTTTTTCCCTAAAACTTGAAGTCTGCCTACCAACTAGATTACTGTTGGCCCATTCCTCCTGCTGATGCACATTGTGGTTTTCATTTGCATTTCACCATTACCAATGATGCTGAGTCCATTTTTATGCACGTTGGCTATTTATTTTCTTTTGTGAAATGCTTAGGTTTTGAGGATAAGCATTTTTAATGCTTTTAATATTTATCACCTCCGTGAAATTGTGCTAATATTTATTCTCATGACAGCAGTCTATGAAAATGCCTTTCATTCTTGTTAGTTTCTATGCTCCCATTCTTAGGTAGCTCATTAATGAAAAGTAGAAATACAGTTTTTCCTGGCATTTTAGATTAGCTATCTTTCTAATTGTCTTCCAGAAAAATGGCTACTGGACAGGATCGAGTGGTTGCTCTGGTGGACATGGACTGTTTTTTTGTTCAAGTAGAGCAGCGACAAAATCCTCATTTGAGGAATAAGCCTTGTGCAGTTGTACAGTACAAATCGTGGAAAGGTGGTGGGTATGTATTACTGAAACTGTAATAGCTGTCTAGTGTTTTAATCGATGAAAAGACAGTGGTGCTGTGCTAGACATTTTATAAAATTTTTTGGCGGTACTGGGGTTTGAATTTAGGGCCTTGTGCTTGCTAGGCAGAAGCTCTACCACATAAGCTGCACCCTCAGACCTTTTTTGCTTTAAGTATTTTTTCAGTAGAATCTCACATTTATACAAGGGTGGGGGGAAGGTGGCAGCAGTGGCAGGACCATCATCCTCCTGGTTTATCCTGGTTTATGCTTTGGCATGGATGGGGCTGTAAGTGTATCACCACACCCAGCTTTTATTGATTGACACAGGGACTTGAGAACTTTTTGCCCAAGTGCTAGGGTATTTTTGAGATTTCAGAACTGCTCTGATTTGGGACAAATTCCTCATTTGAGGAATAAGCCTTGTGCAGTTGTACAGTACAAATTGTGGAAAGGTGGTGGGTATGTATCATTGAAACTCTTACAGCTGTCTAGTATTTTAATCGATGGGAATACAGTGGTGCTATGCTAGGCATTATGCTAGAAATGGTATCTATGGTCAAAAATTTTCTAATTTGTGTTTATACTTTTGTCTGTAAATTTTAATTGTTTTTGCTTGTGATTATATAATACTTTTCTGTTCCCTCCTTTTTCTGACCACAGGATTATTGCAGTGAGTTATGAAGCTCGTGCATTTGGGGTCACTAGAAACATGTGGGCGGATGATGCTAAGAAGTTATGTCCAGATCTTCTACTGGCACAAGTTCGTGAGGCCCGTGGGAAAGCTAACCTCACCAAGTAAGAACAAATATTGTTTAAAGGGACACAGACAGGGCAGTTGGAAATGATAGTTCATGAGACTCAGAGCTGATATTTCTGTTTGTGGAGCTGGCCGGTGTAGCTTAGGTAGAGCACTTGCCTAGCATTCATGAGACCCTGAGTTTGAGAGTTTGAGCCCCTGCACTGCAAAATAAATAAACAAATAAAAATTATTTTGTGTAAATAACATCTGAAAAAGTTCCCTTTGGTCAGTATGCTGCCTTTGGCATCCGTTCCTGTCTTCCTGTCCTTATTTAAAAATTGGTTGTTACAGTTCTACATTCTTAGTCCAGAAGTCTATAAAAGTGTATGAAGTGATTAAAAAGACTGTAAAAAAGTAAGTTTCTCCAGAGAAGGCTGGGTTTAACTGACATTTTAGTGCACGATCTAAACATTTTCTTTGAGTGATTCCAAGCGCTATTTTTTTTTTTTTTTGGCTGCACTGAGTTCAAACTCAGGGTCTTATGCTTGCTAGGTAGGTGCTCTTAGTGCTTGAGCCACTCCACCAGCCCTCTTAAGATTTCTGCTAGAGTTACTGTGAGAGAGTTAGAGACTATTATTACTATTTGCCAGAGTTGCATAAACTCAAAGGAAATTACTTCATTTTTAAAAATTTAGCTGTCTTTCCCCAAGTTTTATAAGTTTAGCCTTCGAATAAAAGACATACAGAGGCAAGCCCAAGCCCAGCTATTGTAATAATCCTTATAGCTAATATATGTTGAGCATATATTCCATGTAGTGATAAACTCGCTATAGGCAATATCTCTTTTAAACCTTGCATTATTTTAAGAGAGGCACTAGTATTATTGCCCTCTTCACAGATGAGGAAGGAAGATTAGAGAGGTTAAGTGACTTACATTCGTACAGCTAAGTGGAATAATGGGTATTCACATCTGTTTTTTCAGATCGTCTTATCCATATTCTTACACTACTCACAGGCTTTAACTTGGGATTTGAGATATTTCTGAATTCACCTGTGAATTAGAAGTCTAAAGGTGGAGTTTGCATAGCAATTGGAATTGAATTCCAATTGCATTGGAATTGAAAAGAACACAGATTTGACTGAAGATTAATAGCCTAACCCTAAAGCCAAATTAACTCAGTTAAAGAACAAATCTTACATTAAACGCTGTGCAGACAGTGTATGTTGTTGACTTCAAAGTATGATCTGGAAAAGTCACACTGTGCCAGCATTAAACTTTAAGTTTAAGTTTACTTTTAAAATATTTATCAAATAATGAACAATGACAGATTTTGAAAATTTTTGAGTGTGTAGATTACAGTTAATAGACAATTTAAAATTATTTTAGTAATTAAGTTATAAAAATACTGTTTGTATAAAGTTATTCAAATACCCTTCAAAATTTATTAGAAACATCAGTATTGCAAAGGAATATCCTTTTCTGGCTGTGTATGAATTTCTCTTTCTCTGTCTCTCTCTCTTTCAGGCTTCTTCCTAGTACAAATAGTGATTGAAAGAAAAAAATTTAATAATGTTTTGAACAATAATTACACTAGTTTTTATAGGTATCTTAGGAGGTGCTGACATTTCCATTTTTTTGGAAGATGTAACATGATCAAAGAACTTTAATTTATATAGCAGATCTAAACCAAAACAAAATATCCACATATTGTTGTAGAAAACTAGCTATACAACCAGAAGAATGGCTTATCGTTTGATTAGAAGGTAAGAGATTGCAGTCCTCTGAGGTTGTTAATTGTCCAGATGCATCATCACATTCTAGGCACTTTTCTTCAGCAATGTAATTTGAATGTTAGTATATCCAAAAGTAATTGGCTGGGATATGTGTAGTAATGGATGGTTTAAGTTAGCCAAACCGACTGTGGACTGAAGTATAAAGTCCACATATCAGTTTGTTAATTTAGAGTGCGATGATATCCTGTGGAAAACCAGATACTCTGATAATGATCAGTGCAGTGTTCCCTTAAATTACTACTTATTCAAAGCAGAGTTAAAAGTAAAAGACTGTGCGAGGGATATATGAAAATAAAAGGAATGAGTGATCATAGTAAAATGTTTTCTAGTGTGAAGCATGAAGCATTTCTTTGATGTGTAGACATGTTCAGGGTCAGTGTACACCATGGTTCTTCCTTTTTCTTCCTTGCTTCTGTTATTGATCATCACCTGTTTGTTGAGCCCTTCAGTTAGGTAATTATCTAGTCTCTGTTAAGCCACTTGTTTTTTTTTCTTTCCTTTCTCCTTTTTCCTCCCTCCCTTCCTCCTTCCCTCTTTCCCAGTTCCACTCCTCTCCCGTCCCCTTCCCTTCCCCTTTCCTCTCTTTCCTGTACTGGGGTTTAAAGTCAGGATCTTGTGTTTGCTCTCTACTGTTTGAGCCACACCACAAGCCTTTTTTGCTTTAGGTATTTTGAATAGGGTCTCACATTTATGCCTAGTCAATCCTCCTATTTACACTACCCGTGTAGGTGGGATGGCAGGTGCGCCTACCACCATACCTGGCTTTTTTATTGGTTGAGATGGAGTTTCACAAACTTTTTGCCTGGTCTGGCCTTAAACCATAATCCTTCTGATCTCATCCTCCTGAGTAGCTAGCATTACAGGCATGATGCTGTAATGCTGTATTATGGGTATTGTTCATCATCTTCATTCATTGCCTACATGTATGGTCCTCATACTTCTTAGGTACCGGGAAGCCAGTGTCGAAGTGATGGAGATAATGTCTCATTTTGCTGTGATTGAACGTGCCAGCATTGATGAGGCTTATATAGATCTGACCAGTGCTGTACAAGATAGACTTCAAAAGCTGCAGAGTCAGCCTATTTCAGCAGACTTGTTGCCGAGTACTTACATTGAAGGGTTGCCCCGAGGTCCTACAACGACAGAAGAGACTATTCAGAAAGGTACTTCCACAGTATTATGTTGCTTCTGCTTCCTGCATTTGGAACCTGCTTTGCTTGGTCATGCTGATTCTTCTTGGAATAACTGAAAGGAAACTTAAATTACAACCTGAATGAATCACAAGGACTCATATGGAAGGTATACAAATTCATTTATCTTTCAGGTATATGCATGAAATTTGTATGAAAGTAAATGTCTTTTTAGATATAACTAGGGCAGGTTATTGTTGTCAATAGAAAGGTAGGAGGCTCACTCAGCATTTCTGTCACCTGTAGGTTAACTTATGTTATTGTCATTTAGTTTATTTCTTTATCAATAAGTAGGATGAACTTTTTTTTAAAGCAGACCTCAGGTATAGGGAGTTGAATCACTGAAAATTTCTAATCAGTTGTAGCACATTACCATCAGTGGGCTGTGTAAGACCCCTTATTTTACGCCTTTTCTCCTTTACCCCACTCATCCTCAGGCATCTACTGATGTATTTGATATAGCTTCTTAGATCCATATATACCTTTATCAATTATTTATTATTGTATGTACTCTTTTAATTACATGATGATATTGTACTGTTACAGAGCTCTTTGTTTCAATGGTGATTTTAGAAATTTATCCATGTGACTGTATTAATGTGCAATTGCTGGCTTTTTCCTGCAGCACAATCCATGGTGTGGAGCTAATATTTACAGACCATTCTCCTTAGTGATGAATGTATTGGTTGCTTCTAATACCCATGTCTTTGTAATGACGAGTGTCCTTATCTTCTTTCAGACCCACGCAAAGCTTTCTCTGAGAAATGTTTTTAGTAGTGGATTGCTAGATCACAGGGTGTACATGTACACTTAGTTTCACCTAAGTATTGCCAAATTGCTGCTTAGAATTGTAACAGTTTACACTCCCCTTGGCAGTACTCAAGACTCCTTGTTTCCCTTATTCTCACTAACAATTGGTATTATCTAATGTTTTCTTTTCTTTCTACTCTCTTTCTTTCCTCATTATGTAGCCCCTTCATCCACAGACCCCACTTCAAGATTTTCACATATCCATTACAACTCACCCTATTTATTTACTTAGCTCAGGTTTTCTTTCTTTCTTCTTTCTTTTTTTTTTTTGGTGGGACTAGGGTTTGAGCTTGCAAAGCAGGAACTCCACTACTTGAGCCACACCTTCAGTTCATTTTGCTGTATTTTTGGAGATGGGGGTCTCTTGAAGTATTTGCTTGGGCTGGCCTCGAACTGCAGTCCTTCTGATCTCAGCCTCCCAGGTAGCTAGGGTTACAGGTGAGTCACCAGTGCCCATTTCTCAGGTTTTTCTTTATTCTTACCTAGACTACCTTAACTTTAAACCACCCTCTCAGGCTGAGAGTGTAGCTCAGAGGTCAAGCACTTGTCTGGTACAGTGGAGGACCTGGGTTTGAGTTCCCATACAAAAAACCCAAACCACTTTACACAGTGCTCACAACTTAAATAGTCTTAAGTACCAATGTTATCTTACTCTCTGTTCAAAACTTCCATTGCCTCTCTCTAAAGTGTCAGCTTTATAAAGTGGCATTGAAGACTACTGACCTGTCTCAATTTATCTCCTGCTAATCTCAGTTTATCTCCTAGTCTCAAGTTTGTCGTCTCTACAGTTTTTTGAGCATACCAAGTTTCTACCTTAGATAGACCTCACTTGTTCTGTCATCTAGCCCGGGCAACTTAGCAAGACCCTGTCTCAAAAAACAAAACAACGTCCGGGTGCTGGTGGCTCACACTTGTAATCCTAGCTACTCGGGAGGCAGAGATCTGGGAGACTGAGGTTCAAAGTCAGCCCAGGCAAATAGTTTTGTGAGACCCTATCTCAAAAAAACCCTTCGCAAAAAAGGGCTGGCAGGGTGGCTCAAGATGAAGACCCTGAGTTTAAGCCTCAGTACTGTAAAAAGAAAAAAACCCACATTTTATTAGGTTTGGGAAACAAAATTATGAGTAATTTATTGAAATTGTGTTTTTTTGTGCTATCTTTTTTTTAAACAAGCAGAACTAAGTTTTCTCTGCTTTAGATTTTTTTTCATCATTGCTCTCTTGGATTGGGTAGTGTTGCAGTTCTCTGTCACCCTATATCTGTGTCAATCAGGACCACAGAAGCATTTCCTTGTTTTCCTACAATGTTTTGACCTCTTTTCTAGCTAATGAGAATCATCTAAATTTGGGGATTTTCTTCAGTACTTTGGAGTGAACCAGATGGAGAGAACTGTGGTAGTTTTTCTGGGTGTTAAATACCCAAGAAAGCTAAAGACTTTCCATTTCCCATTCAATTATCTTGGCACCTTTGTGGACACCAATGGACCAAAAAATAGGAAAATATAGTTCCTTTGGTTGGATTTTAAGCTACTGAACTGGAACCGGCCTTCAAAAATATGTAAATACTAATTTAAGTTTAAATTGAAGCTCGAGTTAATGCATATTTTCTAACTGAGGGAGATGTTCAAAGGGAAGTGGAGGAAGAAAATTCAAGAGAACTAGGGGGAAAAGCATGCTTTTGAATCATTACTCACAGGCTGGGAAATGTAGTTTAGCAGTAGGAATGTGCCTGGCATGCACAGGGCTCTGGGTTTGTTCCCAGCACCACCAAACTTCAGTCACAAAAGATGATATGAATATAAAATATTTTTTTTACATTGGCACTCTAAGCTTCAACCTGAGCTGAAGCTAAGGATGCTGAAATTGGTGTGAAGAAAAAATTGATTTCTTTTAATTAATCTTCTAAACTGGCTGTGATTTTGTTTTATGAAAACCTGCATACCTAAAGTACCTGAAATCCAAGCATTTCTTGGATAACACAATTAAATATAGACGTGTTGCTTAACATAGAGTCTGTTTACACAAACCTAGGTCATACAGCCTACCACACATAGGCTCTAATGGTATATGTTGACATGTATGCAGTCTGTGATTGACTAAATATTATGTGACTGAGGACTGAAAATAGCTAATTTTAAAAGTGTCTAATGTGACCATTCAATCTTTTTCAGAGGAGATGCGAAAACAAGGCTTACTTCAGTGGCTTAATTCTCTTCAGTTTGATAACACCACCTCTCCAGACCTGCAGCTCACCATGGGGCAGTGATTGTGGAGGAAATGAGAGCAGAAATCGAGAGGCAGACTGGTTTTCAGTGCTCAGCTGGAATTTCACACAATAAGGTGAAGGCTCATCATAGATTTCATACATCAAGGATAGATATGAGCAGATATTTAAATTATTCCCATATACTTTGAAATGAGTTTTTACTTAAAATTTATGTTGAAACCCAAAAGCTTATGTAAAGCTGGGTTGACACTGCATATGTACTTTCCTAAGAAGCAGGCTGAAAAATTACAGAAAACCTTTACTCATAAAGGTAAATCCAAACATTTCCTTAATAGGCTAATCTCTATTTTTAAAAATTTTGCAGTGCCAAGGATTGAACCCAGGGCATTGCACATGCTAGACAAGTGCTCTACTACTGAACTACACCCTAGCCTTTGGGTTTTTTGAGACAGGGCCTCACTTTGTAGCTCACAATGGCCTCAAATTCACATTCCTCCTGCCTCTACCTCCCAAGTGCTGGGATTACAGGTGTGTATTAGCACACCTGACTTAACCTAGGTTTTTTATTTTCACTTGCTGAACATTTCTTTTTATTGTCTTGGGTCACGGACAATTCTTAATAATTCAGGGGCAAAATAACTGATTTTCTGATTAACTGTGAATAAAGTGCAGTGGGAGTGTAGGACATTTATTCCCCACTGTGACGTGGCTCAGTAATTGGGCTGACTGTCCATGGCTCCCTCCCTCCAATAAGAGGAAAGTTGCTAAACTACCCAGAGAGTTTTTGCATTATCCCCATGTAATTTAAGTCAGACTAATGTTGCCTGATAGAAGTTCCTAAAGAGGCTCTCTAATCAGTTTAAGGAATTATTTTATATATTTTTAAACATTAATTTTTCTTGGACTGCAAATGTGGCTCAAGCAGTAGAGCACCCACTTTGCAAGTGTGAAGCCCTGAGTTCAAACCCCAGTTCTGCCAAATATATATACATATATATGGTTTTTTTTCCTTTTGTCTTTTTAAGACAAAGTCTCACTATGTTGGCCAGATTGGCCTCAAACTCTTTCATGCCCCTGCCTCAGCCTTCTGAGTGCTGGGCTAATAGGCATTCTACATCACACCCAGCTAATTTTTTTCATTTAAAAATATTAGACAAGAGCATATATGCCAATGGAAGAAGATTTTGAGCCAAATCCTAATCTCATATACTAAATTGTGGTCTTTATTGAATTCAGGACTCAAAATTGACTAATCATTAATCAAGAAATACAAATAAATAGGGTAGTAAAACAAATATTTCAGCATTTTCAAATGGATATACTAAGAAAAGCCCCTTTCTTGAGTCTCTTTTGTAGCTTCATTGCTTAAACTAAAAGTTTTTAAAGGAGAGAGACTTTGTAGGCAGGGGATCCTTCTCTGAACCATGGTGTGATAGTCAGCTGTCTGTTGCTGTGACAAAATACCTGAGATAAACAACTTTTAAGGAGGAAAAGTTTGTTTTGGTTCATGGTTTCAGAGGTTTCGGTACATGGTCACTTGGCCCCATTGCTTTGGACCTGCAGTGAGGCAGTGTACCATGGCAGACATGCACAGTGGAGGAAACCTGTTTACCTCATAGCTCCTGGGAGATAAAAGAGAGTGAGGGAGGGACCAAAGTTCCAATACGTAAATTCCTTACACTAGGACCCAACTCTTAAAGGTTCCATTACTTCCCCAAAGTGCCACAGCATGGCATCCAAGCCTTCAACCCATGACCTTTTGAGAGTCATTTGAGATCCATTTAAGACCCATAGTGACATATGCAAGGAAGAGGCTGCTGAGTACTCCACTTAAAAGCTGTGCCTATGGTTATTTGGGAAGCTAAAGCTCTCTGAATAATTGGTTATTGTATCAAGTATAGTCGAGTCTATAGTGAATCTATAAAGAAATGTTCAGGGCTTAAATTAAAAAGCGAGAAGACCTCGAGGCATAGATGGAGAGGAGAAAAATGACTAGAGGAAGACAATGGAGATGTAGGAAGAACAATGAGGAGAAGGAGTGTGGGTCTTGTTTTCTACTGAGGATGTTGTGAAATACAGTGTTTTAGAGATGTTTCGAGTTTCTGGTTCTATTTTGTTTCTAATATGGAAAGCACTAGTCACAGCCCTTAAACTGTGTGTATGTTAATGTTTACCAACTCTGCATAGGTAGGTTAACAATACTGAGATTTTTATACTTTCCATGCTTCCAGGTCCTGGCAAAACTGGCCTGTGGGCTAAATAAGCCAAACCGTCAGACTCTGGTCTCACACGGGTCAGTCTCACAGCTCTTTAGCCAAATGCCAATTCGTAAAATGTAAGTAATCTAGAAGCACTCTAAGTTTCACTCACTGCCAGGTGAAGATGCTCTCTACTTGTTTCTTCTGTTTCTTTCAAAAGATTGAAGCCAGAGAAAATAGGTACTAGGCAATTAGGAAGGAGGCAACGTAGAAGATTTTGAAAACTATATTGAGACTTTTTTCTTAATGAATTTTTCAGTTCTGGATTATCCATGATAGATACTTAATCCATTTTTTTAAAAAATGAACTGAGTTTTAGCTATATGTTTAATTTCCCTTTTTATTCAATTATATTAAGCTAAAAATAGGAATTTTACTTCTTTTCCTTCCTATACTGTCAAATCAAGGTGTTCAGAGGTGCTAAATTGCTCCCAAACTAAGCATAAAAGTAGCCAAATCAAATGAATAGCTAAATCATACCTACCAATTGTGTGTTCTTGACAAGGGCTTATAATATTGTTGAAGAGACAAAATATGACAATCCAAAGCAAAAGAAAAACTGCTGCCAAAGTGTGGATATTGCAGCAATCAGGAGGATCGCAGTTCAAAGCCGGTCTGGGCAAATTCTTGAGACCCTATCTCAAATAAATCTATCACAAGAAAATGGCTGGTAGAATGGCTCAAGGGGTAGGTCCAGAGTTCAAGCCCCAGTACTGAAAAAAAAAAAAAGTGTGGATATGAATTTTTGGTAAATGAATAGCTATGAAGGTTGACAAAGTAATCTGAGAAGTTTTGTTTTGTTGTTTGGTATAACAGTCAGCAAATAGCAGGGAAGTAGTGCTGGAGAATTTTTATCTTTAGCAAAAAGAATGGAAAATATATATTTTCAGTGAATTGTAATTTATACTGATGAAGATAAATAATGGAAACAGACTGAAAAAACATAGGTTAAAGACAGATTATAGGTTGCTTCAAAGACCAGGCTGAAGAACTTTAACCATATCTTAAGTTATAGTCATGGAAAAGATTTGCTTTGGTTTGGAATTTTAATCCCCAAATTGGACAATTGTCATTTTTATATGCAGTTGAATTTGATAGCTAATCAATGTCTGGGGTTTTTTTTTTTTTTTTTTTTTTTTTTTTTTTGTACTAGGGTTTGAATTTAGGACTTTTGTGCTGGCTAGACCAGGCGTTCTACCACTTGAGCCATGGCACCGGCTCTATTTTTTTTTTAATTGATGCTATTAATCTTTCCTGGTAAATACTCCCAGACTATCTGAATTTCCAGAATCATCTAGCTGTACGCAGAAAAATAATGAGTCTATAGGACTAATACTGCTCTCATTTTCCCTGAACCTTTCAGAGAGCTACTTATAGCAGCAGAATGTTTTATGTTTGCTGTTAACTAGATATTTATGATATGACCTACAAATTCTTTGTCTCCTTTGTTATCAGCCGTAATCTCGGAGGAAAGCTAGGGGCCTCTGTCATTGAAATTCTAGGGGTAGAATACATGGGTGAACTGACCCAGTTCACTGAATCCCAGCTCCAGAATCATTTTGGAGAGAAGAATGGGTAAGCAATTCATATTATTTTTCAATCATAACCTATTTGTAGTTGCTGAGTTCATAGTAGACAAAAACATCTAAAAAAAATCTAGGTCTGTCTTTAGGTTATCATTTGTTGCTTGAGATAATTTCACTGGTTGTTCCTTATTGATTTAAAATATTGTCACTGTGGTCTGTCAGTTTAGGTTTTTATTCTGGTATCTGGGTGACAAATAGGAATTGTGACTTTGAATCCCAGGTAATACTATTATATCATTTATGTGTACTAGTTTACTGGTGTTCCCTTAAGATCCTTATATTTCAGCTTTAGGAAGCACAAAAAAACCTATGGCTATGAGGCTGGGCTTGTAGCTGCAGTACCAGCACTTGAAAGGCAGAGGCAGATGGATCACAAGTTTAAGGCCAGGCTGGGATACAAAGTAAGACCCTATCTCAAAACAAAACAAAAATAAAAACAAAAAACCATTTAGACATATGAATAGGTGACTTGCTTGTTGGCACTTTGCCAAAAAATACTAACAATAACTTGGCTTTAGGAAGCAGAGCCAGTGTTCTCCTTGTTAATATATTACAGTGAACTTAATTAAGAAGGGCAAGGATTCTATCAGAGATCAGGTATGCTTAACTTTTGATACATTTTTCCTTTTTTCACAAAAAAGATAAGAGTTATATAGGTATTTTGTTTTGTTTAAACAAGAACATTTACTTTCACCTTAATGTCTTTTGCTGGTTTTATTAGGTCTTGGCTATACGCCATGTGCCGAGGGATTGAACATGATCCAGTTAAACCCAGGCAGCTACCCAAAACCATTGGCTGTAGCAAGAATTTCCCAGGAAAAACAGCTCTGGCTACTCGGGAACAGGTGAGCAGGCATTCTTAGCAAAACACTGCCTCTTTTAAGGGGGTTGATGGGTTGATTTTAGAATGCGGAAGGTTAGATGGATCTTCCTTTATAATGTCTGAAGGGAGTACAAGTTTCTCTTTTTTGTGTTGAAATTGACTAGCTTAACTTATGATTTGTTACTTTTTCCTCCTTCCATCTAAAAAGAGACATAAATCAAACTGACTGAAATTTAAAATGGATTTCTTATCTTTCTGGTAGGTGGAAACTTGGAAAGCTGAGTATATTGTGCCTCAGTTTAGGATCTTTTTTCCCAGAACTGGAATATACTTGAAATTCACTTGACAGCATGCCAGGAGTAAAGAGTCAGGGTCTCACTATGTATCCCAGGCTGGCCTCAAACTCGATGTCTTTCTGCCTGAGCCTCCTGACTGCCGGTATTATAGGTGTACACATGAAAATCTTGACCCTAGGGCAAGACCGAGTGCTGAGAAGATGTCTGTGATCTGATTATAGAGAATCTATGGTGCACAGTTAATTCCATGTGGGTTACAGCTAAACAAACCATGGTTTATTTCTGTAATATACCTAAAGTAGATAAAAAAAAGATTAAGGTTTCAATACTTTTTTAGGTACAATGGTGGCTCTTGCAGTTAGCCCAGGAACTAGAGGAGAGACTGACTAAAGACCGAAATGATGTAAGATTTTCTTTTTTTGTATTTCTGGGTAGGGCTTTGGGATTTAAATACCAGCTGCTCTTTACCTAAGATAGAAAAAAAGTATTGTATAGGGAATTCTAAAATCTTTTATCTTCTTTCAACATAACCCCATGCTGATGGCATGGCTCAAGTGATTCAACATCTGCCTAATAAGGTGCAAGGTCCTGAGTTCAAACCCTGGTACTTCCAAGACAAACAAAAAATAGGCTCATAAATCCCAACATGACTTTTGAAAAAGCCTGGCTCTGTGAACCTAAGACCTGCCCCTCTATACCTGCCTCTCTAATTACATTTTTGGATTTTCTTATCTAAATTCTCCTGCGATTCTGAATATATAGTAGTCCTTCATTAGAGTGCATAACTATTGAGCAGGATGTTGAGAGATTGAACTGTAAATTACTGAGCTTAAACAGTCCAAGGCTGGGTGCTGGTGGCTCACACCTGTAATCCTAGTTACTTAGGAGCAGAAATTGGGAGAATCGCAGTTCAAAGTCAACCTGGGCAAATAGTTTACAAGACTGTATCTCAAAAACACCCAACATCTTTGCTCCCATTTCTTGCTTGAAGAACAGGAAATTTTCTTTCTTTCTCCACCTTCCTATCCCCCACATACCTTGCCTATATTTTATCCTGTTATACTAAAATAAATCCTTGCTTTAAAAAAAAAGAAAAACAACCAACATCAAAGAAAAACACGGCTGGGAGAGTGGCTCAAGTGGTAGAGCGCCTGCCTAGCAAGCATGAGGCCCTGAGTTCAAACCTCGGTGCTGCAAAGGGAAAAAAACCCAAAAAACACACAGTTCAAGGGAGTAGTGGCACTTTTAGAGACCGTATTAAGTTAAACATTAGACAATGACAGTTTTTCTTTTCTACTTTTAAACAGTTTTATTTAAAGTATAACATATATAACTCTATCCTAAAATTCAACCACTTTAAAGTATACCATTCAGTGGTTTTAATATATTCCAGAGTTGTACAACTATTCTACAATGAATTTTAGAACATTTTCATCACTCCAAAAAGAAATCCTGTACCGATTAGTAATCACTCCCCATTTCTCCCCAACCTATCCTTAGTCCTAGGCAATCTCTTAGTTTGCTGTCTTTTTATGGACTTAATATTCTGGACATTTCATAAGTAGAATTATATAATGTGGCCTTTTCTGACTAGCCTGAAAGTCTTTCACATAGCATATATGATACGTGTCAGTACTTTACGCCTCTTCATCACTGAATAAGTCTGTTGTATGGATATACCACATTTTGTTTACCCAATATCAGTGGATGGATATTAGGGTTATTTCCACTTTTTGGCTACTATGAAGAATGCTGCTATGAGCATTCATATACAAGTTTTGTGTGGAATTATACTTATCCTAAGAGTATACCCATTGGGTCACATGATAACTATGTTTAGCATTTTGAGAAGTTGCCAGTGTTTTTCTATAGTGGCTACATTATTTTATATATCTACCAGCAATGTTAAGAGGGTTCTAATTTTTCTACAATCTTGTTATCTTTTTAAATTTTAGTCATGCCTACTGGGTGTAATGTGGTAGGTGTCTTGTGATTTTGATTTGCATTTTCTGATGGTCCTGTTTTAATGTGCTTATTTGCCATTTGTATATCATCTTTGAAGAAATGTCTGCTGGAATCCTTTGCCTTCTTTGAATTAGGTTGTCTATTATTGAGTTTTAAAACAGTTCTTTATATATTCTGGATACAAGTCCTTTATCAGATAAACGATTTGCAAATACTTCCTCCCATTCTGTGTTTTCTTCTTACTTTTCTAATGGTGTGATGTATCTACTTCCTTTGAAATATCTTGGAATCCTACAAGTGTACTGTATACTGTCAATAACAGTGCATAGGTACTTGTTTGCTCCTTTACACCAGGAATTGGCCATCGCTCGCTGTTCTAAGCAGTTGTGTTATTGGCCTGTTCAACTTTGTCCACTAGGTGTTGCTCCCTCTTCATTTCTCTGTAAGTCCCTGGGGCTTTCTTCCCAGGTTTGTGTCTGGTGTAATACAGTGGGTGGGGATCCTGGAAAATTCATCTGCCTTTAAGCTCCAGAGGACTTTATGGCAGAAAAATTCAAGACATAGGTGGTCCTGTCACTTCTCTTTATACCTAAATCATATTAAGGATTATTTTCCTTATTTTTTTTTTAATTCTATAACTAAGATCTAGCCTCTGATTCTCTGACCTTGCCTATCTTCTCCCACTTACTTACTCTGTTCTAGCCTCCGCTCCACTGGCCTGCTTCCCTTTTATCTAACATAACAAGTAATCTCTAATCTTAGCTTTTATACTTGATGTCCCCCCTTTTTTAAAAGCAGGGTCTTGCTATGTAGCCCAGTAGCACAGGCTATCCTCAAACTTCTGATCTTCGTGAGGGATTACAGGCATGGATCACTGGGCCCAGCTAACTTGCTGTTCTTTTGCCTCCAGAGAATTTTTGCTCCTGTGTTCTTGAAATTTGTTTCCTCACCTTATTCAGGTTGGTTCAGATTTAACCTCCATGAGGCCTTCCTTTCCCAGTCGCACTATCACATTAGCAGACTCCATTGTACTCTGCCTTGACCTGCTTTTTCTCATAACAGTTATTATCTCCTTAGTTATTTCTAGTACATGCCTTCTTGTTTATCACATACATAGCTCCTGTTACAACATGAGCTCCAGGAGGTTCTGGACTAGTTTGTTCTCTCCATCATCTCTAGGCACTGTCGAGAGGCACAGTAGTAGTACTCAGTTATAGTTGTGTGGTTCTCATCAGCAAGGACTCCTTTGGAATTGCTAATTTGTACTGTCTCAAGGCACGAGTCTCTATAGGTGTATTTACCTATTAATTTTTATTAAAAATATCTGTATTCTTAACTCATTTGCCTTTGATTATTTCTTCTAACATCTTTGATTTTTGAGAGGATCCTTACGTAGACTTTGCGTTTTCAGATATTTCTGCCTGTTGACCTTTATTTCTCAGGTTGCAGAGCATCAGCAGTATTCAGTTGCTCAGTCTTCCCTGAAAAGTGACATCTTGCTGTCTAGAGGTGCTCTCTGCTGTTTCCATAGATGGGCTGTGAGAAGGAGACACGTGGAAACTTCTGTTTTAAGCATAGAGCATCAAGGCAGGAAAAGATAAGACTAGATGCATTCTTCAGTCTTGACATCCTAGCTTTCAGACACTTAACTGTTTTTGCAGTACTGGGATTTGAACCCAGTTTGCTATGCAGGCACTCTACCACTTGAGCAGTGCTGAACTCTGTTTTCAGTAACAAAGTAGAATATAGTATTGTAGGTATCTGTTACCATCTTCTTGCTTAGACACCATGGAAATATTCAGGAGAGACCCATTTGCTAGATATCTAAATAGTCCATCACCAATATTGTGTATTGCTCAGTTACTTTTTACATCCAGAAATAGAACAAACATTTTTTGTGGAGTCATGTAATAATGTGATTCTGTACTATTAGCATATAAAATATATGGAAACAGGAAATCTTTGCATCTCTCATAGTACCAAATCCAGTGTCCTGCACACAGAAGGTACTCAGTATACATCTGTAGTTTATGTAAGTAGACGCTAGCATAAACAGCATCATTCTTTGCTTATTAACTCTATAGTCTTTGCTTTTAAACTGTTTTCTAACCGTTCTGTCACCTTGGTTCTTTTAATTCCCTTTTATGTAGTTTAATATATAGGATCCGGATATATGCCTGCTAACTACTTCTGGTCCTAATCTTTTTCTAACCACAGAATGACAGAGTGGCCACCCAGTTGGCTGTGAGCATCCGTGTACAAGGAGACAGACGTCTCAGCAGCCTGCGCCGTTGCTGTGCTCTTACCCATTATGATGCTCATAAGATGAGCCACGATGCTTTTGCTGTCATCAGAAACTGTAATACTTCTGGAATCCAAACTGAATGGTGAGTTTTTTTCTAGTGCATATTCTCAAAAGACTTTTCCAGTGTTAGCTCTAAAATTAGTGTGCATCCGAGCTCTTTCAGCTGGGGTAGGCTCTTTGTGACTCAGACTAGTAGCACCTATTACAGAGGGGATGGTCATGCACTAAGGGAAAGAACACAGAAAAAAGGCAGCTCGGCTGCAGCTTCTTTGCCTGTGGCACATTTGGTTCCCAGGAGTAGTTAGAAGGAAAGGTGAACTGTTACTATCTCTGCCTGTATCAGCTTGTTGTTGTCAGGGAAATACTATTTGCACTTGGAGAACAGAGTTCAAGTTTCAAGAATATAGCTGGGAACTTCTTTCTCAACTACTTTTGTTCTATTTTTTTTTTAACTTTTTAATCATTTTATTAGCATATAATAGTTGAATGGGGAATATATAGTGATATTTACATATGTATTTAAAATCTTTCTTAGTTGGAGTTACCCCCTCTGTTGTTCTCCCTCTCCTCACCCCCTTTTGTTCTATCTTAAAAACATCTTTCATACTTAAGAAAGTGATGTGTGTGGTGGTGGCGGGGTTGGGGGGGGGTGAGGAGAGGATAGGGACCCAGGGCAAGTGTTCTACCACTGACCTGTGCCCCCAGTTCCTCTAAAGTGACATCTCTAACATCCCAACTCAGTTCTAAGCTTTACTGGTATACCTAATGTAATAGTAGTTAATAAAGCTTGCTTCTGTTGGTCATGAAATATAACCAAATATATGGTAAAACCTCTTTTTGGACCATGTTCATTTTCTGTCCAGTTATTGATAATTTTCAGGAACAGAATCCTTTAATTTTTTTGTTTGTTTGTTTTATTTTTCGGACTCATATGCTGGAGGCTGGCCTTGGACCAAGATCCTCCTACCTATACCTGTCACATACCTGGGTAAACAGGCATATACCACCATGCCCAGCTTGTGTGTTGAGATGGGGTCTCATTAACACCCCCTCCCCCCACAACACACACACACAGGCCTTGAACCATGATCTTCCCAAGTAGCTGGGATTGCAGGCATGGACCACTGCACCTGGCCCCTTTAAAAATTACTTGTGCTTTTTTTTTTCTTTTTGGTGGGATGGTGTTTGAACTCGGGGGTTCATGCTTGCAAAGCAGGTGTTCTGCTTATTTGCTCTGATCATTTTGGAGATAGGGTCTCGGAAACTATTTGCCCAGGCTACTTGAACCCAATCTCAGACTCCCAAGTAGCATGAGCCACCACACCCAGCAAAAATTTCTTGTTTAACATAACCTCTTACATTAATTTTAAAAATAATCCAAATTAACAAGGAAAATATAAGATAATTTACTTACAGATATCAATTGAAGATTATTTTTTTAAAAAATTTCATCACCTAAGTTATTGCTTATCTAAATTACATTGGTATTACAGAACTTCCTAAACTGAACATGGTTGTGAATTTCTTAATCCCAGCACTGGGAGGCAGAGGCAGGAGGGTCATGAGTTTAAAGTCTTCCTGGGCTACATATTGAGACTATTTCCAAAAACCAAAAACCAAAACAGTAAAACAAAAATCCTTTTACTTCCTGGCATATTTATTTTCAGAAAAGTGTAAAAGTTTTACAGACCCAAATGATAATTGTGGTATTATGTTCATATGAAATTTTATTTGAAAACTTGTAAACTGATAAACTGTAATACTCCTCACCACCAGTGTGAAACTTGTTTAAAAGGGAAGCCATCAACATTACCTAATCATAAGATAGCCCCAAACATGAAACCTGAGGATGGTGAGATACTGTCATAATAACTTTAAAACAGCATTTACTCTTTACCTCATTGAGGAACTAATCTATATGTAACAACATGCTTCATCTTCTGAAAGTCAGCACATTTGAAAATTTATTTAGGTAATTTGATATAATAAAGAATTTTATGATAGGAATTTCTTGAAATGTTTCTGAGAATTGGGATTGGTAACCAAAGCAATTGCAGAATTTTCATTCTTTAGAAATTCCAGAGTGGAAAGTCAGTTAGGATTAGGGCTAGGTTAGTACCCTGTTTAAAAAAAGAAGAATGATGCTGGAGGTATGACTCAAGTGGTAAAGCACCTGCCTTAGCAAGTATGAGGTCCTGAGTTCAAACCCCAGTACTGCCAGAAAAAGAAGAATGGCTAAGAGACTTTTTATTTTTCAGGTCTTTCTAGGTTAAATGTTCTAAAGCTTTTCTCTTCCGCCGAATAAAATTTCTTGCCCCAACCCTGAATTACAGCAACTTCTGTAGTGGTACCCTCGCTTTCAGGAGGTGGATGGTCACCACATCAGGGGTTCTCAAGGTGATCCCTAATCAGCAATATCAGCGTCACCGAGAAAACTTTTACAAACAGATTCTTTGTTGATCCCAGGTCCACTTTCTCTGCATTAATGTGTTACAAACTAAAGTTTGAGAGACACTGCAGTAAAGCTAGTTTTCTCTCATGGCAGACCAAAACTCTTGTCATTTATGAATTGAATCTAAGCTCTGAAATAGTGACCTTAGCTAATCCTCTTGTTCCTTTACTTTGTACACAGGTCACCTCCCCTCACAATGCTCTTCCTGTGTGCTACCAAATTCTCTGTGTCCGCCCCTTCAGCTTGCACAGACATCACTGTCTTCTTGAGCAGTGACTCAAGTTCTCTTCCAAAGGTGCCAGTTAACAACTCAGAAGCTCAGACCCAAGGAAGTGGCCCAGCAGTGCCACCCATTAAGAAAGCAACTACCTCTCTAGAATCTTTCTTCCAGAAAGCTGCAGAAAAACAGAAAGTCAAAGAAGCTTCAACTTCATCTCTTACTATCACCACTCAAGCACCCACAAGCAAATCACCATCCAAATCCTCGTTACTTTTCCAAACCAGTCAAACTACAGGAACTGAGCCCTTCTTTAAACAGAAGAGTCTACTTTTAAAGCAGAAACAGCTTAATAATTCTTCAGCTTCTTACCACGCACAAAACCCACAGTCCAGTACTAAAGGGTTATCAAACTGTTTTCCAATAGAGTGTTCAGGTGGTGCCCCTGTTTGTGAAACAATGTTGAAATCAGAATCCTCTAAAACAGTTACTACACAGATGGATTTGGCCCAGAACAGCCCAAATATGCTTACTTTTTCAGTTTCCCACTCTCCAGAGGTGGTGCAAAAGGTAACTACTACCCCTAGTCTTCTAGCTGCTGAGGACCAAGTATCCTGTGAGAAGTGTGGCTCCCTGGTACTGGTGTGGGAGATGCCAGAACACATGGATTATCATTTTGCATTGGAGTTGCAGAAATCCTTTGTGCAGCCTCACTCCTCAAAGCCCCTGATTGTCCCTACCCTGTCTCCTCAAGGCAAAAAAAGTCCCAAGAGCCCTTTGGCCTCCAGTAATAAACGCCCTAGGCTGGGGGGCATGCGGACACTGGAATCATTTTTTAAGCCATTAGCACATTAGTGCTGCCTTCACGCTTGCTGTAGGGTTTTAATATTTTATCTGTAACCAGGGAGATGAGAATATGTTCGTTTCTCAAGGAAATTCATAACTACAGGGTGTTTTTGGTGGGACTGTGGTTTGAATTCTGGGCCTTGGTGCTTGCAAAAGCAGGTGCTCTACTGCTTGAGCCACACCTCCAGTCCATTTTGCTCTGATTGTCTTGGAGATTGGGGGGGGGGTCTCATGAACTACTTGCCTGGGCTAGCCTCAAACCATGATCCTTCCAATCTTAGCCTCCTAAGTAGCTAGGATTACAAGCCTGAGCCACTTGGCACCCAGCTCATAATTATGAAATTTTTAATAAAAAAAATAATTCAAGCCAGGCATGGTGGCTTACATCTATAATCCCATACTGGGGAGGCTAAGGCAGAGAGATCAAAAAGTTAAAGCCAGCCTGGGCTACATAGTGAGACCCTGTTTCAAAAAATCAAAAAATAATCCAGTTAGGTGCCTAGGTTAAGACTTCCACTTCTTCATATGGGATTCTGTTGCCATTGCTGATAGAACAATAGAAGTCTCTCCTTGAGTTTTTAATCTTTAGAGTTTATGGAGACATATATTAAAAAATGCAGATGCTGTGGAATCTTAAGCGACCTGGTTCCAAAATCCTTCTTCCTCCTTATTTCAAGTTTGGCTTTGAGCAAGTCATCTGTAAAACTAAGATGATTATCTTAAGACTATGGAAAGTTAAAAATGATATATTTAGGGGTTGTGAATGTAGCTCAGTGACAGAGTACCTGCCTATTCTATGTAAGGCTCTGGGTTCAATCCCCAATACAGCCAAAAGGAAAAAACAAAAACACTTATTTAAAGTACCCAAATCAAAGTTGGCACAGAAAAGGAACTGAGTAAAAGAATGAATGGCTTAAAAAATGATTTTTCTTCCTAGCTTTGTAACAGGGTTAGTTCCAATAATCTCTTGACCAGAATTTCATATTCGCATTTGGAAGATGTGAGGTGAGGACTTAAAACCCTAAAAGTTAGAGCAAGGCATACAGGAGCTACTCAGTTAGTACTGAACTTCACACAACTAAATACTTAGAGCCTCAGTTTTAGCCACTGGCCCTTCTACCTATAAATTTTATCCTAATGTAGAATAGAAACTCCTGGGCAGGTTCAGGAAGTCTGTTTCGTCATGATTAAAACTAGATCATCTCTGGAGCCTCGTTAACCCAAGTGTGATAGGAAGAACAGCAGTGTTAGTAGTATCACGAGGGAACTAAAAGAGGCAGAATTTACTCATCAATAAGACTGTTAAGTTTTTTTTTTTTTTGAGGCAAGATCTTACTATGTAGCCCAGGCTGGCCTCAAACTCAATATCCTCCTTCCTCAGCCTCCTTAGTGGTGGAATTACAGGCATGTGCCATCATGCCCAGTGACCCCAATGTGTATTTTAAGGTTTTAGAAATACCAACCTAAAAGATATCAAAGGCCAGATTGTAGAGGACACTCATTATTTCCTTAAATCCAAAGTACAAGTTTAAGAGATAGAAGTTTGGAATTTTTAGTGTCACTGGTACGTTCATCTCTCCCCTATATAGAGAGTATTTAGTGTGAGTATTTAGCTTAGGGTTTTAAATTCATTACTGTAACTTCTTGTACTTGTTCATATTATAATACTTCATTTTTTGCTGGGGATCAAACCAGGGTCTTACACAGGCTAGTGCTCTCAGACTGAGCTGCACCCCCAGCTTTAGTATTGTTTTTTGTTTTGGTGGTACAGGGACTTGAACTCTTGGCCTCAAGCTTGCTAGGCAGATGCTCCTCCCACTTTAGCCATGTCCCCAGCTTTTTATATTTCAGGTAGGATCTCAAGCTTTTGCCCTGACCAGCCTTGGATCTTGATCCTCCTGCTGCCTCCTGACTAGCTTAGATCACAGGTACGTGCCACCACACCTGGCTTGTTTTTTGAGATACACAGTCTTACTATTTCTAGGCTGGCCTTAAACCACTGCATTTGTTTTGGTGGTACTAGGGTTTGAAGTCAGGGCCTTGCACTTGTTAGACAGGTGCTCTTCCTCTTGAGCCACACACCTATCCTTCTTGCTTTGGTTATTTTTAGGGGATAGGGTCTCATTTTGCCCAGACCTGTCTGGATGACAGTCCTCCTGATCTCTACCATTCTAGTGGCTGGGATTACATGTAAACCACCAAACCCACTCTGTACTTTTTTTTTGTGGTACTAGGGTTTGAACTCAGGGGCTACACCTTAAGCTACTCAAGAGTCCTTTTTTTCTGTGATGGATTTTTTTGAGATTAGAGTCTTGCAAATTATTTCCCCAGATTGGTTTTGAACCACAATTCTGATCTCTGCCTCCTGGGTAACTAGGAATGTAGGCATGAGTTACCGACACTTGGCTTAATCTTCATTTTTATGTGTGACAATTTTGCTCTTTGGGCTTTTCTGATATGGGGAATCTTGAATTATATATGGTGGGCTGGGGGCATAGCTCAAGTGGTAGAGCACTTGCCTAGCAAGTGTAAGGCCCTAAGTTCAAACTTCAGCACTGCCAAAAAAAGACACATAGGATCAACTACAAATAAAGGTAGGTGATGGTAGGCTAAGTGGATAGAGAGAATGGTGTACCCATCCCTCTTCTCATACATACACACAAATAACTGCTTTGTAGCTTATTTATAAATTAGAGGATATATTTAATTTGAAGGAGGAAACTTTTGAAACTCACCGAGTCTAGCTCTTTCAGAAATATTTTCTACTTTCATGGCACTTAAAGACAATAATTCTTTCTGGCAGAGTGGCTCAAGTGGTAGAGTGCCTGCCTAGCAAGCATGAGGCACTAAGTTCAAAACCCAGTACCACAACCACCACAAAAAAATAAAGTTGTGGCTTCTCTTAGCATATATGTGCTTGATATTCCTTGGTTGGATATATGTAGTGAAAAATTTTAATTTGGTTACTCAAATTGAGACAATAAAAATGTACATTCTTTAGGGGCCTGCCTTACTACACTTTTATCCCCTAAATGTTCCATTAATGGAACAAAGTAGCTCACTAAATCCTGGACGTGTTCATGAAGTACTGAGATGTAATTTTCCTTTTTTTGTTTTCTGAGATAGTGCCTCACTATATATTCTAGGCTGGCTTGAACTCACCATCCTACTGCTGGGATTACAAGTGTGCACTATTACCCCTGGACTTTCCTGTCCCAATTTAGGAAAAGTAAACAAAAAAATGTGAATGAAGCATTCATTTATTTTGGCTGGTCTACAGATAAATACTTTTTGACAGACTGACTTACATACAGTCAAGACAGAAAAGTAATGTGGTAGAAACTTTGATTTCTTTGGACTTCTGGAGGCCCAAACTGGTAGTGTGTGGGGTGGGGGAGGGTAGCTAGTAGATGACCAGTAGGGGCAGTATCAGTAACACAAAACCCTTCAGTTTTCTTGGGCATGCCAGCCCTGCCCCAGCACAGTGGCAGGGACAAGTCAGGCATGTAAAGGTCAGTGCTGGGTGAAAGCTATCCTTTCTTTTTGCTGCATATAACCTTTCCTTCCTTATGGCCGTTCATTAGCAGCTGTACAAAAAGGAAGTAAATGTGCTTAGCACCCAATACAGGAGGAAGTTTTCAACCAGGCTTCTTAGTAGCAAGATAAACCTGTTGCATTTTTTAAAAGCAGCTGATCCTGTGCTATGCTTTCCATAGCTGATCCTGAGTGGTAAGGGAGCTATCACTTTAAGGCAGAATGGCTCATAGAACCTTGGACCACATTATTGTATGTCTTTTGCCAGGATCAGTATTCAAATGTAGTACTGTTAACTTTAGCCCTGAGCCCTATTTCTCTGCCCATATGTGAGATAATCATAGTGTGAACACAGAAATAGAAGAGGGACTGAAATTTGGTCAGTGGCCCTCAAAATTTGAGTCTAGATTAGGCCTTAACCTGAAAAATGTGAGGACCAGGTTTACCACTCATCTCTTAAATTCTACTTATGTACCTAGCATTTGAACTTCTAAATCTCTGACAGGGCACAGGAGGGAGCTCCTTGCCAGTGTGACCACTAACAAGTGGGTAACTTCTCAAATATAGGGTAGCTTCCTATTTGAGCTGAAAAGGCTTCAGTTTCACACTTTCTACTCTGCTCACTCAAAAGAATGATGAAGCCAGCCAAGGGTGGTTAACACCTGTAATCCTAGCTACTCACAAGGCAGAGATCTGGAGAATTTAGGTTCAAAGTGAGTGGGGCAATTTACTTAATGAGACCCTATCAAAAATGCCCAACACAAAACAGGGTTGGAGGAGTGGCTCAAGCGGTAGAACATCTGCCTAGCAAATTCAAGCCCCAGTACCATAAAAAAAAAAAAAAGATGCAAATCAGATAAAACACTGAACAGTGGCCCTATGGGGGACAGCAAAATGAACAAAGGGATGAGTTCCTTTCTCACTCAAGGCTCAGCAGTGGTGGGGTTTCATCTGTTTCTAATCCTGGAGAGAAATCTAGCTCTGGAAGCTCAGTCTGTCTCTTAAGCATTTAACACAGTGTGTTCAATAAAACATTTTTATTCTGTACAATATATGTGTATTTAAATATATATACATGTACATATATATATATGTATATGCAGAGAAACCTCAAGCAACAAATCCCTGAGTCCACGGGAACCCAGGACACTAACGAAAGGAAAGGAAGGCGTCCATGCCTAAAGAGTAGGAAATATGGCAACATCTTTCCTTCACCTCCTGGTTCCCTGCCACAGAAGGAAGGGGGCGGTCACTACAAATTACTAAAAGTTTTATGTGGGAGCAGAACCGAGGGCCAGGTCCCAGCCACCAGCCTAACAAAGCAAAACACACTATTTGATCCAGCATGAAAGCCAAGAGAGGACTGCAGAAGAAAGGATGACACTGACTGACATGCACCTGGCCTTTGGTATGTCAAGCCTCAGCTTGACAGCCCCACGCCTGGGCCAGCACAACAAATAGCACCTGTGGGGCCCATGAAAGGAGCTGGGGAAATGGCCCTTGAGTGAGGAAGGGAGATAAAGCTGAGGAACAGGCCTGAGGTCTCAGCACATAGTGGGAGCACTGTGGTTCACTGTCCCCGTGCCATTTCTTCAGACCCTGGGGTAACAGATGGCCAGGAGCAACATCTTTTGTCCAATCAGGTAGAGACGGGCTTGAGAAGAGGTATAGAAAAAGGAGTGCTTTCCAGGGCCACCCCATTTTGTGACAGTTCCTCAAGTGCAGGGATCACACTGGTGAACTGTCCAGTCCTCATAGTGCGCCAAGGTGGCTGTAGTCGGCTCCCTCCAGCAGGTAGGCCACAGGGTTGCCAGGGTTGATGAGCCAGCCAGAGGGGCATACAGCTGCTGAGCACTGGTTTGAATTCTTCCTCAGGACTGCCCCTGCCTGGCCACACTAAATCTGACACCTGTCCAGAAAGTTGGCAGGAAGCAAGTGGCAGAGAGCACCCTTCTCCCTAGCCTTATAACACACACAGCTGCCAGCAGTGGGCAGCATGGCCGGAAGTCACCATATTATATTGTAGGGACAGCAACAGAGCTGTCCTGCTTGGAGGACTCAGAAGCCCATGTTGGCCTGGGCTTCTCCTGCTGTAATGGCTTGCACATCAGTGACATGGCCGATGCCCTTTGTGACACCCTCCCGGAACAGCAGTTTGGCGCCCACCTTCAGATACTCTGGGTGTTTCAGGAAGCGGAAACGTACCACTGCCTTCTCCCCTGTCCGCAGCTTGTCCTGCAGCAGACAAGTGGTCACTGCCCTGGCCAGTGCCTCCCATCCCATTCTCTGCCACCCTTGGCTCTCCACCCTCAGGGCCTTCAGGTGGACTGCTACCCACCCTAAATGGGCTTTTCTTCCCTTCGTGGGATCAGAGAACTGTCAAGACAGATTAGCCCTCCCTTCTTTCTGGAGGCAGAATTCTGATTTCCCTGGAGAAATGGAGGCATGGCTGGATCCCTCTCACCTTCGCATGAATCTTTTCCACCACTGCCGTCTGACGTACGTTGCCCACATGTACTGTCACCTGGAATCCTCGCCGGAAGGTGGTGGCATGGAACAGCAGGACTATCTCTGCCTCGAACACTGAGCAGATGGTGGGATTCATCTCGGGGCTCACCATCACCATGCCCTAGGGAGGCACAGCCCCAGGCCCAGGAAGGGCAGACCTAGCATTACACTTTCCCTCCCCAGCCACCCCACACCCTTTATTACGGTGCCTCAACATCCTTTTCCTCTACATGACTCCAAACATAAGAGGCCTTGGTAGATGATGCTCTAAACTCTTCTCTTAAAAGGTACCTTCCTTACCTGCCTCCCATCAAAGCTCTGTATTGTTAAGGTTCTGGACATGCAGCTTGCACCATAGTGATTCATACATAGCAGTCTGTGCTTTGTGACTACTCTAAGCCATTTTCATACCCAACAGTCCATGTAACCAGACCTATGTTTCTTGGGTAAGACACCATGTTTCCTTGAACTGCTCTGAAGCACCTTAAATAGGTGCTCTGTAGCCAGTCTCCCAGACACTCCTCTTTGCATTCCCTCTCCAACCCACTCACCCACCTCACCTTGCGAAGCAGTGCACGGTCAAAGTCCCCAAGGGCCAGTGTAGCAGCCTGACCAGCTCGCAGCACACGACAGGCAGAGCGATTGCGCTGGATGCTGCATACTCTCAGCTCCAGGAAGCAGCCATCATCCGTGGGGCCTACCACCAGCTGGTCCCCCTCACGGCAAATTCCACTGCAGCCCAGAGGGCAGGTGGCAAAACATCAGCCTAGGTCCCCCTAACCAACTTCTCTGCTAAGGTCACCCAGAGCACTCTTAACCTTCTAGGGTGGAGTCCCTCAAGTAGGAGAAAGAAATCCTAAACTGAGACTTGGAAGTAGGGAGATGACTGCCTTGTCCAGTCTAGTGTTGAGAAACACCAACAACACCAGGAAAGCTCAGCAGTGACAGATGGCAGAAGGCACCCGCTGGTTAGATAACACTTAACGCCTGATCCTCAAAGGAGCAAGTTTTACCCCCTGGGTTTCACCCTCTGCTTTGAAAGTGTCTTTTTCTCACTTCCCTACTTGAGCTGAGGTCAACTGAATATACTCTAGGTTTCTTCCTGGGGCCCAAAATCCATGCTGTGGTACTATTTCTTCCCTCAAAAGTCAATAGACTAGCTTCCTGCAGCTCTTCTGAAAGTGAAAACCTAATGTGCAAACAAGTGCATGCTGTAGATGGGCTCTTCTCAAGTCTAGGTTGTCCACTGGGCAGGGTGTCTTTGAGTACAAGGGTATGTGAGGGCTAAGTAGGGTGAGGAGGAAACAGGCAATTCACCTGGAAAGTGTCCCTCCAACAACAGTCCCCACCTCTGGTACTGTGTAGATTTCATCCACCTGGAACCAAAGAAAACTCTTATCAATGTCCGGTCAAACAAGGTTGGCAGGTCTCACATCTCTCAACAGACTTGGCTTGGTCAGAACTGGCTCATCTCCACCCCATCCCCCAGCCTTCTACATATTTGTCAGGCCAACTACCTGGAATTCCGTCAACTGCTGCATGAGTTCTTCCTGCTCTTTGCTGTTGGTGAGTGGTGGCAGGATATTCAGGAAGACTTTGAGGAGGTCCAGACTCTCCCCTGACACACTGGACAGTGTGAAGATAGGGGTGATGCTACAGAGAGGGGCATGGAATGGATAGATGAGGAAAATCTCAACAGGAGGCAGACAGAGGCCAGAGCCCCACACATGAAAAGGCGTATTTTTCTCTGGGCAGCAGAGGGACCCTTTCTTCTAGCTGTGAGCAAGCCAGGGAATGGGCACATGAAGTCCATCTCAAGACCCAATGGAGACAGCAAGTATCTCCAAAGTCCTAGGCATCAGCAAAACTCCAGGTTGGCTCAGGAGAAAGGCCAAGCCCTTCATGAAGATTCCACCCACAACAATCCCAAGCTGAAAAAGCCACAGAACTGAGCCAGATCGATCTGGCCCTGATGATGGGACACCATGCTCCTGGACCTTGTGGTATCCTTTCCTGTCAATCAGGGCTTTAGGGTTAGAGGCAGGCTCACTTGGGTGACTGGGCAAACTGCTGGGCAGCAGTGACAGCATCATCCTCAGAAGTGACCAGCATGGGGACCTTGTGGCAGCCAGGCTGCTTGAGGACCCGCTCCAGCTGGCGTACTGTCCTCTCCACTGTGGTCTTGGCACACAGGTCCACTTTACTGACCACGATGAAGAAGGGCACTTTCAGGGCTAGGGCCAGCCCCAGATGTTCCCTTGTGGTACCAGCTGCCTCGGAAAGGAGGCAGGCAGCAGGAGAGAAGAGAATGTGGAAGGGAGGAAAGGAAGAAGAGGCGAGTTGGTGTGGCTCCCAGCTTTGAGGCAGCCCAGAGTAGAACAGTCAGCACCTCCCTTCAGCCCTGCCCCTGCCCAGTGCCTCGTACCGATCCCAGTGTTGGCACTGACGAGGAGCAGGGCGCAGTCAGGGCAATAGGAGGTGAGGCCAAAGATGGTGGTATGCAGGTACTTGTGGTGGCCCGCCAGGTCGATGAAGGTGATCATCTTAGAGCTGCTCTCACAGATCTCTTCTGCTGTCCGTGAGTCACTGTAATTCACCACCTGGCCCAGGGCCCAGGATTCTTTCAGTGCACCCTGCGAGCCTCCCCAACCCTTTAGGAGTCCCTGGTGGCCCTGCCTCATAACCCTGAGCCCCATTTTCTACTTAGTTCAGTTGATTTCCACTTGTTTGCTAAGAGGGAGAGAGCGTGTTCACACTGCCCTCAGAGCCCTTATCTACACTACTCCAAAAATGCCCCACACTCTGCCCCTGCCTCTGTCCTTCACCTCTACCATCCCATCCTTTGAGTCTGGCCCCAGTGGATCCCATTGATCCCATGCACCTCTCCCTTGCTGTTAAAGCCCAGGATCTCGAAGCTGATGCTGGAGGTTCGGCCAGACTGAATCTCATGCAGGTGGCGGAAAAGGTTGAGCCGGGCCCGGCCCCGCCCATTGTCCAGCTCTCCTTGGGTGAGGACCCCAAGCAGGGTTGACTTTCCCGAGTCCACATTCCCCAAGACAGCCACACGGAGGTCTAGGAACTGTGAACAAATTGCCAGAGTAAGGGCTCCAATCCCTTACCTCTCTCATTGAAGGTTAAGGGTGGTGATGTTCCCTGGTGAGTAAGAGATGATGTGGATACCTCCAGTCTCCCGGGCCAGTGAAAAGTCTGACACTATGGGGCCTTCCCAGGCAGTGTGAGCATGGGGGTAAGGAAGGACATGTGCTTACCTGTTGGTTGTCAGGGACCTTTCGTACCAGCACCTCAGTAATCTTTCGGGGCACATCACTATCATAATCTACTTCTCGCTCCCGGAGAACAGTGATGTCTGCTCCAACCCTGTCACAGTAAGGCCACAGCTGCAATATTTCATATGTACTATCTCTATTCCAGCCTTGTTCTGGACCAATGACCTCTGTGCACTGCCCACAAAACTCCCAACACCTTACTGTACTGTCCACCTTCCCCAAATCTATCCCCCATCTACAACTCCTCAAAAACAACAAGCAGCAAGCACACCTTAAAAAGCAAAAAAGCCTATACCCAGTGAGGAGAACAGAACCAACCCACCCCACTTCAGCCCTCTGTGAAGAGACCACAGCAAGCTGGGCGCTGACAGCTCACACCTATAATCCTAGCTAGTTGGGAGGCTGAAAATGGGAGGATCACAGTTTGAGGCCAACATGGGCAAATAGTTTGTGAGACCCTATCTCTAAAATAACCAGAACAAAATGGTCTTTAGGTATGGCTAAGCAGCAGAAGCAGAGCACCTGCTTTCCAAACCCTGAGTTCAAACCCCAGTGCTGCCCGGCCCCCCCCCCAAAAAAAGACCATAACAGAAGGGAAGCCCCTTCCCCATCCTTGGCCCCTAGGACTCTGGGTGACAACTCTGTCACCCAGGGTGGTCCTCCACATAGCTAGGGAAGTAACAGAGGGGAAAACATACTTCTCTGCCATTCGGTGCAGGGTCTTGAGGGAGGCCCGCATCTCCTCCTCAGCCAATCCCACCAGCAGCCCATTGTCCTCTACCCCAATCTGGTAGACAGCCTCACCACGTCCCTCTTGGAGCCGCCACTTCATTTGTGTCACCAAGTGCTCAAAACGGTACTGGGATGGATTCACCAGCTTCAGCTTAGGGCAGGTGGGGTATTGTGAGAAGGAGAGATTAGAGATGCTCTCCCAAACACACATGGTCCCCACCTGTCCTGCTCCAAGGACCAAGACCCTCCCTTTCTACTTAAACCCCTTGTCCCCTAATGGTGAATCACCTTCCAACAGAATGAGGTTCAAAGCCCTTACCAGGAACCACATCCCTAAATTGCCATAGATCATGAAGTTGGAAGGACCTCAGAGAAATCACCCCATGCCAGCAAGGGCAACCTTTCCCATCCCCTGCTTCTCCCCAGCCTAAGACTCACTTTATATTCAATGTTTCCATCTTCAGCCTGAAAAGAAACAGGAAACAGTCACCACCCACTGTCCAGACCCAATCCCTACTTCCCCTCAATTCCCACTAGGCCCAGGCAGAAAGCAGGAAGTCCCAGAGGCATCTGCTTAGGCAAATGCTTGCCAAGGGTCAGTGGCAGACAAGCTCTCTACTCAGATCCAAGGTGGCTTTTCTGAAGGAAAATCTTAGAGACACAGTGAATCACCCATTTCAGCCAGAAACAGAACCCTAAGTTCATCTTTCTTCATTCACTGGCAGTATGTTCACCAGTGAATCAAGATCACCCCTTCTTTCTCCCCAGGGCCCAAAACTGCTGTTCCCACATGTTGCCTCTGTGCCCAGACTGTTGAGGCCTTTCTTTGCCACTGATCTGGGAGACACCATTTCCTTTCTGCCCGCCCCTCTCAGCTGATGCCATCAAGTGCAAGAGGCTACAAGTGGACCTGGACCAGGGCCAAAAAGTGAGCTCAGCACTGGTCACTACAAGCTCGATGACAGAGGAGCCTCAGGTGAGAGAGAAGCAGAGCTCCAAAGCTGGGGCTGAGATGAACAAAAAGAAACTCAAAAAGTAATGATGGGGATTGATTCCATAAACCAGACCCAATGTGGCTTTTACCTCCTGTTCTCTAATCCTCACACCTCAATTGAAGTGAAATCCTGAATCCACCCCACAATCTCTTCTCCCTCCTCCAGGTGGTAGCACAGTACAACAGCATCCTTCCCCTAAGCCCTCCCCTCTTGGGAGCAAAAGGTTTTGGCATTTTGCCTGTACTGCCAAAGTGCATTTCTGCACTCCTCTCCTGCTGTAAGGACAGGATCTTCCCTTTCCACTTAACCCCTTTTCACTGGTCCTTCTAACAGTGAGTCCACCTTCTCCCTGGTCATCATTCCATCCTGGAAGGCCCCAACAGGTGGTCTTCAACCATAATTTCGATCCCACAAAGTGTATAGGAGCTCTTTTTCCATCAACAAAGACCTTCCAAAAACTTTTTTTTTTTTTTTATCATTTTGTTGGAAATGGAGAATTAAGACGGTTGGCTTCAGATATGTGGTACAAGTATGACAGTCTAGGCCAATGGTTCTCAAAGGAGCATTAGCATCACATGGGAAGTTGTAAGAAATACAATTTTTCAGGCCCAATCCCTCTCTTAGGAATTGGGATCAGCAATCCTCGTGACCATGGGACGCGCTAAAGTTTGATAACCACTGGTTTAGGCTCTTCTCCCTGGGCTCCCCTGAGGGAGGAACAAAGTGGAAGTCAGTCTCTGCCTTAAGGACAGATGGAGCAGGTATATGAGGCTCTTCTCTGTCCCCACCCCCTCACAGGACAGGCAAAGGGCAGAGGACTAAGTCTGTTCTCTGGTTTTCTGTGTGTGGGTACTGCGGGATAGGGAAGAGACATATTGCTCTTTTCCTGGGTACTCCCTTCCTCCCTGAACAAGTTCAGAAGAAGCAGTGGTTACTCGCTTGCCTCCTCATCCCAAGATGTAGCCTAGTCTCAGCGTAACAGAGGGTCGGGCGTTCTCTGCTCTTCCCAAGGAGATGGAATCCCCCGTCCCTACTTCTCCTAGGGTTACCCAAGTAAGAGGGGCTCCCTCTCTGAGGTCCTTACACCGAAGGGGACGTCCACTTTCTCATCCTCCAGTCCCGGGACAGAACAAGGTGTTCTCGTCCCGCAACCCTCCTCCTTGGGGTCTCGACACCGGAAGGGGGGATTAATTTTCTGTCCCGCCTCCCTGGAGTCCTGGGACCGGAAGGAGTGGTTTCCTCTCGCCCCACCACTTTTTAGGTGCTCACCTCGGGGGGCAAATACGGGGGGTTGTTGGCTTTGCCCCCTCTGTTCCTTCCGTTCTTCTTCTTCCCCTTCGGGCCCCCACAGCCGCTGCTGCCGCCGCCGGCCCCCTTAGCTTTGAGGGTTCCGCCCATGGCCGGGCCCCCTCCGGGCCGACAGCAGCCACCGAACAGCTCCGATACCCGCGAGTCCATCCGCCGCTGCCACCAGCCCCCAGCCCGGCCCCTCCCCCCCGCCACCGCCGCCGCCGCCGCCGCCCCTCTGCTACTGCCGCGTCGAGCCAGCCAGAGGAGAGCGGGGTGGGGCCCTGTGAAGGCCACGCCCCCACCTCCTGGCCTCCGGGTCGCGTCAGAAACGGCCGCGGGGCACGACGGGATATCGAGTCCTCGGGACTGGAATTTAGTTTAAAAGAGCGCGGCCCTCCGCCTATAGCTCCCAAGAGGCACCGCGGCGAGAGGGCCTCAGGTGGTTTGGGGCGGGGACAAGGAGCGCGCCTTACGCGCAAAGGCCGAAGGGAGCTGTAGTCTGGCATTTGGCGCAGGTCTTTTTCTAGGGCCTGAAGCGCGGGGCAGTTGAGAGCCTTGCGCCCAAGAATGGGGGCAGTCACCGGTGGCGTAAGGGCATACATCAGAATCGAGCTTTGTGTGCGCCTTAGCGCGGGTCTCAGACAACAGATTTTGACCCTGAAGAGCTGCAAAATTCAGGGCGACTGGAGCTCCAGCCTGCAGGCTTCTTCTCTGCCTCAGTTTCCTCCCCGATGGCTGGCGTGCTGTCGGGGTGAGTCAGGACGAACGCCAGGGCGGAGGCAGATGTGGTTAGTCTAATTACAGCTGTTATTGGGACGATGATTATGCCATCTTTACACCGTAGTCGCTGCTTTATTACTAGGCTGGCACCGTCCGAGGGCTGGTTTTAGCAGCCCCAGGCACCCCGGTGGCTCGGACACGAGGCTGGAGCCCGTAAACCTGCCTGCAGCCTAAGGGCTGCGCGGATACCGGGGCGAGTATTCCAACCCCGCCTCCCCTCCCCCGCTTTGTTTTGAAACCGAACCAATAAGGGAGAACCAAGTTTGGTTTAAAAGAGCCAGGGCTGTACGAAGGGCCTGTCCCCTACTTGGGGCGGGGCGCGGGCTCCGGTTACATCAACCACCGCGAGGGAGGGGGAAGTGGCCTGGAATAGAAACTTGGCCATGGGCCCCAGAGGACTTTTGACATTCTGGCCCAGAATGTCAACTTTTGACTTGTTGACTTTTGACATTCTGGCCCAGAGCCCTGTTCTTTAGGACTCTAGCAGTCAGCAGAGAGTAAACATATTTAGCGACGTAAACCAGTGTACAAGACACCAGAAAGGCAAGGTGGAGAAGCAATTATAATTGCTGAGCAGGGAGTCAGGATGCCAGGGTTCAATTCCCAGCCTCTTGGGTGAATGTCATGATTCACCACTCCTTCTCTTCACAAACAGTGAGGTGTTCTTACACATCCAAGAAATAAAAACAGCTTCTGCCTCCAGACTTCAGTTTTCCTTGAAAAACTAGAAGCAGCAACAGCGACTTACCTCTGGTGCCCCATGAAGGGGTTCAGACCTAGTAGAGTCCATGTCTTCCTCCTGGGTTCACATGGAGGGGAGCAGATGGTACAGTTGCTGTCCACATCGCATAACTCCCCACAGCAGCAAGTGCAGAAGAACCAAAATCTGAAAGAGGGCCTAGCAGGTCAGCCAATTATGTGGGTCTTCAGTGGTCAAAGGCACTTAAGACTTTTTGCAGTCCTGTGGTTGAGGGAAAGGTTTTGCTGCAGAGGACAACCAAGCCAGGGGCACAGGCCCACCAGGGAAACTGCTATTGCAGACTGACACTAGAGAGTGTGGTGAGCGATCTTGAAAAGGTTGGGGATTGGAAGAGAAAGATAAAACCACCATAGTACTATAGTACTGTAGCCTGCTCTGGACCCTCTTGATAACCAGGCTCTGCTGCACTTGACTGATACACAGCCGTCTTTTCATCTACATGGATCTTTCAGCAGCCAAGCCAAACACAATTTCACCTCACCCATCCTAATCCCCTGGTCCTGAGTGCAGAACTATTAAGAGACAGCAGGGGATAGCCCATTCTGATAGCCCATTCTTGAACAACCTGGCCTACCTCAAACAGAAGTGAAAGCTGGCAGCAGGAGTAATCTGAACAGGGATGTCTGTCCAGGTGGAGATCAGGGTTCTGGGTGCATGGAAGGTGCTGTATGTGATTAGTTTCCTGGAGGACTTGCTTATGAGGTGGTTGGCTATGGATATATATAGAATACACACATGTCACATGCAGACATTTTTCCTGGTTTGTAATTAGTCATTTATTTTTGTGTATAGTACCTTTGCATATGTCTTAAACTCAAACTTAGCAATCTTTCCCTTTATGCTTGGTTTTGTGTCACCCCTAAGTCAAACTGACTCCTACATTATAAATTAAGTTGTTCCCCAATATTTCTTCTAAGAGTTTTGGGTTTTTTTTTTTTTTTTCCTGAGGATCGACCATGTAAGCATATACTCTACCACTGAGTTATATCCCTAGCCTCTCTTCTAGGGATTTTGTTTTGGTTTTTGGTGGTATTAGGGTTTGAACTCAGGACCTCACACTTGCTAGGTAGGCGCTCAACCACTTGAACCACTCTGGCAGCCCTTTTTTTGTACTGGGTATGTTCGAGATAGGGTCTTTTGAGTTATTTCGCAGGGCTGGCTTCAAACCTTGATCCTCCTGATCTCTGCCTTGTGAGTAGCTAGGATTACAGGTGTGAGCCATCAGTGCCCAGCTCTTCTAAGAGTTTTGAGGTTTATATTCATGTGTGAATCTTTTTTTTTTAGCGGGCAGGGGTGGGTTGGGGGCATACAGAGGATTGAGCTCAGGGCTTTGCACTCGCTTGGCAGGGGTTCTACTGCTTGAGCCATGCCTCCAGCCTTATGTTTAGGTCTGAATTTATTTATTTATTTACTTACTTTTTTGTGGTACTGGTTTTTGAACTCAGGGTCTTATGCTTGCTAGACAGGTGTTCTACCATTTGAGCCACTCTGCCAGCCCAATCTTTAATCCATTCGGTAGTTGTCTTTTTGTATGGTGGGGTAGAAACTATTTTAATTTTTTTCTCCTAAATGGACAGAGTTGTCTCTGTTATTTACTTTGAATGTTATCATCAATGTTGCCATCATTATATACTAAGATCTACGTCTATATGGATCTTTTTGGCAGTACTTGGGCTTGAACTCAGGGCCTCATGCTTGCTAGTCAGGTGATCTTCCCACTGTGGGAAGCCTGGATCTGTTTCTGGGCCCTCTTTTTTTAAAATCTGTTTGTTTCTGAGCCAATACTACAGTATTTTTCATTTTATTTATTTAATTTTGCAGTGCTGAGGATGGAACCAGCACCTCATTTATCTTAGGCACATGCTTTGCTGACTACACCCTTATTCCAACACCACAGAATTTTAAACACTGTATTGTTATAGTATGTTTTGACCTCTGGTTTCTACTTCCTGAAACACATACCATGATTGACCTCCATGATCTGACACTTGTATATTTGTGTTCACACTTCTCTGGGTACTCCTTAGTATCTTCCCCAGGTTCTTTTCTCTCTTCCCCCATCCCATAAACACTAGTGTCTTCAGGATCCTAGCCCATTCTCATTCTATACACCCTTCCTGCATGATCTTATCCACTCCCATACTGGGGACTGTCAAATACCTATCCCTATTCCAAATGGTGCTCCTAAATATATCTATTCATTGTCCAATGGAGACATCAAACTCAATCCCCCAAAGCCTACTGCTCTTCTACTATCCCCTCCTTCATTGTCTGGCACATCTGGCCATATGGTTACCAAAGTAAGAAACCTGCTTTCCCCCACCCCCCAGCAGTGCTGAGGTTTGAACCACCTTGAGCCACTCCATCAGCCCGTTTTTGTGATGGTTTTTTTTTTTTTTCAAGATAGGGTCTTGCTAACTGTTTGCCCAAGCTGGGCAAACCACGATCCTCCTGATCTCTGCCTCCTGAGTAGCTAGGATTACAGGCATGAGACACCAGCACGCAGCAAACCTGCTTATCTTCCTGGCAGTCTTCTTCTATCTCTCCTCCTCCCTGGATCAAACACTAAATTATACTCACTGAACTCATTTTTAAACATCTCTTGGGTTTACCCAATTCTCTCCACCCTCTGAGACTACCCTAGGTCTGGTCCTCTTTTTATCATGGACTGTGTAACTGTAGTCACTACTTCTAACTGGTATTCCTACCCCCCTTATCTTCCCTGTAATCCAATTTTATGGATCGGATTAATTTTGGATTATTATTGGATTAATTTTATGAAATGTAAATTTATCAGCCACTAAGAAGAATGAAAGTATGTCCTTTGCTGGAAAGTGGATTATCACGATAATAGGCCAGTCCCACAAAGACAAGTATTACTTATTTACTCTCATTTATGGAAGATTGCGGGGGCGGGGGGGGGAAGTTCATGAAAGTAAAAGGGGACTACCAGGGAGGTGAGAGAGAAAGGGAAAAGGGGGAAGAAAGTGGGGGAATGAGAAAGAGTAACAAAGAAGGTGAACACGATTAAAGTTCTTTATATGCGTGTACAGAAGTGTCATGATGAAACCCCTGTGTACAACTTAACGTATGCCAATTTAAAAAAAGTTTTCAAACTCAAAAAAATTTAATCATGTCACTCTACTTTAAAAAGGCTTTCCCATCCTCCTACAGGATCAATTTCAAACTTTAACATGGATTTATAATCCTGCCGTGTCCTGGTTCCCCTTTATCATGTTATTTCATTTCTTGAACAGAGCGTGCTCTTGTCTCTCACGGTCTCCAGGATCACTAACTAGGTCCTCTTTGTCTTGCTAACTTACTCGTCCTCCAGGTCACACAGCTTCTGCTTGTATTCTAGGACCACCCTTCCCCGTCCCAACACCCTCTGGGTCTTGGCCCTCTGTCTTCATGGCCACAGCCCCTGTACACCTCTACTGTACACTTCATCACATTGTATTGTCTAGGCAGTGAACCCCCCCCTTTTTTTTTTCCCCTTCCTCCTCCAGCTTTATTGGAATAGTTTAAAATTACATTTTCTATTTTCTAGGACTTCAGTTGCTTTTTCCATCTGACTTTTAAAAACTGATTAAAGCAAATGAAACACAGTTGTCTAAGTGATATAGTATACAAAAATAACATCTTGATTTCTGTGAAAATGCATTTCTCTGCGATTCCTGAATAGCTCCAAATTATGCTAACTCTGAGCATTGATGTTTACTCTGGGTTTTAGATTTAGTCTTTGAAAATATGTATTCTAAACCTTTACCATCACCATCTGTATGTCCAGCATCAACGCTGCAATGAAGCTGCTCCTGTTTAGGCTTTCATCCCGATTTCTCTCGCACAGCCATTAACACGTATATGTGTCTTTCATTTTGTTTACTCCCACTCAACTGTATGTTTATGAGGGCCTGATACAGATGTTACTTGATGTTATTTAATAGCTACTGAGGTCAGACAATCCAAGGCCATCATTATGCTAAAATTAAAGTTATTTATGGAAGTTCATAGACACTTCCAGAATTGGTTTTACCTCCTACATGGGAACATATTCAAGAAACCCAAAACGGGCTTAATGGTCTGACTCAACTCTTCCCATTCATCAATCCCTATTCACCAGTGGCGCGGAAAGGGGGTTCTTTAACAAAGCATTATACGTAACACCTCTACCAAACTAAACATAAACTTTTTTTTTGTAGTTAAATGCAGAAAGTCGGTTTTTTTCCACCCCTTTCCTCCTTTTACACGGCAAGTAAAGCTCACTGGCCTGGGAGTAGCCTCTATCTGCCAACCTTTGGCCAGTGAAGAGGATTCAGAGAAAATAATACAACCATCAATCAGAAAAAGGAGGGGCGACAAAGGAAAATAACTAGGCTGTAGCCTCAATCGTGCATTCCCGTGCAAGATGCCCTGACTCGCCACAGCGGTAACAGCTGACTTCACTTGTCACCTCTACTGTACACTTCATCACATTGTATTGTCTAGGCAGTGAACCCCTTGAGGACCGGGCCCAGCAGAGTCTCCAGCACCGAGGACAGGGCCTGGCACGAAATGGGTGCACGGTGAATAGCGAACCCGAAAGTGAACGGATGCGTGAGCGCCGTGTCCTCGCGAAGGCTGCGCCCAGCGGCTGGGCGCGCCCGGGTTCCCTGAGGGGGAAGGGAAGGTATACAGTGCCAGGCCGATAAGGAGGGAGCGCAGGACTCAACTATCACCCAGCCCAGCCTTCACCACCCTGCTGCGCCGCCGCGCCCACTTCCGGCCCTGGCCGGAAGTGGAGGCGCGGGCTTCCCATGATGCCCCATGGGGCGCCTATTCTAACCGCAGTGAGTGGAGGGAGGCCGTCGTCATGGCCGCGTTGGAGCCGGAAGTGCCGTCTCCGGTCGCAGTCCCGGGTAACGTGTGGGGTTCAGAGCTTGGGAAGTCTTGGGGACCTGTTTTTTCCCTACTGCTACCCTCCTTCAGCTATTTAGCCACTGGTCGTTTCTCCGATCTTCTTCCCTGTCCTCCAGGTCCCAGTGTCCGGCTCTGGCTCTGCCGGTGACTCCCTCACCCTGGGTGGAGTTGGTTCGTCTGAATCCCACTTGACTATATTTTCCACTCATTTCTCCCGGTTACGGCCCGCTGCTTTCCAGGCGGAGCACTGCTCCCTCCGAAATCCCTCTTTTGTCCTGCTGTCACTTAAATCCCTTTAGACAGGGACAGGAACCTCCCCGCCGCCGCCCACGCTGGAGGCTGCAGAGGCTCTGCGAGTATTGGCAACCCCCTTCGTAGTGGTGGCTAATAGGATGGCATGGGCTTTGAGAAGACTGGCTTTTGACATTGACCTGTTAAGTTTTTCATTTTGCTCACTTCACCCTGTTCACGCACTAGATTTGGAGTGGTATGAGAAGTCGGAAAAAAACCATGCTCCCCAGGTAGATCTGCTGGAAACCACCTCTGCCCAGGAAACTTCCAACCCTTCGGAGCCCTTTTGCCCAAGAGACCGCTTGGTGCCAGTGGTGTTTCCTGGACCTGTGAGCCAGGAAGGCTGCTGTCAGTTTACTTGTGAACTTCTAAAGCATATCATGTACCAACGCCAGCAACTCCCGCTGCCCTATGAACAGCTTAAGCACTTCTACCGGAAACCTTCTCCCCAGGTAAGCACAGGCTTTAAGGGAAAATGGGTAGGAAGACTTAGGTGGAGGCAGGTACAAAGATGTCTGAGAAACCTTCAGGGCCTGTGTCAGCCTCTGCAGTTGCAAAAGCTTTCTCCCTCCTTCAGTCTTTAGTAGTCTCTCCCAACTTTTTCTCCTCTCTTTCTGAAACTCCTATTATGTGTTGAATTAGGACTTCATGAACGCTTTAGTGTTACTTTATTTTGTAATTCTGGGGATCCAACCCAGGGTCTCATGTGTGCAAAGCATTACCACTGCTGAGTTCCCTCCCGAGACCTTGAACTGGGTCTTTCTCTCCAAATTTTCACCTGTTGTTGTTGCTTTGTTTGTTAATCTTTCTGAGGGTACTTCTTTGACTTTATATTTTAACACTTATATTTCCTTTTTCTCTTTTGGCTATCTTTTTTGGGGGAGGCAGTATTGGGGTTTGAACTCAGGGCCTTGCCCTTGCTAGGTAGACACTGTACCACTTGAGCCACTCTGCTGGCCCTTTTTGCGCTGGTTATTGTTGAGATAGGGTCTTGCTTTATACTCAAGTGGCCTGGACGTAGGATCCTATTTGTGCTTCCTAGCATAGCTAGGATGACAGGACATCACACCTACCTATTGATTGAGATGGAGGTCTTGTGAATTTTTTGTCTGGGCTGGCCTCAAACTGTGACTCTCCTGATCTCTGCCTCCTGAGTAGCCACCATTCCTGACATTTTTTTTTTTTTTTTTTTTTGAAACATGGTCTTGCTGTGTTTCCCAGGCTGGTCTTAAGCTCAGCCTCTTGAGTGCTGAGATTACAGCAGGAGCTCAAAATGTGCTCCTTTTAAACAACATTCTGTTGTTTCATGACTATGGAATTATTTTACCTGAGGATATTTATTGTGTTTTTGAAGTTTTTTTCTCTGTTCTTTTCAGTGTTTTTGTTTCTTCCAGAATCCTTTTCAAATTTGTTTCTTCTGATACCTGTTTTTCATGTTGTAGGCTTTTATTTTGTGCCTGCTGAATATTTCAGAATAAATAATTCCAAGCTGTGTGCATGCATGGCCTTTTGAGCTGCTAAACTTCATTATAAAGAGATTGGGTGGAAACCTGATGGTCTCTTTAGGGAACTCACCAAACATAGTATTGAAAATTCTCTGGAGGGGGCAAGAAATTAGCAAGAGATGTAAGCATCCTCACACAAACTTTTATTTAGCTCCTCTGTGTTCACTCTTGCCTTCTGTGGTACCTGTATTGCTAGTTCTTGACCTTTCTGGGGTTCTGCAGTGTGGATTTGCTTCTTGTGGGGGTCCCTTTGCTAGCAATTGGTATTCAGCCCTCTTGAACTTGTAACTACTCCATTTACTTACTTTCTATTTTCTGAAACTGTCACTGCCTTTTGGCTCGTGTTGTCTGTTCTCCAGTTCTCTACTCTCTCTTCACACCTGTACACTCCCTGTACAACAGTTATTTGCCACCTTCAGCCATGCCACCAAATCTCCTTCACTATTTTCATTGCTTATATCTTGAATGCCCTCACCTTTAGAATAGTGTGTTTACTGTTCTAAGTAGAAAAGAATTAGGGTTTTATAGAAAGAATATATTTTCCTTTTTAATATAATGCCCTCTGATAAAGCTCAATGTCTTGGTTTTGGAACTTCATTGAGCCAGTAATCCAATCCTGAAAGCATCTGTATATCCCAAGAAGTTTCTTCAAAGGTCATTAACTTCACCCTACCTTGTTCTTCTCTTCCACCATTCTTTGTCCTTACAGGCAGAGGACATAGTGAAGAAGAAACCTTTGTCCACAACTGAGGCAAGCAGCAGGAAATGCCAACAAGCCCTGGCGGAATTGGAAAGTGTCCTCAGTCACCTACAGGACCTCTTTGCCCGGACACTAGTACCACGAGTGTTGATCCTCCTTGGCGGCAGTGCTCTTAGCCCCAAGGAGTTTTACGAACTTGACTTGTCCAGGCTGGCCCCCTTTGATGTGGACCAGAGCCTGAACACAGCTGCTTGTTTACGTCGTCTCTTCCGAGCCATTTTCATGGCTGATGCCTTTAGTGAGCTGCAGGTTCCTCCCCTCATGGGCACCATTGTCATGGCACAGGGGCACCGTGACTGTGGGGAAGATTGGTTTCGACCCAAGCTCAACTACCGAGTACCCAGCCGGGGCCACAAACTCACTGTGACCCTGTCTTGTGGCAGACCTTCCATCCCAACCATGGATTCGGAGGATTATATTTGGTTCCAGGCACCAGTGACTCTTAAAGGCTTCCACGAGTGAAGGAGGATGCTTCTTAATCCATGAAAGCACAATGGCTCAATTATCTCTCCGTGACACATCACCCATATCTTGCTTGGAACTGGAGTTGCGTGGAGGAACTGGAGTTCCTGATGAGGGAGAGGGAGACTCTGTCCTTCTGGCTGTCTGCCTCTCCTCCTCAGACTTCCTGGTGGGTTGGTGATAGGTGACTGTGACTAATAATCATTGTTGATTAATGTCTCTGAATCAAAGATTGACTTTCCCAGAGGCTGCTGGCTGTCCTGTTTAAGGGTAGAAAGGAAAGATGGGTCCATAGACTCCTATGGAGGTGGGCCTTCTCTGCTTTGCTCTATCCTTCCAGAATTGGTAGCAGAGCTATGATGTGGGTATGACTCATGAATTTAAATATAAAATGAACATATAAAATTTTCCTGCAGCTTGACAGAGATACTTTTCAGCCTTGAGGCTAGGGTATTTTGAGTATTTTGTTTTTCTCCTGGGCCTCTTTTTTTTTATTGGCAGTACTGTGATTTGAACTCAGGGCCTCAGCTTGCTACACATGTGCTCTGAGTTTGAGTCAGGCCAGTCTAGTAAGTTACATGGCCAAGGTTCTATAAGTAGCTTGATAATAGAGTTGGGACTAGAGTTCTCATCAGTTAACTTGTAGCCCAACATTCCTTGCTACATACAGATCTTTGTGACCCTTAAATTCTGTGTGCCGAAAGCAAAGGTCACTTTTTTTTTTTTTTTGGCGGCATGGGGTTTGAACTCAGGGCATTATGCTTGCTAGATAGGTGCTCTTAGTGCTTGAGCCACTCCACTAGCCCTTTTTTGTGATGGGTTATTTTGAGATAGGTGTCACAAACTATTTTCCTGGGGCTGGCTTTGAACTGTGGTCCTCCTCATCTCTGCCTCCTGAGTAGCTAGGATTACAGGCGTGAGCCACCAGTGCCTGGCTTCAAAGGTCACCCTTGATCTGGGCAAAATCCTGTTAAGGAACTTAGTTACAGGCTACTCAATGAGAGCCCAGGGATGTAGGGAACAGTCAGACCTTGTGCTCAGTGTCTAGTAAACTGAGTAGATGTGCTGAAAGAATGGTAAGGGGAGGAGCTCCTCCCAAGACTTTTCATCCTCAGAGAACAGTAGCCATAGCTCTGTTCTTCACCAAAGGGTTGCCTATAGTCTGAGTGTCGCTGGTAGTTAGTCAGGACAGAATGAAGTTTCAGTGTGTCAGTCTTCATTAAGTCAGCCATCACATACATGCCATATGACCTGCTTTAGGAGCTGAGGCTGTAGTGAAGCTCTGCAACTGTTCTGGACTCTGAGTAGTTCTAGTAAACCTGCCTTTCAGCTTTAAGAAGCAAATGTCAGGAGTAGGAGGCTGAGAGACTAGGCTGAGAAAAGAAAACTGAGACATTCTTTACAAAGCCTGATTGAACTGTAGGCTGAGGCCCCCAGGGTTGCCTTGGAATCCTGTGGGATTGGCTCCGAGGCCATGTGTTCCTTCTGGAGTTCAGCCCAGCCTGTCTCCACTGCAGCTGTTTGATGGCTGCTGGCAGTTGCTGTTGGCAAAACCCTGCCTTCCTGCCCATGGTAATCCCTCTTCAGCAACATCGGATTTGGCCATTGCCATCCTTGCTGTTGGATCCTCTCTGGCTTGACACTGTCCTAACCATCAAAGTTGGCGTTCTTTGCTGCTGGGGAAGGAGAGCCCATGCACATTTCCTGGAAGCAGGTTGAAGACAGAATCCTTACCCTACTGGTGTTGGAGTGTGTGTGTGTGTGTGAGAGTGTGTGTGTGTGTGTGTGTGTGAGAGTGTGTGTGTGTGTGTGTGTGTGTGTGTGTGTGTGTGTGTGTGTGTAGATGGGGACAACAGTATATACATTGCAAGGTTGTTAGGTTACATAATGTATACAGAGTGCTTGAAACATAGTATATGATGTATATACTGTGGGCTTTTTTCTATTTTTTTTTCCTTAGAGTTTTATTTAGCTCAGTTTTGGAGACTGAAAGTCCAACCTTGTGCAGGCTCAGACTGGCAAGGTGCCCCTTCTTGGCTGTCAGTGGCAATTTGGTGATTACCAAGACTATATGAAGATTATTTCACCTATTCCTTCCCACTACCACCACCACCCCCATTTTAAATCCTGGTGGTTTTTATTTGCTTGTTTGTTTGTTTGTTTGTTTCTTACATATTTGAATTTAACCTCCAGGACTCATGGAATTTCATTCTGCATTCTTCAGTATGCTCCTCTGCAATGCACAAGGGAGGCTTCCATCTCCACAACCCATGCCTGTAACACCAGGCTGGACTCCACCATGCCTGAGACACAGCTCCATGTGCCTATACTCGGTGTTGTAAGCATTCTCATGTATCATCTAATCCTAGCAACCTTGCAGTATATATATCAGTGCCCCATTTTATCCATGAGGCTTGGGGAGACTGAGTAGCTTGCTGAAGTGCTAAAACAGATTTGAACCTGATGTGCCTGGCTGCAGAGACAGGCGGAGGGCCTCCGCTGCACTTCTGTGTAGCTTTCTTCCGGAACTGGCCAGGATTTGCCTTGCCCAGTGTGTTAGCATTATGAAGCTGCAATACTCCCCTCTCGCCTTATAGTTCCTGACATGGAAATCCAGGATCAGTGAAAAGCAAATGTTTGGGCTCTTTTCTGTGCTGTGATCACTTGAAGCAAATTCTGCCATTAGCATGTCAGCTTATAGAAAAGAAATTGGGACATATCCTCACCAGAGAAGAGGTCTGACTAATGGAGTGGGGGAACTTGTGAATAAGGGGGCTGTAAGTTGTTTTCAGATGAAAGATTTATTAAGCCAAGTCAGCTCCCTCAAATGCTTATTTTAAAAGCCTTCATAAACAATGCCTAGACAATCAAAACAAAGTAATTATCTGGGTAATTTAGACACTTCTCTATGGGCTTGGCATTGGGGCCCAGCACATTCTGATTTCATGAGTGTTCTCCAAAGGAATCCAGAAATGACGACCATTAATACTAACAAAGCCCATCTTCCCCAGCAACAAGCTTGCTGAGAAACCTGTTTATGCTTGTCTTTGCCTGGGGACTCCAGAGATGGATGTGGATCAGTAGTTTTTAGCCCAGGGAGTGCAGAGCCCCTGCTGCAGTGGGGTGCTGGCCTTTTCATCTGTTGCTACCATTTGAGTCTAAAAGCAACAGTTGTGGGTCGAAAGGTACCTAAGTGTAGTCAGTAATTGTCAACCCTCTCCATATCATCTTTTACCAAGTGGCCTATACCTAGCCCCATTACTTAATCTTCATTTGCCACATGTGGAATAGTCCTAGGAAGGAGCTGACAAAAGGACATGTAGTGAAGAAGATTGAAAGAAGAGTACAGATTGGATGGATCCCATACTGTAAGACCTGGCACAGAGTGAGGGTTAGAATGGGGAGAGGGGGACTGTCAGGACCTTAGGCTTTTAAAACCAGGATGTATCTCAGATTGATTTCTTCATATATTTCTGTGATATGACTGGGCTGAAAGAATTAGTGAATTTTTCCTCCCAGGTTCCTGTACACACGCACACATGTACATTGAGGGCCCTAGGTGTCAAATAGGGGAAAGGGCTCCAGAACCAAAACCCCCGGAATTAGGCTGGATTGGGCTTTCCAACCCCACACTGTGGCCTACCTATAGTAGGGGAAGCCGTGCCGTGACAGCTGAATACATCCCATCCCAAACTCCGGAACGGAAGAGGGAAGGGGCTAGAGTATGCCGAGGTTTTCCGCCAGGGTTCCTAGGGGAGAAGGGCTGGGCGGTGCAGGGGGTGGAATCCTGCTTCCTGTCCCACGGAGGGGCGGGGCTCAGGTCTCCATGGAGACGGCTTCTAGCGACCCGACGGGCGTTGGGAGCCGCGGGCCTGATGGATGCTGACAGCCTCCTGCTGTCGCTGGAGCTGGCGTCGGGCAGCGGGCAGGGCCTCAGCCCGGACCGGCGGGCCTCACTGCTCACTTCGCTTATGCTGGTTAAGCGGGACTACCGCTACGACCGGGTCCTCTTCTGGGGCCGCATCCTCGGCCTGGTCGCCGATTACTACATCGCGCAGGGCCTGAGTGAGGACCAGCTGGCACCGCGCAAGACGCTGTACAGGTGCGGGGGGTGGGGGGGCACCTGGGCGGGTGGGACAGGTCACCGGAGGCTACCGACGACGGGACGACCCGAGGCCGGGAACGAAGGCCCGGCGGGTCTCGAAAGGGGCGGGGCCTGCGGGCTCCCGGAAGCGAGTGGGCGGGACCTGTGCGGGAGGGAACGGAAAGGTTGAGGAAGCGGGACCTGAACCTGGGGATCCCAAGACGCCGGGGAGAGGGGAGGGGGCCCGGGAGCATGCGTAGTCCACTGCGGGTAGGGGGCCAGAGAAACTTCAGTGCAGATGGCTTTGTAATGCAGGGAGGGCGAAGAGCCGAGGCGGAGCTAAGTGAGTGGTCCGGTGAAGACAGATTCTGGAGGAAACCCAGGGGCTAGCCAGCTGCGGGACCTGAAATTCCGAAGAACTTAGTTTTGAGAAGGGTCAGAAGCCCCTGCGGCTGGGCTGGTGCCGTTTTGGAAGTGTGGTCTCCGCAGCGAGAGACTCTTGGAAGTAGAAAACACGCGGATTGGGAAGAGAAGGGGTGTAGAACTGGGGAAAATTCCCTGGCCTCTGCCATACGGGACCATCCAGCCTCTTTCTGACTACCCCCAGCGATGATGCAGAAGCTTACCATTTTCTAAAGCAGTCCAGATTCATTTGCACGGGTACGTGCATCAATCCAGCCTTGACTGGATGCGTCTTGTGCTAGACTTGGGGTTACAAAGATGGCCAAGATGCACCTCTGTCTCTGAGTCATTCACATCTTAAAGAGGAAGACAGATGTGTCACTCAGCAATTACAGCACGATGTGTTCAAACTAGAACAGAGGTGCACACAAGGGGACCGCACGTCCTGGTCTTCTAAATCTGCTCACTCAGTGACTCCTTGCTCTGGGTTCTGAACCATGAGCTGAGGAAAGGCTGAAGTGGCTTGGCGTGTTTGGAGAACACAGGGAGGTAAACCTGACAGAAGCAGCATGGGCTGTCATGTACACATAGATGGAGAGGCCAAGGGGTTTGACCTTTGTCCATAGGCCATGGGGAGCCATTCGGGGCCTGGAAATAGGGTAAGCAGGTAGGAGTCATTGCTGTGTTCAGATGAAAGGGCTTGAAAGGGAAAAACCAGCTGAGGGAACGGGCGGGCAGATAGAAAGATTTAACTGGGAGAGTGAGAATTCAAGGCTGATCCCTCCTTTCCACTAAGGCCACCAAATAAAGGCTGTTGCCACTCACTGGAGAGAATTCAGGCAGAATTCTGGGAAGACAGAGTTGATTTGGTGTGAGATGCTGAGAAGCTACATAAAGCACAAATCTGAAGGACTGAAGATAAGAGATTTGGGGTTCATTTTGCTCTAGTGTGTATGTATTTGTTGAGTGCCTATATACTAAGCATCAACTTAGGCACCAGGAATTCAGTGGTAAATAAGACCAAGTCTTTGTCTTCATGGAACTTGTATTGCATGTTTAAGGGGTCAGACAGTAGGGACCCCTAAATAGGGTCAGCCAATAGGGTCAGAGAAGGGGAGATATATATTGCTTGTCAGATGGTATTAGGTACTAAGGGAGATAGAGAATACTCTATTTTATTTAATTAATTTATTTTGCGGTGCTGGGGTTTGAACTCAGGGCCTACACCTTGAGCCACTCCACCAGCTTCCCCCCCCTCCCCCGCCTCTGTTTTTCTCCACCCATGAAGGATTTTTTTCAAGATGGGGTCTTGAAAACTATTTGCTGGACTGGCTTCGAACCATGATCCTCCTGCTTTACGCCTCCTGAGTAGCTAGGATTATAGGCGTGAGCCACCAGTGCCCAGCTATTTTATTGTTTTATGTATTGTTTGGCATACTGGTGTTTGAACTCAGGGCTTTGTGATTGGGAGGCAGGTGGTCTTACCTCTTGAGCCGCACCTCTAGCCAATGGGGCATTATTTTAAATAGCATAATGGGGTTGGCCTCTCTGATCAAATGACATTTGAGGAAGAAACCCGTAGCGACCAAGGGAGTGAGTCATGTGGTATCTGAGGTAAGAGACTACTAGAGGAGGAACCTCATGGAGACTGGAGTGGCTAGAAAGGAGTGAGGGAAATGTTGTCAGACGTAGTCAGAGGAGGTAAGGGGTGAGAGACACTCCCGCAAGGCCTTGTGGGGCATCAAAAGACTTGGCGCAAAGAGAAGCCACTAGAAGGTTTCTAGTGCACAGAGGAGAGGCGTGATCTGGTTTAGGTTTGAACAGGTGGGTGGGAACTCTGAGAGGGAGGAGGTATGGCAGCAGGGAGAACAGTTAGGCATGTACAATTCCCAGGCCAGCCAGAGTGGATGGTGGCTTTGGGTCAGGGTGGAGGCAGTTGAAGTGGTAAGAGGTCATTTCATTCTGGAAACTGACTGGGTGTCATTGGGCCTGTTTTGCTAACCTGTGAGGTTTGTTAAGTTAGTGTATTAAATGCATTTTGTTGTGTTGTTTTGTTCTTCTGAGACAAAGTCTTGCTGTGTAGCCCAGGCTGTCCTCACACTTGCAAGCCTCCTGCCTCAGCCTCCTGAGTGATGAGATTACAGGCATGAGCCACCATTTGGCTTGCTTTTTTTTTTTTTTTTTTTTTTTTTTTGGTGGTACTGGGGTTTGAACTCAGGGCCTCATGCTTTCTAGGCAGGTGCTCTACCACTTGAGCCACTCCTTCAGCCTGCAGCTTGCATTTTTGCCTTCACAGTATTTTCAGCTCACCATGGGTTTATTAGGATGTTACCTCATTGATGTCGAAGCATCTAAATGTGAAACTTTTGTGATCTTGAAGAAATAAAATTGAATCTGCATTGCCCAAGAGGGTAGAGTGCACCATAGGCACTTAGGGCTTCTAAGGGTCGTGAGCGAGGAAGGGTAGGTGTCCCAACAGTCCCTGGGGGCCTGACCCCGGGGGCGAGGGAAGGTGGCTAGAAGCCTGAGTGTGAGGGAATTGAAAGCCTGGATGATGTCAATGTTGTTGACAGCCTGAACTGCACAGAATGGAGCCTCTTGCCCCCAGCCACAGAGGAGATGGTGGAGCAGACAGCTGTGGTGAAGGGCCTCTTCATGGGGGACCCCTCCCATGAGTATGAGCACACCGAGCTCCAGAAGGTGAACGATGGTGAGAAGGTCTTTGATGAAGAAGTTGTGGTGAGTGCAGATGAGGGGAGGAAGAGGGCTAAACAAAGAAAGCCTGGATCACTAAAAGCCAGCCTGAGTCTGGGGTGAGCCTCCAGGTAGTGTGTGCTAGACTTTCTCCATTACCTTAATTAGAACCTCAGTGAGAAACAATGTTTAGCCAATTTCTCCATTAAAGCAATGTAAAAATAAATTCCCTAATGTGTGAGGCCCTGGTTCCATCACTAGCACCAAACCAAACCAAACCAAACAAATAACAACAGCAAAAAGCCAGCCCATTAGAAATTAGGACAATGGCTACTGTATCCTGTTCTCACTACTGCCCATTTGGGTACTGAGCATAGTAGCAGAGAGCCTCACAGCTCTGGAAAGGTGGTGCATTACTTCCAGGTGGTGGAGAGGAGGACACTAGCGCTGGAGAGGTTAAGACACTTGCCCAGGTACACACAGCTTCTGAGGGTCAGGGTGAGGGCAGTGGATAGGCAGCTCTTATAAACCCTGGCTTGGTGGGGGCTGAAAAGAGGGTCTGGGCTGTTCCCTAGGGTAAGGGAATGTGCAGACTCTTACTCTTACTTATTGTTATGATGATGCTGATGATTTTTTGGCAGTACTGGGATTTGAATTTAGGGCCTCACACTTGCTAGGCTCTACTGCTTGGGCCATGCCTCCAGCCCTAGGATGACTTTTTTTTTTTTTTTTTTTGAGGTGATGGGGATTGAACCAGGGGCCCCACACATGTTAGGCAAGTGGTCTACCACTGAGCTAACCAGCCCTCTTGTATTTTCATATCAACTTTTTACTAGATAATACACCAAATGGCTCAAGATTCAAAGGTACTGAAAGGCATAAAGTTTCCTTTTATCCTTGGCTACAGTCATCCAGGCCCTCTTTTTGGGGGGCATTAATGTAACTGTTTTATGTGTATACGTGTATGTGCCTGTGTTTGTGCATGTGTGTCCAAATCTGTCTACTCAAAGTGCAGTCTGGATCAGAAGCCTCATCTTGTCCTAGCAGTTAGAAGACCAGAATCTCTGGCCCAGTATCAGAAACCTGCATTTTCCCATGATGCCTAGGGAATTTGACATTCAAGTATGGGGTACTGCTTCCAGAGAGGTTTCATGCAAATGCAAACCTCAACAAACATCTGACTTCACATATTCTTTTCACCTTAGCAAACTGAACAAATGGTGGCATGTTATATCCAGCCCTACACTTGCTGTTTTCACATAGCCATATCTTTTGGAGACCTTTCAGTATTAGTGCTTTAGCAAGACGTCCTACTTTCTGTGCCAGTGTGGTAATGTACCAGTGGTTTTTTTGTTTTGTTTTCATTTTTTTTAATATCATATTATCGCTGTACTAGGGGTACGTTGTGACATTTACAGAAGTGCTTACAATATATCTTAGTTAAATCCACCCCCTCCGTCATTCTCCTTGTACCAGTGTTCAGTGAGTGTCTGATTCCTGGATAGCAGGCTTCCAGGTTTCAGCTTTTACAAACAATGCCATAGTGAGTGGCTTTGTACCTACGGTATTTGCAATGTGTGCACTTTATCTGAAGGATCAATTCCTAGAAATGGAATGGCTAGGTCCACAAGTAGGGAGTCCATGTTTTGAAGCTAGACAAAGCCAGAATTCAAACCTCAGCCTCTGCACTTGAACCTGGGTGATGTTGGAAGTCTGTGTCTAGGCTGTGAGGCCTTAAGTATGCAGCACCTCCCACCTGGTAACTTATTTTCCTGAGCCTCAGTTTCACTTTGTGTAAAACTGAGATAATCATGTTTACTTCACAGGCTTGTACAGATTTTGAGGTGATATATGCAAAGCTCCTGACCTAGGCATGTATTGGGTGACAGTTTTTTCTTTTCTTTGTCAACCATGCAAATTGGCAGCCCATGGAAAAGAGGTAGCTCTGTGACTGTGGGAGCCTCTCTGGGGCCTTGAGTTCCCCTGTCAAGAGCTGTTATTCCCAGACATCTCTATGAACATAGACCTTTGTTCATGGTTGCCCTTGATGGGAATTCTAACTGAATTTCACCTGTATAAGATGGTTACAGCTGGGTACTGGTGGCTCACGCCTGTAATCCTAGCTACTTGGGAGGCTGAGCTTGGGAGTATTGTGGTTGAAGGCTAGCCTAGGCAAAACGTTTGTGAGACCCCCATCTCCAAGATAACCAGAGCAAAATGGACTGGAGTTGTGGCTTAATCGGTAGAGTGCCTGCTTTGCAAATGTGAAGCCCTGAGTTCAAACCCCAATCTCACTAAAAATAAATGAGTATTAGATCACCTGTATGTATTATCAGTGGAAGGAAAGGAGGAGAAAGAAAAGAAAGAAGAGGGAAGGAAAGAAAGGAGGAAGAAGGGAGGGAGAGAAGCAAGGACAGAGGGAGGAAGGAAGGAATAAATCTAGGCGGGAAGGCAAAGACTTGCCCAGTGTGATCTGTGACGCTAGATACTGGCAATCGGGGAGGTTGGTGGTGCAGGGACTTGTACCATGGTGAGTGAGAGCAGCACCCTGGCAGGATGCTCCTCTCCTGTCTCTCCTGGTTCCTCAGGTCCAGATCAAGGAAGAAACTCGCTTGGTGTCCATCATTGATCAAATTGACAAGGCTGTGGCCATTGTTCCCCGAGGTGCCCTCTTCAAAACCCCTTTTGGACCCACCCATGTCAATCGGACCTTTGAAGGTGAGTTCTGTGGAGCTCCCCTCAAGCATAGGAGGGTGTCCCTTCTGAGCTCAGGCAAATATGTCTGGGCGACCAGGGGGAACCTACCCTCCTTGAAGAAGAGTGGCTGTGGCCACATTACCTAGGGGATGGGCAGGCCCCATGACCTGGTGCTGTAGGTTGGCATGGGCTACCCAGTCACTGAACCCTGAGCCTCTTCTGCTTAAGGGTGGGCATATGGTGGCCTGGGATTTCCATGGGTCTGGATGACCTGCCTTTTGCTACCTTCCTCCTCCTTGTACTTCTCCTCATTTCAGGATTTGGGCCGAGCTTGGGCTGAGGGAATGCTGGTCCCTTTTCTCCCTTGAGTTCTGTGCCATTGCAAACCCTTCCCTGTGGTCCTAATGCAGAGGGGAGGGGGCTGTGGGACTCGGGCCAACTCTCCTCCTTTCCTGCCTAGGACTGCCCATGTCTGAGGTCAGGAAGCCCAGTTCCTACTTCCACTTCCGGGAGGCTGTGGGCCTGAAGAGTAAGACCTTGCTTGAGAAAGCTGACCTGGACCCCTCCCTGGACTTCATGGACTCCTTGGAGCATGACATCCCTAAAGGTCAGAGCAGTGGGCCATGCCACCTGCCCTTCTCCTCTGGGGCTGGAACCAAGGTCCCTGGTGGACATTGGTGGCTTGAGGTGAGCCCTGGAGGGTGGGCTTCTCCAGCACCCAGTCACATCAGACACTTCATTAATGTTCTCCAGTGACAAAAAGTAGTCCTGTTTTCCATATGCTGTCACAGACGTGAGGTATCTCACTAGGTCTTAATTTTCAGAGTGGCCTTTTTGGGCTGGAGTCTGGCTCAAGTGGGAAAGTGCCTGCCTAGCAAGCACAAGGTTCTGAGTTCAAACCCCAGTACCAACAAAAATAAAAAACAAAACAGCAGGTTTTTTCTTGATTAAAAAAATCCTAGTTCTTATTTTCTTTTATTGACAGATAAAACTGTATGTGTTTATCATTCGCAGCATGATGCTTGGTAGAATACATACATCGTGGAGTAGTTCAATGCACTGACTAATAAGTATTGCTTCACATAATTCTAGTCTTTGCATGGGAACATTTAACCACTATCTTTGCACTTTTCAAGAATACAATACACTGCTGCACATGGTGACACACATCTATAATCCCAGCACTTGGGAGAGGCAAGGTAGGAGGATTGTGAGTTCAAGGCAAGCCTGGGTTGCGTGGTGAGACCCTATCAAAAAAAAACAAAAACCCAAGGCAGTGGGTCATGCCTGTAATCCTAGCTACTCAGGAGGTGGAGTTCAGGCGATCTAAGTTTGAAGCCAGCCCAGGCAAAAAGTTTGCGAGACCCCCCCATCTCAACCACTGAAAGATGGGTGCAGTGGCATGTGCCTGTGATCCCAGCTATACGGGAAGCACAGATGGGAGGATCACGGTCCAGGCCGGCCTGGGCAGAAACACGAGACCTTTTTGAAAAATACCTAAAGCAAAAGCTGCTGGGGGGTGTGGTTCAAGCAGTGGAATGCCTGCCTAGCAAGTACAAGGCCCTAAGTTCAAACCCTATACCAACAAAAAAAATAATAAGTATCATTTAACCACTAACTATGGTCACTAGGCTGTCCAGCAGATCTGCTGAATTTATCCTTCCTATACAACTGAAATTTATATCCTTTTAGCCAGGTGCCGGTAGCTCACGCCTGTAATCCTAGCTACTCAGGAGGCAGAGATCAGGAGGATCACGGTTTGAAGCCAGCCCGGGGAAGTAGTTCAGGAGACCCTATCTTGAAAAAACCCATCACAAAAAAGGGCTGGCTGAAGATGAAGGTCTGAGTTCAAGCCCCAGCACTGCAAAAAAAAAAAAAATTATGTTTGAATTGTCATACATTAATAGTAGGAAGGGACTCCATTGTGATAATTCCAGTGTGTAATTATGTATCCTTTGTCTGACGACGTCCTATGCTTCCTTCCCCACAAGCACCTAGCCTCTGGAAACCAGTTGGACTTTCTACTTCTGTGGGAGCAACTGTTTCAGATTTCCCATGAGTGAGATCATGTGTGCCTGGCTTATTTCACTGAACATGGCAATCTGCAGTTCTGTCTGTGTTATTGAAAATGACAAGATTCCATTTCTTTTTTTGAGGTAGAATGTTGCTACATTGGCCCATGCTGAGCCTCCTGTCTCAGCCCCTAGGCTGCTGGGATTACAGGTGTGTGCCACCATGCCCATTTGTTTTGGGGGGTTATTTTTTTTTTTAAGACAGGATCTTGCTATCTAGCCCAGGCTGGACTTGAACTCTCAATCCTCCTCCCTCGGCCTTCCAATTGCTTGGATTACCAGTGTATACCACCATGCTTGGCCTTTAAAAAATTTTTTTTTGGTGGTACTAGGGGTTGAACTCAGGGCCTTATGCTTGTGAGGCAGGTACTCTACCACTTGAGCCAGGCCCTTTAGTCCCTTTTGCTTCAGTTAATTTTGAGATAGGGTCTTACTTTATTCCTGGGCCAGCTTGGACCCTGATCTTCCTGTCAGTATTTCCCTGCACAGCTGGGGATGCTGTGCCGCACCACGCCCAGCCATTGGTTGAGATGGGGGGAGGGGTCTCAAAAAGATTTTTTCTGGGGCTGACCTTGATCCGATCCTTGATTGGATCTTTCCAAGCTCTACCTCTGAAGTAGTTAGGATTCCAGGCTTTTAAAATTGTATTTTTTTTGAGACAGGGTCTTGTTATGGGCTCAGGCTGGCCTGGAGCTCACAATCTCCCTACCTCTGCTTTCTGAGTGAAAAATTTCATTCTGTTATGTACCACATTTTCTTTACCCACTTTTCAGTTGAACGCTTACATTGTTGCCATTCCCTGGCTATTGTGAATAGCACTGCAATGAACATGGGAGCACAGGTGTCTCTTTGACACACCGATTTCCTCCTTTCCCATATATATCCAGGAGCGGGTGTGCTGGAGCCATGATGATGTTGAAATGGAGGCAGGTCGGAGCCTTCCCCCACACATCCCTGAAATTTCTAGTGACACATATATCTCAACTTCTATTAGGGAGTTCTGCCTAATGCTTGGCACATACCTGGTGCTCAATAAGTGAGGGTTGTTCGACTGACTAGCAGACCACCTATTAAGGCAATAAGGTCCATACATTTGCTTTCTGCTATTTGTGTAGTACTTTAAAAATTGACAGCCTTGGAGGCCAGTGGTCTTTGGCAGAGCTCTGGAGACCCCATTTCCTTCCCTTGAGCATCACCAGTACAGAACAGCATGTGCCTGACACTGTCACCCAAGACAGGTGCCAGGCTGATTCAGCTCTGCTTACCTCTCCACAGCTGGTGTTTCTAAGGTCTAGAGGGACCTGGTGATAATGACGGCAGTGATGATGACAATAATAACTGACTCATTAAAGTAAAGACATGGTTTATTATGGGCCAGACCCTGTGCTCAGACCATTCCGTGCTGCGGCTCATTGTAATCTTCATGGCCAGCCTACGAGCTGGATGCTTTACAGGGGAAGACGCAGAGGGTCATCAGAATTAACTCCAAGGAGACCGAGTGTCAGAGCATTAGATTCCAGGGCCTTAACTGTGATGTCAAGTTGATGGTGTTTCCTTTATGGGGGACAGGGCAATAGTCACCCCCAGCCTTGGGAGAAATACTTCTGAGGAGCGACATGCAACCCGGATGGGCTGAAACTCAGGATGGGATGGGATGGACTTTCTAGCTGTATGACTTAGGGAGAGTCCCTCAATTTCTTTGTGCCTCACTTTCCTTTTTTATTTTTGTTAGGAATGGGGTTTGAACTCAAGGCTTCACACTTAGAAAGCAGGCATTCTACTGCTTGAGCCTCACCTCCTGTTCTGGCCATTATGCTCTGGTTATTTTGGAGATGGGGGTCTTGTGAACTGTTTGTCCAGTCTAGCCTTAAACCATGATCCTCCCAATCTCAGCCTCCCAAGTAGCTAGGATGATAGACAATAGCCGTGGTTGTTTCCTCATTTCTGAAAAGAGCAAATCAATCTTTTCTACCTCACTGGGCTGTTGTGAGAATTAAATGAGTTAACTCATATACAAAATGCTTATAACAGGGCCTAACATTAGAAAGCACTCAAATAAAAGCTAACGATTATTGTTGACGTTATTTTTAGTGGTAGAACACGCTGTAGAGATGAGTTGGGGCAGGCTTAGGATGGCCTAGAAGGCAAAGACAGTAGAAGCTACTGGTGGCTTAGGAGGAGGTCTGTGATCATAAGACAGCAGTGTACAGGTGGCTAGAGAAGGCGCAAGGTGCGCTGGGTCTCAGGAAGCTGTCTCAGGGCCCCTGCAGCACCCAGGGGCCAGGCCATGGTTCTGAGTGGGTAGCTGCCACCTTAGCCTCCGCCACATGGGGGCGCCCAAGTCAAGCCACCCTGAGCACTGCCAGTCCTGCAGTGCTGGACGGGAGGGTTCCCCTACCAGAGGGCGAGGGAAGAAAGATTTATAGAGGTTGGGGCATTTCTCACCCATCAGACACAATTCCCAGGCTTCCTGAATCTCCTCCAACTCTGCCTCAAGCCTTGCCAAGAACTGAAGGGGGCTACACATTCCACTGGTAAAGGGAGGTGGGGACACTGTCTGGAAAACCCCCTGCAGCTTCTTCCCCTGCAGCTGGATGCTCCGGATCCAGGGAGGCTCAGGCTGTCCTCCACAGTGCCAGGAAGCCATGTCCTCTGTGTGGTGGAAGGGGCTTCTGTGTGGGAGGCCACAGCCAGCTGGACGGAGTGGTGGGACAGCAGGTCTTCCTAGGGGAAACACCATCTGCCCTGCTGGGACACAGGAGGCAACTGTTTGTCTTTGCAGCAGGGCAAGCAAGATGTGAGGTTGGGGGGGTCTTCCTAAAGGCTGCTAGTGCCCCCTTGGCGTGTCCAGTTGGCAGGTGAATCCACCAGGTCTCTGGGAGGTGCAGAACCTGGACAAGTGGCAGTGGCCTGAGGCCTTCAGCATCCTACCCTAGTTGTGGGCCCCAGAGCTTCAGTGTCAGCTGCTGGCTCCACTTCCCTGTCCACCCAGATGTGACTCGGCCCTTGGTGCTGGAGTCCTGGGAGCTGAGTACTTTTGTCTTTTCTTGTGTGTGTGTGTGTGTGTGTGTGTGTGTGGAGGTGTCCCTCCTATGGGGACACTTCACACAGTGGGAAACCTCTAAGCCATCACCAGAAACCTCCAGGAAGCCAGGCACAACCTTTCCTCAGGATGGTTTGGTAAGTGCTGTGGCACGGAGACATTAGTGTGGGTGGTTGGGAGAGAGCACATAGTCTGTTTTCACCCAGACTCCCTTACCAGACAGTGACATGGCAGAATGAACTGCTGGGAGGCTCCTCTGCCCAGCAGACAGTGGCCAGGCCCGGCTGCTGAGTGGGGCCAGAACCCCAAGCGGGAGTCCCTGGGACACCAGCGCTGGCTAGAGGGGTGGGACTTGACAGCCATTTTCTGTCTAGGTTGGATTATTCTTTTCTGGGTATGAAGCAGTTTGTTCAGGGTAACTTTGTGTCACCTCTGAGCAGGTGTGGTTGAGGTTGACCTGTCCCTGGGTCTCCTGCTCTGTGCCCATGGAGATAGGCCAGGAGCTCAGCAGCTTGTCTCTGGGGTAGCATTGGTGAAAGAAGAAAAGTGGGAGGGATGTTGTTGGGGGCCACCTTGTCCTCACGAACTGTCATGCCATACCACAGGATATTAGTTTTGTGGGCTGTGTGGCTTTGGGGGGCTGCCACCTGGTTCTGGGGTGGCGGGATAATCCTCCCGGTGGGTGCAGGGCAATGGCTAAGAGTTCTCGGACCTTGGGCTGCAGCTGGGCGACGTGGAGCGGTAGGTCAAGAAGCCGGATTTCTGGGTAGTACTCTGCGGTCCAGTGCTCCTTAGCCTCATCAGCAAGTAGCCACTGAGCAGCTGCTGTACGGGTCTGGGAATGAGAAAGACACTTCCTTGTCTCAGGGAGGTTTGGGGATATGCAATGACACAGGCTGGGCAGGGGAAATGTAAGCTGGAAGATGCCTCACAAACAGGGTCATTGGGATCTTGGGAGAAGAGAGGAGTGGGCAGAACAGGAGAGCTGGGGGCCTAGATCCTTTCCTTGCCCAACTTTGGCTCCAGCAACTAGTCAGCCCTCGTAGCAACACTCAGGTTGGGCAGCAGAGAGCAGCAAAGGGCCCGCTGCCTGCAATGTGCCTTAGAAAGCTGCAGTGGGGTGGATGAATGAGACATGGGGCATTGGACAAGGTTGGGGAACAAAGCACAGGATTGGCCTTCGTGTGTGTGTGTGTGTGTGTGCGTACGTGTGTGTGTGTGTGTGTATGTGTGTGACTATCCACCCAAATTCCTTGGAAACCTGGCTGACAAGTGCTTGGCCTGGACCTGAGAGACATGAGGCATCAGACTGGAGGCTGGCACCAGGATGTTACATTCTTCCTGTCTCCAGGACCTTAGGAGGCTTGACTCTACCTTATGGCCTTGGTGGGGGAGGGGGTGGCCATTTTTTAGTGTGCGAAACAATTTGTGGGGAAGAGTTAGTCTGAGGAGGGTCGATGCCATCTGCTGCCCCTGGACAGTGTGTCCCCAAGCCTGGTCTACCCTCTCCCTCACTTTTTTTTTTTTTTTCCAGTACTGGGGCTTGAATTCAGGGCCTTCACCTTAAGCCACTCCACCAGCCCTTTTTTGTCAAGGGTTTTTTCGCAATAGGGTCTTGTGAACTATTTGCCCAGGGCTGGCTTTGAACCACCATCTTCCTGATCTCTGCCTCCTGAGTAGCTAGAATTATGGGCGTGAGCCATGGGTGCCTGGCTTTCTCCCTCACTCTTAATCTCTGTGCCTTGTAGTTTATCCCCTGCATGGTAGGAGAATGTAATTGCGATTATGAGGTGTCCGCACTAATAAACTGGCCCTAGGTAGGGCCCCAGAAACCCAGGGTGACTTTCTGCTGATTGCACAGGCACCACTCCTGACTTACTAGCTTGTGCCCACCACAGCCTCACCACACAGCCCTTCTGGAGAACTGTGGCTGCCAGTGTGGAGCATGGGAGAGACCAGGGGCTGTGAACTGAAACACCAGGCTGCTTCCCCAGTCTTAGAGGGGAGCAACAGCAATTGGTTGGGCCTTTTCAGTATTTGCACTAAGAAAGTGGGTGAAGGTGATGGCTAGTGCTTGGCTCCTCAGGTAGATGCTACGTGACTCCTAGCACGTTGGGAGTCTTTTGTTTCCTGGGCGACCAGCTAAGCAAGGGATGATGAGACAACAGGAGTGTGACAGGAATGCGAGGGAGGGAGGGAGGCCGGCCCCTCACATGCTTTTAACTCTGCCAGCACCCTTGGGCCTGCTTGGCATTGTCTCCTGGCCCCGTTGGGGGCGTTGCATTGCCCTCACCTCCTCACCAGTTTCTCCTTGCTGCCTAGGTAGAAGCCCCTGCTGATGGCCTGGGCCACTTTGAGAGCTCCCCTCCTCATCTACTGGAAGCACGAGGTGGCCAGGCAGGCTGGTGTGAGGGCAGGTGGGGACTTAGCACTTGCCTGAATGTGCCAACATGCTGGTGACCCTGCACTGATGAGGGTACAGGTGGTGGTGGAGGGACGACTCCAGGGCCATTTTCTCCAAGGCCTAGGGAGGCTGCAAACCTCCCGCTCTGGGTGGACAGAGAGCAATGACCAGTCTGGCCATTCTTAGTTCAAGCAAGGCTGTGTGGCTATGTGCTCCAGGGGCAGGGAGGGACAAGGTCTCTATAGAAAGCTGGCTCCAGATGATGCTCTGGGCCCTGGCGGGGGTGACCAAAATTAGGGAATGGTACCTTCCTGGGCCATTTCTTCCAAAGGCCAAACGGAGACTAGGAACACTTTGTTCTGTCATACCCCACCCTCATCTCCCCTAGGCAATGTTTTCTGGAGACGTGATCAAGAAAGTAATAGGCCAAGGCCTTCTGACTTCTGAGGCAGCTGGCCTGGAGATAAGAGGCTCACAGGTACCCAAGAGAAAAGCTGTATGGACTAGGCAGCACTTAGGCCACTGCCCTGGCAACACAGAACAGGAATACCCTTTTTTGGCAGTACTGGGGCTTGAACCCAGGCCCTCATGCTTGCTAGACAAATGCTTTACCACTTAAGCCTCAGCCTGTTTTTGAGGTAAGGTCTCCCTAACTTTTGCCTAGGCCAACCATGGCCCCTGATCCTCCTGTCTCTGCCCTCTAATTAGCTTAGGATTACAGAGATGTACCACCACACCTGGCCTTCCTGTTTTCTTCTTGATGTCGTGAGATAGGGGAGCCATGTCCACATTATGGTCTCCTTTTCATTGTACACATATGATGGCACATAGTATTGGCCTGCAGTACTAGGGTGAACTCTGAGGGCCAGAGATAGCAGACCTCAGTGCTCAGAAAGCTCAGGTTTTGATCTGGGCAGGCAGCTCCCCACTGAGCAGGGCTGAGTGGCTATCAGGGTCAGGTCTGGCAGTCAGGTCTCTTGGATGCAGGGTGGCCCCCAGTGGGTGGGGACCAAGTTGTGAAGCTGCTGGGTGTGGAGTGACCAGGGTGGGCCATGGGTGGAGGTGGGCTGTGGGAACCTGGGGTGGTGAGAGCCAAGCAGCAGGGCTGAGCTGGCAATTGATGAAGGCCTCAGAGCAGCTCTCAGTGCATGGCTGGTTGGTCCAGCACCAAAACCTTCAAAGCATTTGCCTTTCTGGCAAGGCCTGGGGCAGGGCTGTGGCTGGTTCGGGGGAGAGGCCTGTGCGCAGGGGAATAGAAGCCCCAGATCTGCATCCAGAGGCGATCTTCCCAGGCTCCTTCCTCCCACACAACAGCTCCCTCCCTCGTATCTGGAGCTGGATCAGGCCCTTCTAGCCAAGTCCTCATGGCTGCAGAACTTTGGCCAGGGCTGGGCTGCTCCCGTCTAGAGAAACTCAGGATTAACAGAGGCTCATTAGGGGCAGCCCAAGTCTGCTTCCACCAAAGATAGCTCCTAGTCCACCAGCTGTCAGAAGGCCACTGAGGTGTGAGATCTGAGGTGGACAAACTTCTACTTGAGCCCCTTAATTGGTTGGTCTAATCCTCTTGGGTAGAAGTTTCTGGGACTGGGAAAGACAACTCAAACAGGGGAAAAGCACACAGGTACTAAGGTCACCAGTGATTAGCCCTAGTATGGGGGGAAGTCTCCCTCCTGTCCCAGTCAGCCTGGTGAGACTTGCTGAGAGCAGAACTTGTTGGTTTGAGTTTTACCTATTTGTTTCCTTTGCCCTCCCTCTGGAAGTGAATCAGCAGTACAGCGCCTGGGTGAGTAAATCATCTTCCCTTTTCCAGCGGAACCTTAGCTCCAGGCCTAACTGTCCAAGGAGAGGGGCCTCTGTCCAACAGGCAGAGCTCTGGCTCCATGGCCCAGGCCTCACCTCCACCTGTCTCGCAGGGTCCTGGAGCATCCAGATGGAGAGGGGCAATGCCTTGGTGGTGCTGCGCAGCCTCCTCTGGCCAGGTCTCACCTTCTACCATGCTCCCCGCACCAAGAACTATGGCTACATCTACGTGGGCACTGGTGAGAAGAACCTGGACTTGCCCTTCATGCTGTAGGACGGAGCCAGCCCGGGTATTATTTTATATAGAATCTAAACATTATTTTCATAAATTTCACTGAATTTTATTCTATCCTGCCTTTCTTCATTTCCACCTCCCTGTGGTGTCCAGGCTGAGAGGGCCAGTAGGCCAGGAAACCAATTTCTAAAGCAAGTGGCAGAGCTGGAATATGCTGATAAAAACATTAGGTAATGATGGGTGGAAATGGCTCTGGGAGTTGACAACCAGAGGCCCTTAGAGACTCAGATGAGCTACCTGTGGGCAAGGCGGCCCAACTCATCTTGTAGCCAGCTACCAGACTACAGTGTTAACAGCTGTCAACAAAGTGGGAACCTGTTTGGCACATGATGTCCCTTCAGTCCCATTCATGTGGCTTGCCCTAAAAGATGAGTGACTCTATACTTAGCCACTGCCTGGAAATGTGCCCACCTGCATCCCCTTCCCAAGCAGCGAGCGCACACCCAGTGGGTAAGCCCCGGAGCCTGCTTTATGACATTCCTTCAGGTCAAACTCCTGCCTCCGAGCACCCAACATGGCCCAAGTCAGTCATAAGACCACAGCAGCTGCTAAGTGAACTGATTGCCCTGCATGGTTCTAGCCCCCAGCACTGTGGCTCGGCAAGCCATCGGTACTGAAGCTTGTCCCAGTGTCGCCAGGCCAGTCATGTGTGAGGGCTCCCAAGCTGGCCTCCACTCCCAGCAGAGAGGTGCAGGAGATGCTCTGGCAATGCTCTCAGGAAGTCCTGCTCTCTAATGATATAGCCGCAAAGGCTTTCTTGAGTACGAGACGTTGTCCTTCAGGAGTGGTGACCCCACGGCCATGCGCACCTTGTTCCAGCGATGGCCTTTTTTGTAGATGGGCTTGACGGAACGGGAAGACCAGCGGGTCAGGTAGCTGTGAAGGGAGCACAAGGAGGCATCTGTGAGCACTGGGACCACACTGAGACACATAGAATGGGGTGCTGTCTCAGGCCAGGCCCCAGTGGGCCAAGCGATCCCTTTCACCAGTTTTCCTTTCTTGAAGGGCAGGGAATTTTCCTGGGAGCAACTGCTGAGTGTCCTGTAAACAGATGGGCTGGGCTCTTGCTGCTTGCAAGTGTGTGTGGCCAGGGTCAGGCAGCCCAGGGCCAGCTCCCTTGATCTTTATGAGTTGTCAGTGTTCGAGTATGCTGCCGGGAGAAGGCGGAGGAAGAGGCTGCTTGGAGAGCAATCACTCCTCTCTGGCCTCAGCCCGGGGACAGGAGAGTGATGTAAGGGCCCAGAGGAACCCTGCACTCTTCCCCACTTGGCTTTCTCTGCCACCCCAGCCTGGAAACTCTCCAGAGTAACACAATTGGCAGAGCACCCTCCATCACCTAACCCTTGATGGGAACCGAGAGCCTGAGGGCCAGTGGGTGCAGCCCAGTGGGAAGGGGGTGGGGAAAGATGGTGGCCACCCATGGTACTCTGGCTTCCTTTGAGGATGGTCAGGGTCCTGATAATTCCTGGAAAAGTGGCTCATACCACAGAAGTTTACGCTGTCCAAAATGGTATCTGGATCCTATCCAGAAAGGCCCATCCTTTGTCCTAAGAGCTCAGCCATGACAAGGGCTCCACTCTAGACTGGGGCTCACCTCAGCCACCTATAGAGACCCTCAAATGAAAAGCCTTTTAATTTAAAAAACAAATACCCTTGGCGATAATTTTTAGATGAAAAAGTGAAAAAATGATTGCTGATTTATGCATTTCAACCACACTCCCTGGACTTGTTCTGCTGTAAGCCTGTGCAGAGGGAAGGCCTTGGGAGGTGTGGCCAGCACTCCACTGTCAGGCAGGGGAAGAAGGGTCTTCTCTGTGTTTGCTGGAGGTGTCAGTGGCCCTGCAGGGTGCCTACAGAGGCAGGCCAGGAACTGCTCTTTCTGTGGTCGCTGGGATAACAAGAGTGAAGCAAAGGTCTCTTTGACCTCCTGATAGTCCCTTTGTTGGTCTCTCCCAGGCTTCAGAGGGGTGGGTGAGGATGCGGGGTTTGGAAGCAGGCCCCCAATATGGGGCGTTCGTTGGGGTTCAAGGACCCCACGGTTGATCAAGTTCTCCAGAGTTGTTCTCTTAGCTGTTCTTAGTTTAGCCTGGGGCCTGATGCCTGTGCCATACAGAGCAGCCACCTGGCAGGGGTGAGCTGGGTGGCCTCTAGTCAGCTCTCTGGAACACCAGAGCACTAGGAAGAACCAGGCTCTTTCCTAAACCAGCCCCTGCCTACTTCTCCTGGGAAGGGGGAGGAAGCAGAACAAAGCATGGTTCAGAGGGGCCAGTAGAGCCTGGGCCCACACATGGCAGTTCAAGGATCTCTGAGTGGAGTCCCTTGCAGGGACTCTGACTGCCTTTAGAGCCAGCACAACCTCCCCGCCACTGCCAGTGGCCTTTTGCAACCCAAGGGCCCCCACACATCATCAATCCTGTGTCATGCTTAAAGGACACCGGATGTATGGGAGGGAGCCTGGCCTGGCTTCAAAGACCTGAGGGCAGGATGAATTGTATCCTCAGGCTTGCTGCAGGATACAATTAAAAAAAAAATTAAAAAAGTGAGAGGAGTGGGCTTGACACCACAGCACAGTGGGGAGACCCAGGAGAGGTTACCATGTCCCACCACCCAGGGCTGCTGGCAGCTGGCCCAGCTTGCAATGTGTCAGTGAAGGCTCAGCCTCCAGGGACAGGGTACCAGGAAGTAGCCCATGTTCCCATATCTTCCACCCCCGGCCCAGTACTCTGGCCTCCCCCACTCCACGCCTAGGTTCTGGCAGGGATCAGCCTGGGAGGTCTGTGTGGGCCGAGGGTCCTGCTTTCCTTCATCATGCTTGGTTCCCTGTCTACCTCACTCTAGTCTGGGAGCCACCAATGACAGCTGGACAGGCTGGGGGAGGGAGGAGCCACTGATAGGGGAACACAAGGAGAAACACCCCAAATCAACTTCACAGACCCAGCTCTGCTCCAAACAGGACATCTTATAATCTAAGAGCTTGTCAGTGTGGTGATGTCAGAGTTGGGAGGAGAGGAACATGCAGCAGGACAGCTGCCTGAGTGTCAGACAGAATCTGCTCTGCTCCTGTTCCAGAGGGCGCTGGCCACCCTGCTTAGGCTGGAAGGCAGACTGATTGATTCCAGGTTCTGGGCCTCATTCCTCTCCCTCAAACCCCCAAACAAACCAAAACTTCAGGACCTTCAGGCTATTCAGCTACATGGAGCTGTACAGGTTGTTAACTGCACAACACCAGAAAGCACCAGTTGTGACTGAGTCTACATGGATGTAGCCCAAAGTGGTGCAGTGTACAACTTGCACAGCTGTATACAGTGGCCCCACCCTAAAGAGCCCTCCCATTTCTAAGGCCTTGCTCTGCCCTCTAATAACCCCAGAGCTGGAAAGACTTGGGATACTGAAAGTTTGTAGAAGTGCTCTGACATCCCCATAGCAACTCAGTGTGATGTCATAAATAGGAATTAGCACATTCTAATGCCCAGTAAGCAGGCTTCCTTACCCTTTTTACCCCTGTGTCAATGCCCTTATAGGACAGGGAAGAGGAAAGAGGCTGGGGACAGGAAGGGAGGTGGTGGAGGTAGTACAAAGCACAGCAGTGCTGGAAGTGATGTGGTGGGAGGGCGGGGGGGGGGCGGTGAGGGGGTGAAGGGGCGAGGTTTGAGTTGGTTGGCAATGGACCAGACAGCCAAGGCATACTCCAGCTTTCCTGTCTTGTAGGATAAGCTCCAGCACATGGCCTCCCTAGTGGAATCCAGTGACAGCCATGGGCCCCAGAGTGCTCAGGTTGTTGACACTCATGTTTACTTACCGGTTGAGTTGGGGTTTGCTCTTTGGTACAAATCCTTCAGGAAGCAGAGGCCTGTGATTTGGTAGCAGACCTGAATGAGGGGAAGAGCATATCAGAGGTGGTGGTTGCAGGTCTGAGGGGGCCAGAGGGAAAGCCAAAGGGAGGGGGGAGGTAGACACTGGGGGGTGAGTATAATGAACTCTTCCAGGAGCATGCACCAGGGTAGAAAGAGGCACCTGCAGCCCTCTGCCCTTCAGCCCAGGGACATTCTACCTGCTCGGTGGGCCATCTTCACACACTCCTCAATTTTACGGTGCTCTTCCTGGCACAGGCCTGTGATCCTTCGGGGCAGCATACCTCCATGAGGCCGGAGGAACTGACTGAGCAGTAGCACATCCTAGTGGAAATCAAAAATAAGAGATGCAAGTCAACTGGGTTTGTGATGCTGGAACACCAAGGCTGCATGATGTGCAGGGGATGCTGGTGGTCCCAGCACTCCTAGGTATTGCTGTCTCTCTTGGGAGCGAGTTTGAGATCACTCCTTCCCCTCAGAGACTATACACTGACCTGCTACCTTCACTCTAACAAAGGTTAATCCCAGCTAAGTAGGATTTTTTACACTCCAGTGCCAACCCCAAGACCTTCTAGCGCCTCCATAAGACAGTGTCCTGAGAGACAAGGTAAGACATGGAATGCTTCAGGATACCAATCTTTGATACCAATCTTTCATGTCCCTGCAACATCTTTCTTGGTGGAAAATGTTTGGCAAGTTGCTTTCCTTGGGTGGGGCCAAGGGGCTCATAAAACATTTCCACATGAAAAGGAAAGTCCATACCATCTCAGCCCCCAGGGCCTACATGCCACAGGTCAAGCCATGCAGACAGCACTGCTACCATTTTTCCCTCTAAAGGGTTAGGCAGGCACGCAAACTGAGAGGAGGACCAGGTGGGAATGGAGTCTTAGGTTTCCTCTGCGGCACTGCATGCCCAACAAGCTGCTCAGGATGGTCAAGGAAAAAGGATAAACAGACAAGAGACCACTTCCCCCTCCCCCACACTCACAAATGGCTGGAGGGATTAAAGAAAACTCACCCCCCACCAGGGGCCTGGCCTGTCAGTCTTAGCAGTCATGTTTCACATACCAGCTCGCTACCCTTGCAGGTGCCTCACTGGAAACAGGAGATTTGTTTTAACCACTGGACAGTTCCTGAGGGACCCAGGCCCCCAATTTCCACCCTGTACTCTTTAGAATTGGATGAAAAGAACTTGGACTGGATTAATGCAGAGCTAACAAACTGGGCTGGCAGCCCCAGCCCCCACTGAAGGCTGCCAAGCAAGCCAACAGCTTTGCACAGCTCAGGCCAATGGTGTTGAGTAGAAAGAGGTAAAAGGAAAAACAACTTTAGCCTTTACCTCGGAACGGATTAGATTTCTTCTGCTGGAACAACAGCCAAGTATATTTCCTGGAAACGGCTGGTAGGAAGAGTGCACCGTGGCTGGGCAGGTGTGGGGTTCACCTCACCATCAATAGCTGGGATTACGAGCATGCCTGTGTCTTCACTAACATCATGTCACAAGCAGCTCTGAACACCGTCCCTCTGCTTGCATGCTTTCTATTACTCCAGGCACCCACCACAGAAGGGCCAACGCCCCCCCCCCCGCCCCCCCCCAGACCTCCAGGGGGCTTGAAGCCAAGGCTCCCAGCCCTAGAGATTAGTTGGGTCATTCTGTTCAGGTCCCATGGGCATGTGGCCTCTCCTGCTCTTATCAGCTGACTGGAATCTCTACTCTTAGTCATCCCATTCTGCAAAGGGGCACAAGGACGACTTGCAGGTCAAACTGGCCCACAGCCTGAATCACCTGAAACCCCAAAATAGAATGCTTAATTCTCTAAGGAACAAATATGGATTTCTCCAGGGCTGTGACCTGCCCTTGGGCTCCTTGGGCTTTCCCCATTTCTACAGGGTAGCAGTTAGGAACATGGACTCGGCCTGGAGTTGGTGTACTGGAATTTGTTTTTTTCCTTTTTAGTGGTATTGGGGTTTGAACTCAGGACTTGAGCCACTCCACCAGCCCTTTTCTGTGATAGTTTTTTTTTCGGGGTAGGGTCTCACAAACTATTTGCTTGGGATGGCTTTGAACTGCGATCCTCCTGATCTCTGCCTCCTGAGTACCTAGGATTATGGGCATAAGCCACTGGCGCCCAGCTTTTTTAAAGATTTTTTTTTTTTGGGTGGTGCTAGGGTTTGAACTCAGGGTTCATGCTTGCTAAGCAGACACTCTACCACTTCAGCCATTCTAGCAGCTGCTCCTGGAATTTGTATCCTAGCTCTGGCAATTAGCTGGGTGATTTGGGGCAAGTTCATTAATTTCTCTATGCCCTAAATCTCATTGTAAACAAGGATGAATGGTCCCTACTTCATAGGGTTAGTGTGAAAATGAGCTGCATAAAAGTCATGGTAAGCGCTAAGACAGGGCCTCACAGAGCATGCGCTCACCATGCTGCCTGCTGTTCACCATTATCTCCTTCCCTGGAAGCAGCTGCTCCAGACAAGCTGGGGCAATCAGGTATCTTTGTAGCTCCGACAGAGAAAGTAAATGCGCTTACAGATCACAGTGGGACCATGAGCCATCCTCTTCATAAAAGGAGGATGGTTCCATCCCTGAGAGAACACAACCCCTGATGTTCTGAGCCAGTCCATGAACTCAATCCGTGGCACTCGCCATGGCTAATGTCAGATTCACCAGAGAGCTTTAAAAAGCTAACCCCATCCCCACAGACCAATTCAGCTGCTCTGGGGTGGAGCTGGGGCATCACTATTACAGCTCCTCAGGTGGCTCTAATGTGCAGGCAAGGTTGACAGCCATTGGACAAAATGCTGCTGTCTTTATGGCTCTGTGAAATGTGGCAAGTAGTTATAGGGGGAGGACACTGTTCAAGGTAAGTAGGAATCTGACCTCAGCAAACAGAGTGAGAGCGTCTCTATGTGCAGACTCACCTCATAGTTATATTTGTGCTTCAGGTTCCAACGGCAGATGGGGCACTGGCCTGAGGGGTTAGGAGGAGCTGGACTCTCCTTGGGAGTCCCTGTGATACGGCCTTTGATCTAGGAAGCAGAGAAAAAGCCAAAATGAAGGATAGGGCCAGCATGCAACTCCTTATCTTTGAGCAAACCTCAAATGATGGAAATGCTAGGTGAGGCTTATCTCAGGGTTGGAGGGCCTTGTGGGAGGGGTGGAGGTCTCTTCCTGCACCATGATGTTTTTTGTAGCTGCTGTATTGTGGGCCTTGGGGCAGCCATGGGGATGTGGTTTGGTGATCTTCAGGGGGAGTAAAAACTAAACTATCTGAACTTAATACTGGTGGCAAGAGGGAGGGAAGGGTTTGCTCTATCAACTGAATGCTATCCTTTCTTTCTCAACAAACCTAACCAAAACACCAGAACATCAGGCTTCCTTCCCGCCTCTAGGAAAAAGTTAATACACTCAGAGTAAAAAGTTCCAAATGGCATAGTGACGCAGAGTGTAAAGCAAGTTTCCTCTCATCCCACATGTCCTCCTCCAGGAGTACAGTTTTTAGTTGAATCTTACAGAGCAAATGAAGTCTATTCTGTCGTTCTCAGCTGGAGGTGATTTTGGTCCTCGCTTGGCAATGCCAAGGGACAATTTTGATTGCCATGACTCAGGGAAGGGGTGCTACTGGCTTCTAGCAGGGATACTACTAGCCATCGTACATTGCACAGGACAGCCCCCACAACACACCATTACCCAGCCCCAACTGCCAGTGATGGTGAGGCTGAGAAACCCAGGTATGGCCAGACAAACAGGTGTCTGTGGGCACTGTTGCTCTTCTTGCTTTGTAAACAAGAAACACAAATAGGCCAACTCATTCCCAGCCTTCCTCTTTGCTTTTATCATTTTTGATACCACCTTTCAAACCCAGCTGAGGCCGTGTGTGAAATGACCTACCCATCGCAACTATATCCTGTGACACAGCCTTGGAATTGCTAAGTGTGATAAACCAATGATCTGGGAGTTGGCTCCAATTGCAAGCAGGGCTTACAAAGTCCAGTGGACTGAGGCTGTGGACCATGACAATGAGTCTGGGACAGGTCTGAGAGGCTTCAGGAAGGAAGCAACACTGGCTCCTGGGGGATAGGGCTGGACAGAGGGAAGGGGGCTAGAAGTCTTGCTCAGTTGTACCAGACACCACTACCTATCTTTCTGCCATGGCAGCCACACCATGCCAGAAACAAGTTGTGGGCTACAGAAAATTCATAGGTTCATGGTAGGTTTGGGGAGGGGGCCAAGTGGTGAGCTGCGGAAGAAAACTAACATTTACCGACTCCCTGTTTATAGGTCTGTCTCTGTGTCAGGAACAGTTCATATAAATCATTTCATTTAACCTCCACAAGCTAGTGCGGCAGACGTCTGCTCTTATTTCACAGAGGAGATAGTTACACTCAAAGTTAGCAGTAGCTGTGCCTCTCCAAGAGTGGATGGGCTCTCCTAAAACCACAACGTCTCCACGTTTACAAATAGAAGATCTCTGCCCCGTGTGAAAAACTCTACACTCAAAAGTCAGATGCATCTCTTCTCCAGCATAGTTTCTAGGGTAAATGCTTGTTTTGGCTTTTAGTCAGGGAATCAGAAAAAGCACCTGGAGGGAATGGGGTCTCCTAAAAAGTCAGACCTGTGTTAAGGCTAAGCAGTGGGAATGCGGGCGGTACCCTGAGAGAAGACTGAAATGATTTGCCCTGGGTAAGACTTCCTTAGGGAGGGCTCTGCTTGGCTGGCTGCCAAGAAGGGTTAAGTCTCTGACTGACATGGAAGTTCCAGAGGCTTCTGGGAGTTCTGTGAAGTAGCTGAGGATTTCTTGGAGGCATGGAAGACCATGTGAAACAACGTTGTCTTTTAAGGATTATAGGATAATCTAGGCCCCGTGACTCCCCAACGAAGGGAGGTGAGATGGGCCCCGCAAGGGAAAGGGGGAGTGGGTGGATGAAGATCTTTTCAGCCTTCTTACCAAGAGACAAGCCTGGGCGCCAGCTAGTGAGGCCAGGGCCCAGAGAATATCACCTTCTAAATGCACCACTTCAGGGGTAGCTTAGTCATTCCAGACAAAAGAACTGAGGTCTAGGTTCCTGGCTCTGGTTCAGCTCACTCTGTCTCTCTAGGCCTACAACACTGCCTTAGTTTCCCCTTTGGGAAAATGATTTATCACCTGCCAAAAAACATATTAGCAAAGGCCTCTGAGACTTCTATCCTACAAAAGGTCACTTTAATCAAATACCATATACCTCAGCCTGGGCACAGTGACTGTTCCTGATTAACCACACTACAGCATGCAGCTTGAAAACTACTAGACTGTGGGATTTATGGTCACTGAGGGAGCAGATCCTGGAGCCAGGAGTCCAGAATGGGCCTCCCTCCTCCCATTCCCCCATCCCTCTGAGGAAAAGTCAGGCGTCTCCAAGCATTACAGAGGTTACAAGTGGCCAACACAATGATACTTACTATAGTTGTCTTCCCTTCTTGGATCTCCTCCACTACAGAGATAAAGGGGAAAAATTAGGTCAGCCATTTAATAAGGAACAGGGTGTTTCAAATAACAGTTCAAATTCTACACAGGCAGAAAAACGGAGCCTTAACTCTGCACTCTCCCACGGTCCCCACCCGGGACACAAAATGTGCAGGGTTCACCCTCAAGTGCCACGCTCTACACCCTTAAGGCTGGCTGAGGGCAAGCCCTGGATGCTGAGGAAGTATCATTTCTCTAGGATTAAAGATCTCCATGCTGTTTTCATCTTTCTAAACTGAGATCCATCCTGGTTCTGTCCAGAAGAATTGGTAAGACGATCCTGCCCTATGGTTGTTAGCAACAATGACCTAAAATTTGGTGGGGCGGTGGCATTGAGAAGACTTTCAGAAGAACCCCTTGCATAAGTTCCTTCACAAAGAGAACCAGACCCAAAAGTTCCTAACTTTGAAGGGTCTGCAGTCTAAAATTCAGTACTGAACTAACACTGTTCCAGCAGCCCCTTGGCGGCTTATTAACGAGACAAGTTCACTTCTGAAACGTGCCCTCAGAATTCTATGTCAAATCTGTATGAAGATGGCCTGTGAGTTAAAATCTCCATCCTATTCTTGCAGGATTGCATATTGTTACCTCTTTTGGAGAGGGGTGATGAAAGAGGTGGGAATAGGAGCTTGCAGACAGTGGGTGCAGCAGAACTTCAAGGAGAGCACTGCCAAACTGAGGTCTCGGGCCTGCTGAGGTCTAAGCAATCAGAAGAGAGCCCCAATTTCCTATCTTACCTAACCAGAATGCTCTTCAAAGGAAGAGACAAGCTTATAGTTCACATTCAGCAAATATTCTGGAGATTTCCCCTTGCTCTCCCAGTTTCTTTAGAAAGAGAAAGCTGTAGCTGTTAGCATGGGAACTGGTACATGGCAAATGCTTCACAAATGCTATTTTTAGGGAGCAGGATACTTGTACAGTCCCCTGCTAACTGCTAACTACGACAAGAGAAAACTTGGGCCCACATAACTAGGCTGCAAAGAGACAGCTTGGCTGTCTATCAAAATATTGAAAACCTATTTAAATAGCAGCTTGACTACTACAGTTTAGTTTTACTTAGCTCGAGACATGGCAAGAAGTAGCGCAGATCAGAAAGAGCACAACGTTCTTAGCTCTGAGAATCTACTGGAAGCTACAGCCTCTTCCTAGGAAAATGCCCATCAGCACATACACAGTTGCCATGGATTATAGGGGCTCATAGCCAGCTGTGTTGTATATGTGTTGGAGATCCAAATGGTAATTCTGGTTACCATTCCCTCAGTGGTGGGAGTGGGTGCTTTGAGTTCCTTCTTTTTGCCTATCTGTATTTTTTTTCTTAAAGTTTCTACAATAAACACATACTGCTTTTGCAACAACGACGAAAATAATAGAAAGAGAAGGGAATGTCTAAGGAAAAAAAGGCAATTCTAACCCAACCAGAGGCCCAAGTCAGCATCTGTGAACACTGAGCTCTGTGACCGATACCTAATTGGACACAGACCGCCTGGAATCATTCCCCATTTGTTTTCTGGGCAAACCATTCATAAAGACTCATTACTCCAAAACAACCAACCTGAGAGCCCCTCAATATCCCAACTCCAGACGTACAAAGGAGAAACATCAGCCAGAAAGCCCTGAGGCTCTCTCCAGAGCAAACTGCAGTCACTAATCAATTCAAAGATGAACTAGGTTCCTATGAGTAAAAGAATCTGCGTCATCCCACACAAGGATCTACTTGTACAGAACAAAGACCAGCCCAAGAACGGGATGTGGGTAAGACCCAACCTGGTCGCCAGTCTGGAAGCCAGCACAGCTGCAGAGGGAAGGTCACTACAGTGTGTCAATCCACAGACACAGACATGACCTACCAAAGGATGAGGGAGGAACAGAGTAAGGGCACATCCCCGGCTCAGAGAGGGCTCCAGGCAACCTAGAAACAGCAAATTTGTCAGAGCCAAGTTGGAGAGGGCTTGAGGGCAACCAAATCTGAGCAACAGGTAGTAGGGAAAATTTCTGAGAAGTCCCACAGGAAATAAAGCAGAGACACATTCTAGTCTCACTAGAGTCAGCACAAGAACCATGTCCTGAAACAAAGAGAATAAACATGTGGTTCCCTTCTTGGTGCAGGCACTTGGGTCCCAACCATGAGGTAAACAAGCCCAGCAAAACACACATCACTCTCGGCAGAGACCCAAACCCTGAAGTCATCCCACTGGCCTCTGGAAGAGAGATCAAAGCCCATGGCAAGCTCCACTGTTCACAAGCTCTCCAGCAGCAACCCTGAGCCAGTGAATATCTTACTAGAAGCCAGTGGGTAAAACAATAGGCAGATGCTTATCTAAGACAATTTGTCAAACCAGAAGAATAACCTGAGAACTCACGAGAGACAGACTGATCGGGGTGGTGTCTTAGAGCAGGGGAAGCAGGCCCAGCTGGAGCCTGGAGAGGCCCTCAGTAGATTTTAAGCCTCTGGAAAGAGGAGATAGGAATCAAAGAAGTATTGATTTTCAGTGTGCATAGAAAAACATGGTAAAACCAAACAAAACTTGAGATCCATTTTGTCCCTGGCCTCCTCTCCATTCAAGAGAAATGGGGGTGGCTAAGAAAAGCCAGACTAAGAGATTTAGGCACCAACAGACTTGTTTAAGAAAAGATTAAAACATCCTTGTGTTCTGAAATATGGCAGGCAGCACCAAGTAAACTAAGGAAAGAGATGAAGTGTTTTCTAAACTAGAATGAAGGACCAGTGAGGCAACACATTTGCTGAGCACCCCGGGGTGGGGGCGGGGATGGGGTTAATAGCAGATTCACTCTCCTTACAATGGAGTAGAAAGGCACAGTCTTTGCCCTAGAGGAGGAAAGGGAATTAAACCAAGTATGGGAACTTGACCACAATGAAGTCCACGCCTTGTAAAGAGGCTTTTCGTGTACTTCAGCAAATACTTGCCAGGATGGAGTCCAAGATAACTGAATTGTAACAGTCTGGAACAGCATTGCATCAAGATTGCAGTGAAAGCAAAAGACCTTGATGGCCACAGAAACACAAACCCAGTGAACTACAGTCATGTACAGACCTGTCTGGTAAAGCAGGAAAAGAGGAAAAATGAATGAGTGCAGGGCACTGTTGCAGTTAGTGGCCAAAGAAACTGAGGTCCCAAGGACCAGTGAAAATCAAGTCCTAAGCAGAGCATGAAGGAATGGAGTAACTGATGGCTAGAAGGCAGTCCTAACAGTCTTTTGCAGGGGCAAGGAGTAGAATGCCATGATAGGGATGTGTGTCTGCACTCTGGTCATTGACCGCTTTCCTCAAACACCCTCCTGCTTCAAGCATGGCTTCCTTCAGTTCATCTTTAATTCTACAATTAAACTTTTTTCCTCTCACCAGGTGCTAGGGTCTCACGTCTATAATTCTAGCTACTCAGGAGACTAAGACTGGGAGGATTGTGGTTCAAGGTCAGCTGGGGCAAATAATTCGAGAGACTCCTATCTTCAAGTAACCAGAGCAAAACAGACTAGAGGTATGACTCAAGCAGTAGAGTGCCTGCTTTGCAAGTGCGAAGCCCTGAGTTCAAACCCCAGTCCCACCAAAAAAATTGCTGCTCATTGCCACCTCTCCCCTTTTCTCTTGGACCCCAGAGGAATGTCCCTCTGCCTTATGCTTCAGAAGGAGGAGTCTTATTTCTCTCTCTCTGGTTTTATGTCGCTCTTGTCAAACTTTTTTAGACCAAGCTTTCTCAATACCAGCAGGACTGATAGTTTGGGGTAGATGGTTCTGTTGTGGAGCTGTCAGGTGTGTTGTAAGATGTTTAATGGCATCCCTACCCTCTACCTACCAGATGCCAGTAGTACCAGTTACAACAACCAAAAATGTGTCTAGACAGTGACAAATGTTTCCTGGGGGCAGAACTGCCCTTCACTGAGAAATACTGCTTTAGACTCAAAGTCTTCAGAGACTGCTGCTCAGTCCTCACAAACACTGACTACAGTGATGTGGTTTTATCTTTGAAAAGCAGGATGCTTGAATATTTTCAGAAAGAGATCCAGCTTCCTTCCCACAACTTTAAATTTTATGTGTACTATATTATTTGGGTTTAAAATATACCAACTGGGACCAATGAGAATCAGCTGTATGGGCAATACTTGATGCCTTACAAATAATGGAGAATACCAAAAGACTCATTTAAAGCTTTGGAGACAAGTGATTCTCAAGAATATATATTATAGTTGGGCACTGGTGGTTCACACCTGTAATCCTAGCTACTCAGGAGGCAGAGATCAGGAGGATCACAGTTCGAAGCCAGCCCAGGCAAATAGTTCATGAGACCCTATCTCAAAAAACCTGTCATAAAAATAGCTCAAGGTAAAAGCCCCAGTAATGCAAGAAAAAATAAATACAGAATATGATAGTGCTTTCATGTAAGATTACATCAATCTAACATTTCGCCTTTGGCCTGACAGTGATTGACAGTGATTTGTAGGAGAGCTACAAATCTTATTTATGAAGAGGACTTTAGAAACCCATTTGCTTATACAGTCCATCATTTCACAAACTCTCCTCCTAAAATTTTTTCTTAAGTCTAACCACAAATATTCCTGTCTTAAAAAACCAACTAAACAGAAAACTATTCCTCTTGACTTTCTTCTGGAAACATAGCAACTTTGAATTTCATAAAGTATATGCAATTTGCAGCTATTACTATGAGACAGAATTAGGTGCATACACTTAATTCTGCAGCATGGGAATAGAGGGAACTTCTTATCCAAGTCCTTTCTGTCATCACTGTGATCTCTCTATTAATGGATTAGTGTACTGCTAACCAGGCAGTATCTGGAACTCCCTGCCCCACCAGCAATTGTTTCAAGTTCCCTTCATAGCTGAATTCTTCAAGCATATCTGGTATTACCATTTCCTTATCAACTATCTCTTCGATTTTTCCAAACTGGATTCCTTGTATGCTACTCTATTGAAAATGCTGTTTGAAAGCTAAAAAAGGGAGACCCCTTCTTAAACAGATCCAATAGCCCCTCATTAGACTCTTCTTTTTGGGCTTTTCTCTTCCCTCCAGTAACAACAATCATTGTTTCCCCCTGGATACTTCTCAGCTTTAACCAATACACTGGCTGGCCGCTATGATGACAGAATAAAAAAACAAAACAAAAAAACCCACACAACTCAAATCACTTCTTTTGCACATCACTGCATCCTTTCCTGCTTCCCTACTCAAAGAAAGACTATTTTGTGAAAAATATTTTCACTCCTTTCCACATTACATCCTTTCAGAAGCCCGTCTGAGATGTAAACAAACCCCAGTTGAGTTTGCTATTTCCAGTAACCGAATCTCCCTGTACTTTGCCATGTAAATGGCTAACTTGTACCCATATTATCTCAAGAAAGAAACAGTGTTTTCTCTTTCTTGAGAATCCCTCCACAGCTTGAAGCACATTTGGTCTTCAGTAACAGAGCTCTCAGTTGATGGTAGATTCAGGATAGTTTTCCAAACTTAATGAAATACAAAACCACCATCCAACATTTGCCTATCTTAGCTGTTCAATGACTTTTCCACGTTGGCCTTCATTTCTCAAGTTTAGTGGCCCAGGCAGAAAAAGCCACCCTCGGATCGCAGCATTTTCAGAAGAGAAACTGGAAAGGGAGGCTCTGGGGAGGGTATCCAGATTTTCTTCCTTCATAGTTCAGAGATGCTTTAACGAAGGGGGCGGCGGTTCGGGGAATACGGGAGAATGAACACGCAACCCCTTATTGAAAACTTTCTCCACCCCTGGTAAGTAGCCAGGCCTTTCCTTCAGTCCTCCTCCGTCTCCCGAAGACACTAAGGGACAGAACTTCGACAGCTCCAGGGTCTCAAAGAGGCTTTTACGCCCTCGGAAGAAAAGTTATCTCCGATGCTTCAGAATCGCGCGACGGGCAGAAGGGGCACGCTGGAGCTGGCGGAAGTACCCTGCCTCTCTTCGCAATCTCGGGAGGTCGCTGGAACCCGGGACTCACCTTCCCTGAGCCCGCGTGCTGGAAGTCGAAACCAGCTGGTGGCGGCAGGGCCAGCCAAGAGTCCTTGGAACATCCGTCCACAGACAGACACCAGCGCTCTGAGGGACGCCATCTTTGAAAACACGCCTGACCTCTTGTGCACTTCCGCTTCCGGAACGGGGCGCGCGCAGCCGCAGTGGCCGGCGGGGAAACCGCAGTAGCCGGCGGGGAACCGCAGCGAGCTGGGGTTTTTGCCGCGTTAGGCTTGTAGCTTTATTCCTCGCTCCTGTCCGGGTTTGGACTAAAGGGAGAGGCCTTTGTGTGAGTTTGCATTTCGTTCCAAGGGTCTGGCAGGTCTTGTAGCCCCTGTTTGCCAGTCCTCAATCTCCAAGGCTGCCTTCGTTCCTGGAAGTCTCCCTTGGTAAAAATCACACACCCTACCCCTATTTCTTTGGCGATTCCTCTTCCCTGTTAGTTGTGGATTTGCAGTTTTTGTGACTGGGTGTAGTGCTGCATAGGAGAGGTTGACATGGTTAGGGACTCTGACTGGAAAATCGGGTGTCAGACTGAGATAGAGTTAATGCATTCCCCCGTCTTCACACGCTGATGTTTTATTCTCATAGACTTCGCTGCAAGCCCAGGACCTTTGCACAAAGCGATCTCTCTGTCTGCTCTTTAGCTACTTGGTAAACCACTTATTTTTTTTAGAGCTTGCATCAAACTTCATTTCTACAATGAAGTCTTTCTTCCTTGACCTCCCTGGTTTTCAGCTCCAGATACCTTCTCTTCTTAGTACTAGACACAATCGCTGTTTTACATTTGATTGTATAATATGTGTCTTTCCACCAGGCTAAGGCAGGAACATTCCTTTTTGTTGACTCATATCTTTAGTACTTAGCACAGTACCTGACACAAAAGAATAGTGCAATATATACTTGTTGAATGAATGAGTAGAACCTATTTTATTGGATTGTAAGGATTAGATGAGATAAAACGTAAATGCTGAATAAACAAGCTAGTTTAATAGGGCAATTATGGAGATAGGTTATGGTACTGGCGTTTGAACTTAGGGCCTCATGCTTGCTAGGCAGGCACTCTTATCGCTTGAGCCATGCCTCCGGCCATTGGAGATGTCTCTTTTCACAAGTTTGACATACTCTCCTTGTGAGGAAGCTTATTGTAGCAAAAAGAAAATACAGCTCTCTGGTTTTCTCTCTTTCAGATTTGCAGGACATATAGGCTGTTCCTGAGCTACCTAAGAAAGGAAAATTATTCACAGCTCAATTTTTTCCACTCGGTGATAAGGATATTCTTTTCCGTTCTCCATAATAAACCTGAGGAGAGATTTTTTTAGTTGTCTTACTCTGATTCATAGGTGAGGAAAGGCAGGCTCTTTAAATGGCACAGTATTTCTCTGATGAGGGGGCAGAAGGAACTGTCACTCTGGTGGGTAGGAGAATGCAAGCACATGTTGCATGGGGAGTTTAATGGCATCACAGTAGACAAGGGTAGCAGGAGAAATGTGGCCCTGGGGTACCATAAAACACTAAAATACTTCATGCAGCAAAGGCAGATGGGGTGAGGGGGAAACTTGAAAGCAAGGTCAACAAAGGTATGAGGGACTGACTTGTAGATTAGGAGTAGCTACGCAGAAGGCCTTGGTGGGGCATAGAGGTAAGTGTCCCAGCCAAAATCGGGAGAGCTTTGACTCTCTTTTAGCTTCCACTTTTCTGTATAGATGACCTTGAGCCACACCCCCTCTTTGTATCACATTCCCTGTTTCTTTACCCACCCCCCAACTTCTGGGGACCCAGGGAGGCCAGGGCAGTCACGGAGCTCCACCCAGTGCTTGTTTTGGACATAGTGAGCTAGAGCATTCAAGTGCCAGCCCTCTCATTATCTTATTCCTAACTTATCATAATCAAATTTTATTTAAAAAAAAACAATATGTATTTTCTACAGTAACAGCTAACGTGATCTTGTAGAAAAAAAACAATAGATAAAATAAAAGAAAATAAATAATCCAGAGATAATTATTACTTACATTTAGCAAAATGAAATAATGCTTTTTGCCTTATAGTATCCTATTTTTCTAAATCAATTTATTATTAGTCTCTACATTAAAACAATTATTTAGGACCAGATTTTGCTGAAGAGACTAGCCTTAGACACATGCACACATACCTTTTGTACTCTTTTTGTTTTTTTTTTTTTTTTTTGGTGAGACAGGTTTGAACTCAGGGCTATCAGGCTTACAAAGCAGGTGCTCTACTGCTTGAGCCACACCTCCCATCCCTCTTTTTTTCATAACACTGGGGTTTGAACTCAGAGCCTTGAGCTTGCCATGCAGGCACTCCGGTACTTAAGCCACACTGCCAGCCCGTACACACACTTTTAAATTAAAATATTAGCTATGTAAGAAAAGGACAGCTTGGCGCTGGTGGTTCATGCCTGTAATCCTAGCCGAGATCAAGTGATAGAGTGCCTGCCTGAGGCCCTGAGTTTAAACCCCAGTACTGTCTCCCCCAAAAAAGAAAAAAAAGTACACAGATCATCAGTATACGGTTTGATAAGTTTTCACAAAAGGAACACACTGGGGGAATGGCTCAAGCCAGTAGTGCCAAAACGAAAGAGACGTACTACCCATGCCCACAAGTGGAATGTGGCCAACACTCCAGAATGTTCCTCTTGTGCTTCCTTCCAGGCACTACCTCCCAAGGATAGCCATTACCACAACTGTTAGTACCAGAAATGACTCTGTCCTGATTTGAGCTTTATATAATATTCTGTGAATCTACCACATTAAAAAAAAATCCTTTCTTCTGTTGATAGAATTTGGATCTTTTCCACTTGGGACTATGAAAAATAGTGCTGGATGAACATGACTTTTGGCAAACACAAGAACAAACTTTCTGGCGTTTATCTAGCAGTGGACTTGTTAGACTGTAGGGCATGAATATGCCAAATAGTGATTGTACCAGTTTACTCTGGTACCAGCTGTTGCTCCAAAACTTTATCAATATTTGATTTTTTTTGTACTTTTCATCTTGCTATTCTGATTGGTGTGTAATAGAATCTCATTGTGTATTTTTTTTCCCTGATGCCTAATGAAGACAAATAACTTTTCAGATGTTTATAGGCCATTTAGATATCCTCTTGTAAAGTACATGTTCAAGTCTTTTTCCCATTTTATATTGGGTTGCCTATTTTTTCTTACTGATTTGTAGTTCTTTATATATTCTAAATACTTCCCTGTGTTGGCTGTATGTACTGCAAATATAATGTACCTCTCTCTCTGTGGGTTGCCATTTCATTCTCTGTAGTAGGGGTTTTTTTTTTGGCACAGGGTCTTGCTGTGTAGCTCAGGTTACTCTCGATCCTCCTGATTCAGCCTCCTGCAAGCTGGTATTCCAGGTGTGGGCCATTATGCCAAAATTTTAATGTGGATACATCAGATTTTTTTCTCTTATGGTTGGTACCTTTTATTTCCTATTAATTTTTCCCTTTCAAAGTCATGGGGGAAACGAAAAAAAAAAAAAGAAAAGAGAACAAAGTCATGGGATTTTCTCCTCTGTTTTACTCCAAAAACTTTATTGTTTTACCCTTCACATTTAGAGCGTCAATTAATTTGGAATTGCTTTGTTATGTGGTCTGAGATTGGGAGCAAGATTCATTTTTTCCCCAGAACAACATCTTACTGACCCAGCCCCAGCCCAGCTTATTTTATTTTTTGGGGGCATGGGGGTGGGTCTGGGATTTGAGTGAGGGCTTTGCATATGCAAAGCAGGCACTCTACTGCTTGAGCCACACCTCCAGTCCATTTTACTGTGGTTATTTATATTTTGGAGATGTGGTCTCACGAACTATTTGCCCAGGCCAGCCTCAAACTGTGATCCTCTTGACCTCAGCCTTCCAAGTAGCTAGGATTACAGAGTGAACGCTGTATACTGGTGTGCATGCAGCTTCCAGTGCAGTTTTTAAAATACTCCATATCATCCTCTATTGCACTTTAGCTTGTTGTTTTCTGGAATCTCTATTTTCCATCAGTCTCTATTTTCATCCTTTGACAATTTTTTTTTTCAGTAGTGGGGTTTGAACTCAGGGTTTTGCACTTGCAAAGCAGATACTCTACCACCTGAGCAATGCCTCCAGCCCTTTTTGCTGTTTGTTTTTTTTAAGGTAGGGTCTTGCTTTTTACCCTGGCCCACCTGGACTATGATTCTTCTATTTTAACTTTATTGCCACCATGCCCAGATTTTTTCCATTGAGATGGGATCTCATAGACTTTTTGCCCAGGTTGGTCTGGAACTATGATCTTTCCAATTTCAACCTGCCAAGTAGCCGGGATTACAGATGTGATCACTGGCACCCAGTTCTTTGACAGTTTTTAATAACTATGTACTGTTTCATTGTCTGGAAGTTTCTGTTAACTCAACCAATTCAAGTATATTTTCTTTTCTTTTTTCTTTCTTCCTTTTTCTTTGTTTTTGAGATAGGGTCTTGCTATATAGCCTAAGTTAGCCTGGAACTCTGTCCTCCCATCTCAGCCTCCCAAGTGCAGGGATTACAGCTCAAATGTATTTTCTAAGATCTGTCTTCCTACTCCAAAATGACATCTCTCTTTCATCAGTGAGCCTTATATACCCCTTTCCTCAGTTGGGTATGCTGTGGATTTTTTTTCTTGATGGGACTGGAATTTGAACTCAGGGCTTTGTACTTGCAAAGCAGGTGCTCTACCACTTGAGCCATACCTCCAGTCCATTTTCTCTGGTTATTATGGAGATGGGGGTCTCATGAACTATTTGCCTGGGCTGCCCTTGAACCATGATCCTTTTAATCTCAGCCTCCCAAGTAGCTAGGATTACAGGAATGAGTCACCAGCACCTAGCAGGATATTTTTTTTTAAAGTGTAATTGTGCTGTGGAATAAGAGAGCAAGGACCCTTAACTTGCAGCTGCAAAATGGTAGCTTCCACCCAAAGGAAGGGTCTTTTCATAAGCCAGAGTTTCTTTTTTTTTTTCCTTTTATTATTCATATGTGCATACAAGGCTTGGTTCATTTCTCCCCCCTGCCCCCACCCCCTCCCTTACCACCCACTCCGCCCCCTCCCTCTCCCTCCCACCCCCTCAATACCC